ACCTCAGCGAGGCTCGAGCTCACCCATCTCCACAAATTGTTCCCTCGTGCGCTGCTGGCGTTGTCTTGAAGCCTGAAGCCTGCACGACCGATCTGCCTCGAGTTTAAGAAGGCACGCGGTTCTCGCCCCCTCGTCGCAAGCAGACACCAAACATCTCGAGTCCTCTCAGGCTCTTTCAACCCTTAACTACTCTCTCTTTCGGAACACATCCTCGATCATCTGTGTGTGTGAAGTCACTTGGGCACATCCCATCTGATCCTGTATCACTTGTACTCCTTCTTTTGAGCCTCCCACCACCAGCCTCCGGGCCTGTACGAGCCTGTCAAGCCACTGTGCCAGGGTAACAAGAAGCCAACTGAGATAAGTGCTTCACCTTGCGTCGCCTCACATCGCACCTCACCAACCATCGGCCGCACTCTATTTTGACCTGTCGGCCCACCCAAGCTGGCCGACCATCCATCCATCCACCCATCGATCCATCGACCCATACATCCACACATCCATCCGCCCGTCCTTCCATCCATCACCTTTACAAGCTAAGCACACATACCAACAAATCGGACGTCTGATACGGACCGAAACGCGCTATATCGGATCTTGTGCAATTCGAACGGTGGAATTAACTACGGCTTTCCCTTTTTGGAGGACCCACGACTTCGCGACAAATTTCGTGACTTAAGTCTGAGTAGGTAGTGGCCATCAGTAGCAGTCTACCCCAGATCTCAAATCTGGTTTGGAAGGCATCGGCTGCCTCAACCAGCTTCCGTCCCCTCGACCAGGTGACAGACCTGGAATATCGCAGCATTTCACAGAGCCTTCCTTCTTGGGCCACCCAGAGCGGTGTATCCGAGTCTTCCAGTTGGAGGGCTTTCAGGACCAGGGTAGGAAACCGCCAACCAACACTGTGACCACCCAACACCTAGAACGGTAGGGACGAAAGGGCCGGAGCAAAACGGACAGAACGCAGAGGAGTAACTGCACAAGAGCAAACGCCCACTATACGCCTATTCCTCATTTCGAGCAAGTTCCTGCCTATTCGCTTCCGCCGGCTCTCTAAAAACTCGGGCCTGAGCCTCAGATCATCCGTTGCCTTTGAACGGCAGCTCCTACTCCGACGTACGCATATCAGCCTCGGGCAACTGGATCAGGTAAGATTTCTCCCTACCTCTGGTTGTTTCATCCCCTATCCAGAGAAGCTGCGCCTGTCGCGGTCTTGTTGCGGGTTGGACGGCTGATGGAGGCGGCCGCTGCTCCCCATGCTGCCCGGTAATTTTCCACATCGAAATTGGGCGGCAGGGCAGGGCATCAGCGATTGATGTTTGAGGGCTCAATGCCTGCCCCCTTTCCCGCTCAGATCTCTCGGCGTGCGATTCAACGGTGGAGAAAGCATGGCATCTCACAGCCGGACATGTGCAGGGCTCCATTCGGAGCATTTTTCTTCTTTCGACCAGAAGCGCATCTGCTGAAGACACCATGCTCAGTTGCAACGTTTTTGAAGCAACTGCAGAATGGAAGCTAACGCTGGTTTAGGACCCACTCCGACGTACATGTTAGTGCTGTTTCTTCACCGTTTTCATCGACGTGCATGCTGCCCATCGTTTCTTTTTCTCCATGTCTCGGATTCGAACCTCGTCGAGGGCGAACCCCGGGCAGCGGGCGGGCCCAGCGCTTCCAGACGCCCGGCACAGAGACTTGAGTTGCAGGACCTTGGGGCGATACTGAACCGCTCAGCTGGTGCCTTTCGATGCGACAGAAGACATGCGCCACCTTTCCAAAGGGTCGTGCTTCTGATGGCAGCGGTTGTCCATGCTCAAGACGCTTCTTGATATCTTCTCGAATTATCAAAGACGAGTCGCATCACTGAGCGCCCGCTCGCTGCTCCGCGCTGTGCTCCAATGGCTCTCGTCATGCCCGAACCCACATGCATCACTGCCAGCATTCAGCCAGTTCCTCCTGCCTTGTTCCAAGCCCTTGCTGCTTTGTCAGGCAGAATGACCGCATGATTCGTTGGCATTCGGGAAGATCTTTGGAAACTACTCGTGAAGATGCTGACGCGTCGCATTCAAATAGGACAATATTGAAATCCGACAGCATCGAGTGCGAGTGCCAATCGGTCCTTAGGAATGACAAGGGCAGAAATACCTCTCAAGGTCGGTCAGCACTTTGCTTTAGCAGAAGAGCACATTTTCCAAGACTTCGCCTGCGTTGCCGTGCCGCTCGTGTGCATTGGGCTCATGCGGCCCAGATATCATCTGACAGCAGGAGGAGGCTTCCCGCTGTACAGCTAGGCCCCGGTTGGCGAAGGGGGCCAGGCTTCCAAATTATGGAGGCTCTGTGTCTTCCGACCCACGTCAAGCCACCCCTGAAGGCACTAACATGCCACCCTGTTGCAGCAGTCCCCAGCCAGGAATCTTAGCTAACGATGGGCCCCACGGATGGGGGCAAGATAGGCACCGTTCCAGCTTAACCCCATCGACTGCCTCTTGCGCAACGATTCCTCTCTGGATCGTGGAGAGGCACCTCGCATGACTTCACAAATCCCCAAGGTATTTACTCACTGGCACCCCCCTCCAATGCGACGCTCAATTTTGGCTCAAAATTCCATTGCACTGTCCCGAATTTTCAATGCATACCCCAGAACCACTGCATAGTCGATCATTGAGTGCCGCGCTTTCACCCTTTCGCGAGCTTCGCTCTGCCAGACCTGCAATTCACTATACTGCACCAGCTATGCAACTACAATGACAGAGCCCGGATCGTCCGTTGAAGGCATGACTGCTCGGTTGTAGGAAAACGAGGCTTCGCGGAATCGTTGCGTGTGGTGCAGAACGAGACGATTGAGGCGACCAAACAAGTTTCAAAAGGTGAGTACAATCTCCCATGAAGCACGTCAGCCCATAACACAAGATCATTTCTCTTCTGTCTGTCTCAAAACTCGGCTTTCACTTCCAATCTTTTCCCGCATGCACCAGGCTTCGGCAGGCCTGCGAGCCGGAGCACTTGCTTGAAATAAATGTGCGAATCGGATGGCTTTTGCCTCGCAATTTCGAGGTCGTCACGGCAGAGATCGCTGGCAACATGCTACTTTTCTTGTGCAGAATGACATCCGCACCCGACCTGGTGTCTTGGCTTTTGGTCTTTTTCCCAATCAGAAATTGGCTAGCGGAATCGGTGGGCGTGCAGCTATACATTACATGTGCCTTAAGTCAGAGGAGGGTCTCCTATACATGATGACAGGCATTAGCGCCTCGTCAGATCATGTATCTGATACTCGTCTGCACCACTGGGGCCGGATGTCGTTCAATGTATCCTGAGGTCACTGTACTGCAGGGTGCAGCAAGCATACACACACACACCCACACGCGCACCACAGCCTAACCTCGAATTCGGGCGTCGGGCTTGGTCTGCCTTCACCCTCAAAAGCCAAAGCCTCGCATTCTTACACTGCAGACGTCGTTTTGTTGCCCCCGTCTTCCCCTCTTATTCTTTTCATCTTGGAACTCTCTGCCGGCTTGGCCTACCATCATCACGAAATTCCTTGAGTGGGTGTTGAACAGCTAATCTGACCTGTGACGGGCGATAGGCACACGCATCAACAATCCCGGCTTCTTTCCTCACTACCGTCCACTCAGACCTGCTGACGACGATTCGGTCATAATGTCAACGAAGATGTAGAGCCGCCGATTAGCTACTCTTTCTGCCGTGCTTCATTCATGGAACTCTTCAAACAGTCGCTTTTCCGCCGAACCTAACATTTCTCTCTCATTCCAGCAGGATTTCGCGTCGCCCTCCTGTCCCGGGCTGGAGTATCTCGACCTACCCAACCAATCTGATATGCGGTGAGTTCATTTACCCAGAGATTTCCTGGCCCTGCCAAGCATCAAAATGGCGACCAAACTCTCAGAGCTTTATTACTTGACTTCTTTGCACTGGACAGTGTCCGCCACCACCAAAGTACTTTTACTCACCAGTCGCCCGTCATCGTTGAACATATGTCAACCGACAGGGGTGGGAGGATCGAGAATCCTCAGGGTGTTGAGAGGTGCATCGCTGCCCCTGTCGATTTCTCAAAATCCACAAAGCAGCCCGCAGGTGCCCCATGAGCAGGGAGTGCAGGCAGCCAATCCTCCCGCCCCCCTGACCCCCCTCTCTGTGGCCAATATTCACCATCTCGCGCGGAAGGCAAGGATAGTCTCCAGCCCTCCGTAGCGTGGAAATTGCTACTTAGGCCCTCTAGACCCCTCCGCTTGCTGCCGCATATGGTGCTCGCAGCAGACATCCCGATCCTGTAGTCTGCTGTTACCTGTGCAACGCTCTTAGCTGGCAGTACGACAATCTGTCTCACCTGGACCATTGTGTTGCGTGCGCATGGGCAACGAGTTACAGCATCCTCGGTGCCAGGCTTTTCTAGAAAACGCTAACAGTCATTACTTGGCGTTGGACTGTTGGGCAGCCTTGCTGATATGTGTACGCCAGTAGCTATAGTCACGACTCCAGTACCTCCCCCTTGACACTGGAAAGTTCAGCTCAGCCGTCACCAGTCATAAACCTCTATCCTCCGGGCCATACGTCCCTCTTCAACTCGGCACCAGCCTATCCTCCTGACAGCGGGGGCTCCTTCTATGCTCCCACCTCTCACGTCTTCCCGCACATAGACCCGAGGTCTCGCCTTGGCTCCAGGTACGGAAATATACCAACTGGATTTGCTGACCATCCCTCCACTCCTTGTCTTGAAAGCATTGGATATCTTGACTCACAGTCCGTGTGGGAGTAGCACTTCTACCCCGGGCATGGCACATGCCCTTCGATCCACAACATTGCCGCACCCAGCCACGCGAGATCTCTATACACCAGCAACGCCCTCTTTTAGGAGAGCACCGGAGCACACACCAAGATCTCCGTCCTTCCCAGGTGGGCACCGACGCCATCCTATCTCACCAGCCCCAAGCCCTAACTTTGGTCTCACCAATCACTCAGGTACTATCAACAGCATCACCAGGATGGACACTCCGTACAATTCCAAGCAGCAGCAGACCGTCCCTCCACTTATGCAGTTGACGATGCATGGTGTCCTCTATTACTCAGACGCTCCCAACACTCAAGTCAAGCCGGACATCACCGGCACGATCGATAAAGGATTCTTCCTGGCGGACAACGAGTGGACGTGCTATCGGCGGAATTACTTCTCCTGTATTTGCTCGTTTCACCTGCCTCCCCCGACACATCCTCAGGCCAGTCTACACTTCACGCCGTCTGGGTCTACCCAGTCCTACCAAGTCGCTGGCTGGGCGATGTGTATTTCAGCCGTCGTCTCTGAGAACGATGCCCATACAATCGAGCTTGTCCAACACACTCCGAAGCGAGACAAAGGGCCCATCTCTCCACCGGAAAAGACCAGGCTGAATGCCAAACCTCCCCAAACGGCGCACCACCCACTTGGACACTACGCACAGGCGGAAATGGGGCTCGGGGCATCGTCGAGGGCCTACGAACAATCCTTGTATGGACAGCCACTGCCGCATGCCTCGCTCCATGCTTCGCTTCCAACAGAGCATACTTTCGAAAGAATCCAGTTCAAGCAGGCTACAGCGAACAATGGGAAGCGCAGAGCGGCACAACAGTACTACCACTTAGTGGTCGAACTCTTTGCAGATATTGGAGCCCAGGGCCCGGCAAATGACCAATGGGTCAAAGTCGCGCACAGGAAGTCGGCCAAGATGATAGTTCGTGGGCGGTCGCCGGGACATTATCAATCTGAGCGAAGAGCGAGCACAAGCAGCGGCCCGGGCGGATCAGCCGGCGGAATGGGCGGCTACACTGGGCCTGGCTCAAACATGTTAGGAGGCGGGTATGGAGGACCGAGTGCCAACATACTCGGAGGCGGCTACGGAGGCGGTTACGACACACGAACGGAACATTATCGCACCCACCACGATGCGATTCCTATGGAACCCATATTGAGCTCTGAAGAGTCTAAAGGGGTCCAAGAGCCGGAGAAGTACCAGTACTATCCCACAACCATCATCGAGCCTCAGCACGATCCTCGACAGCCGGTAGAGATGTTCCATCATAGCTCTACGACTCGGGCCACGGAAAACCCCTTGAGAGGCCTGGGAAGCGGGTTTGACCTGACGTCGAAGCTTTACCCGGGGCCTTTGTTTTCTGACAGAGTCGGAGCCTGTGGAAGGTATGAGGGAAAGTCGACCTCGAACGGCTACTACCCACAGATGATGCCGCCACCGTCGTCGACAGTCGGTCTCCATTGAGAACGGGCCTTCATGTTCGAGTGTTTGCAAATCTGATTGGAGCTGGCTAGTAGCGTTCTAAGCGGGAAAGGCTCTTTTCCCCTCGACTTCAATGTCGAAGACGCCAGACGCGAACGACGCGAAACTCGCGAGGAACGGGGGAATGCGGAACAAGTGCAGCGGAAGATGGTGGTAAAACAGCTTGCCTGGAATATGATTTCTGTCATTTTGATGTTATCCAACAGGTCGAGATCAGGGCAGGTCTGGTCCGATGGATTTTAATGGCGCAAGGTTTGGCCTGGGACATGAAGGAGCAAGGAGCCATCGGAAAGACAGGGCATCAATGGGGCTATTTTTTCATCAGGACCATGGGAAAGGAAAGGGGTACTTGGAAAATGGGTTTACAGAGGACATGGCATTTGCGAGAAATACCCGTTTGATTTATCCCCCTTCCCCTCTAACGCCGCTCGTCTCCACGACGCACAGAACAACAACATTCGCTATTAAGCGGACAGGAAGACCAAGATGACGAGGAATGCGAGAAGGAATAGGCACATGGACGAGTCGCGCATATGGCATGGAGGTAGCCATGGAAGCGAGCGGTTTGATCCTGGCGATTTCTTGCCGCTCGCCTCGCCTGGCATGGCTTGAGTTGTCTGGAAGGCGGTCTCTTGCATCATGGCACCCGGACTCGTTCGCTCCCTCTACCCCTCTTCTCCCCAAATCCCCCAAACAGCAACCGTACTACCGGGTCTTGCATGGAGGGAATGTGCTATCTCTGTTGTACTTGTTGATTTGCCACGCTTCAGTCAAAACTTTCTACCCCCAACATGTAACTCACGAAGGTTACTTGAAACCTGATGCAAAATGCGAGTATGACCCGAGACTGCTGCAATGCTCAACAGTAGACCGTTGTGTCGGGTCGAGCAGGTGAGGAGTCGGCTGTGATTGTGCCAGCGTGAACGGGCCCTAAGCCTTGTGCTCCTGAGGGCCTCGTCTAGACCAAAACTCGGGCGGGGCGATAAAAAAAGACTCCCCGCTAGTATTTTGACAGCTCCTGTCAGAGTACAGCAAGGCAGAGTATAGGACGGGCGACTGTCTCTCGAGGCTGGCTGGGACGGGAGGTGAATACGGGGTCCCACTCACTATTGGCTCTTTGCATGGGGAGCCAGGTTGAGCGTTTCCTCGTTCAAAATTATCCAACTCCCGTGTTCCTTGCATACTGTCGAGGGAACAGACGGCGGTGAAGTGGGGACTATTGTTGGGGGCTGAAAAGTGAAGGCAAATTAGGAATAGGAGCGCACCCCACCATCCAACCACAACCACAACCACAACCCCCTCCCGCTGATGAGACGGGATTCCGAGGGCTGAGCCCGGAGAAGAAGTGAGATCACTACCGCCCGTGTCCCTCGCTCTACGACCCCCCCCCCCCTTTCACCCCCCACCCCACGCACCCACCACTGCCTCTCTGTGCCCCAACGGAAAACTTCCTTTTCCAAACTACAGGGGCGAGTTTAGGCAGCTGGCTAGCCAGTTCGCGGCTTGGTTCAGGTCCTTTTGTGCTTGGGCTCGGGGCGCAGTCCTTTGTTTGGGAGCGGTCGTCATGGCCAAGCCGAGATAAGCATCCCCGTTTCGAGGCCCCCCCGAGTTGACTAAACATGCATTTATGTGGATCCCGCAGCTGCAGGCACGGCACACGCAACGAGTCTCGTGCACTCTAAGGGGAGATCATCACCGGCATCAAACAATGACAAGCAGCATGAGGCGCGTGCCTGTATTTTATGTATGTATGTCGTTGTCTTATACCTGGCCCCCTGGAGCGGCGGACGAGGCTGGTGAAAATCCGACCTGGCCCGCGAGACCGTGGACTGACGTCCAAATAAGGTTGTGGCTAGTTCCCAGTCCAAGTGTCCATCGCGCTCGAGCTTCCGAAAGTTTAAATGGAGCGAGAGACGAACGAGTCGAGAGGGAAACGGGGGCCAACCGGGTAACGGGGAAACGGGAGCGTTCCGCGGCCTCTGGCTGGTGGAGAATGGGAAGTCAAGTGCGAGAAGGGACTCGAAACGAAAGGGAGAGAGAGAAACGGAGGCCAGGGCTAACAGAGCAGGCTAACAGGGCAAGCTAGCAGGCTCGCAAGCTAGCAGGCTCGCAAGCTAGCAGGCTCGCAGGACAGCAGGCGCAGGCTACCTAGGGTGCCAGGCGAGTACTAGTCTACTACTGTACGGGAGGCTCGAGGGTCTTGGCCCTGGACAAGCGAACCCTTGGCTGGCGGGCTGGGCCATGCCTCATATGCCTGAGCCATGCCTGGGCCATGCCTAGTCTTAGACTGCCCCTCCCACCACCACACCATCATCATCACCACCGCCGCCATCGAACCACCACCACCACCTTGCATCCCCAACTTCAGCAGCGACAGCGACAGCAGCAGCAGCAATAACGCCTTCTGCACTGCACTGCGCTGCACTGCACCGCACCCGTCTCGCCCTCGCCCTCGCCCGCCCCACCAACAACTGCTCATTCACAGGCACGCGGCACAACCTGCCTTGCTCTGGGCGGGCCGGTAGCGTCGCGCCCTGCTGCTGCTGCTGCTGCTGCTGCTGCTGTCTACTGCGGGACACTGCTAAGCAACGCAAATCAATCAATGCAAAATGCGCCTGCGGTCGTGGCCGAAGGATCTCGGGAACATCCATCCAACACATCCACACACATCCACCCCCATCCATCAACATCATCATCCCACACGCGCGTCCCAGTACATGACGGTACTTGGGGAGGTATGGTACCCAAAGCGCTTGCTTAGACAGCTGACTGTCTCACTTTCACATACACACTCTCTCACTGTCTCTCTGTGGGTGTGTGGATGTGTGGATGTGGATGTGTGTGTGTGCGCGCGCGTGTCTATCTCTTACTCCCTCCTCTCTTTTTTCCCTCCATCATGACACCACAAACTTGGATGAGGTCACAGCAGCCACAGCAAAATCATCGGCCATGCGAGAGCTGCCCATGCCCTGCATGTTCCCCCGTACCCTCACCCCTACCCTTCTCTGACCGAGTCTTCCAACTCCTTCTCACGCCAGCCAGCCACCCGCGCGCGGTCTCACTTGCATGAGCTCCAGCTCTTTCTGTCTCCCGACCCCCAGACGATCCTCGTTCCCGTCCCGTTCGTCGCGGTCTAGTGACTGTTCCATTCTTTCTCTTCGCCTGTCAGCGCCGGCGTCGTCAGCCTAATCAATTATGGAGATGGTGGGTTCTTTTGTGGTGGGGTGGAGTCTGACATCGTTGAAGAAATCTCGATGCCAACGTCGCACAACCTCATCCCCATCAGCCCTACCAAGCTGGCCTCGCCTCGCACTGCGTCGGCACTTTTTATATAATCATTCTTTTTTATTTTTGTGTCCCAGGTCCAGCTGACGTGATCTGATTTCTCACATTCCCCGACGTTCGCGTTGCCCCATCCCCTCAGCCCTTTGGCCGCGACTCCGTGCCTACCCCCCACCCTTGCACTTCCCGCGTGGCTATTGTCGTTGCATACAGGACATGGGGCACTCGACGACATTGTGTGGAAGCGGAGGGGGCGGTCTCAAATTTTCTCCCGGGCCCGAGGCGCCCAGGGAACGGCACTTTCCAAGGTTCTGACCAGGGTTCATCCATCACCACCCCCATCCCAATCTCACCTAGCTGGTTCGCGGCACGCGTAGTCCGCTTACAGTAGTCTGCCGTAGACCATGTTCTCAAAGACATCCACCCTTGATGGGGTCGTGACGGGAGCAGCTAAAAAAAAAGGACCGCAACTCGTCTCCATCACACTTGCGCACTTGCTCGAAGCGGTCAAGGCAATGCGAGACCGGTGAGCGTTAGCTAATACCGGTATGGCTGCCATCCGGCCACCCTCATCGGTCTGCAGGCCGCGGCCCTGCGAGGCGACACGGCTCATCTCCTTCTTTGCTCACCTTGTCTTCCTCCCATGTGAAACACACATTGAACCATGTACATATATTTTAATATGGTCGATTACTAAGCCCCGGCATGCGGCTCGTTTCATACCCCCTCCCTCTCTCCCCCCAAGGCGATGCCCCATAAGGAGCCCAGATCTGCGTCCAACGAAACCCGGCTGATATCAGCACTACCAATGCAAGACACACACCCTCCCCAGGCCTTTTCTGCCCACGGAATCATTTATTGTACTGTACGTACAGTACATCAGGACCCACAACAAAGCAACCTCGGGGGGGGGGGTATGGTGCTCTCAGAACCCCATCTCGGTTCCGAGCCGACCCGCTCGATTCGATCCTCCAGGAACGAATCTCAAGGCCTTTGGTTGCGGCCTTGGCTGGGGGGTGAGGCAAGGCAAGACGAGGCAAGACGAGGCGACAATCTCTACTGCACTTGCTGCAGGGCCGACATGCCGCGGCCCCAGTCCGAAGCGCAAATCAGGCTCCGAATGAAGAGGATCGGACCAAGACCGAGTGAAGTGACGTCGATCTTGTCGTTCATGTGTGTGGTGATGCCAATCTCCCATAGGGGGTGAAAGGGGTGGGATACAGATGGACCGTTGCCAGTCAAGCTGCACCCGCCCGTGAGACCTCAGCCACGCCAGCCACGCCGGTGCGGTTCGCGAAGAGGAAAAGGAGGGGGGCTACAGGAACTTAGCGCGCGAGGTCTATGAAACCCAACCAGCAGGATAGAGTTTTCCCGGGGTCTGGTGACAGAAGCTCCTCCCCGAGAGACGATTTATAGGACCACGCTCTCGCGAGGTCCCTGCTCACTCACTCTATCACAAGCCTGGGTACCTGCGCTGACGTGTGTGATCGTCCGACCTGCCGACCCGCGGGTCCGTAGGGCGAGTCCTGGGGGAGCTGTACGTGCGCGCGCGCGTGCATGCTTGCGCCTGCCTGCCTGCCTGTCTGAGCTGGAGACCCCCTCCCGTCTTGCTACGCCCCCTCGAGGGCCTCCCCCCCTCCACCCAGGCTGCTAATCACGCTTGTACGACACTGCGATCGCGTGGATGTGACTGGTCGTCTGTATAACGGGTTCGGCCAAGGAACAAAAGAAAGAGGAGAGCGGGCAGGGTCTTTGAGGGAGGGAGGGGGGGCCCTGTGAGCTTTCCACGAGATCCACACCCCTCCCCGATCTATGCGAGATGTTACCGCGGGGACCGCGTCACTGCTGGTGGTTCGCTCCTGTCATGCTGTCGAGTCGGATCCTGTGGGGAAGACGGCACCTGAAGGAAGAAGGGGGGGGAGCGGGTGGAGATGCGGTGATGCTGGCCGCTGGATTTGGAATCGTGTGCTGTTGACTGATCCGTGGTGAGCTCGCGGGGTCACATGATTTTGATATCCCCCCAGTTCAGGGGTCCAGTTGGCCGTATCACTGGAAGAGGGCCCTCCCTGTGCTTCGATGCTGAGCCAGAGTAGTCCACAGTCGATAATGTGTGCGCCCTTGAAGACGGCCGTGATTCAACATTCTCGGCAAGCGCGGAAGCAGTATCTTGTAAGCAGGGACTTCGGTCGTAGACGAAAGCAGATGGATTTCTAATCCCGTCCCGAGCTCAGCGCGAGCCGTAGACCGAAGTGACGCGCGGTGTTTCTCAAGTGCTCACGTCAAGGCGCGGATCTGATGACGGCCTCGGTCTCAGGACTTATTGTTGGACAATGGTAGTCCTTAAGACTGAGGCGCGAGCATTGAAATATTGACTAAAAAGACCCTTTTTTGAAGAAAAAAAAATGGGAGCTAAGTCCTCGGGCAGCTCGGAAAGACAGGGCAAATTGGTTGTGATCTTCTTTTAGAAGTGTTTAGGAGAATACATCTTCGAGGTTGGCACGTAGATTCTACAGAACGGCTTCAAATATATCACACTTAGACAGAAGATCTAAGGCTGAAGATACTATATACAACCTGTAAGTAGGGAGCTCACCATGGATAGTTAAAGATATCTCTAAGTCCTGTCCTTGTAAAATATGTGACAGGCAAATATTAAGGCTTCTTGCCCTGGTGTCCACGCGGACTTCCAGCTACTGGCCAAGTAAAAAGAGGAAAGAACGATCTTTACCGCAGCCCAACACTGTCCTCTCTTGTATGGAGTTAGCTCGGGAACTTTCCATCCGGGGTCGCACCTTACTTTGCACGTCGGTACATGGGACGACAAGTGATGATGGCTGTTTATCCAATGCAACTCCCCATATGTCCGGCTTGTAGAGCCAGTGGGCGGGATGCACCAGAGCAACTGCTTCCATGGCATAGTAACAAGCAAGCACGACCAGTCCTCACCCTCACAATCTCCTTGATCAGGGTTTCGAAGGCATCATGCCCTCGACGGGATGTTTTCCTCAAACCACCACACCCATGCCCATCCAGATCATCAGTCCACACATCCGGGGGCCGTGTTTTCCATCTCCAAGAGTATCAGATACCTCTTAAGTTATCGCTACGGTTACAGATATAGACAGTACTGTACCATCAGACGATCGCTTCCGCCCAACCTTCTGCCACCGCCAACATGAAATTCTCCGTCGCGGCACCATTTTTCTTTCTTGTTCCAGCCTTGATCTTGGCCCTCTTGACCCTGTTGGCGGGGATCAAGCCCGCCTTCATGGCAGAGACTTTCATAGTCCGTGTTGCCCTTAAGCCCAAGGCCCCATTTGTTAAACCAGACCCTCCACTCCCGACGACTGGCTCTATGAGTACGCGTGATCCGCCGCCAACCTTGCCGACGCATCGATCCATCATAGAGAAAATGTCTCCGGAGATGAAGGACGAGCTCTCTTCATACGGCTCAGACATTGCGTCCATTATCGGAGGGCTGGCCATCGCCACCCTGAATCTCCTCACCCCCGAGAGGCCAGAGCGGGTTCCTGTCGACAACAACATCGGTCGACTTGATACTTCCGTTTTGTTTGCGCGTTCCCCATCCGAAAGGGGCAGAAACAAACGTCCCAAGCACCCTAGCGATACCTCCACCCCCAAAGATGGGAGGAAAAAGCGTCCCAAACACCACAAGGATAAAGGGAAGAAAAAGCAATCCAAACATCACAAGGATACAGAGAATGACGAGGACGCAAGAAAGAAAGGACACAACGCCTATACCAATGACACTAACGCGGACGAATTTGCCGTCACTGCGCACCTCTTGACCAACTGCGCGTGGAAGCTCAAGGACAAAGCTCAAAATTGCTCGAGGCCCTGGATGCTTGAAAACCTCTTGCTCAAAGAATACTACCAGGACGACGACGAGGACTACATGGTGAGCCCTCTCATTATGAAAAAGCAGGTCGTCAATGCCTCGCAACCCGAGGAAGAGTCTTGGAAAGCACAGAACCAAGACAAGGACGAAGACGAGGACGAGAAAAAGCCTTGGAAGGCACAGAACAAGAAGGTGGCTAATATTAGACGCGCATTTGCCAGAGTTCATTTGGCAGGTTGCGTCTTCGTCGGCCTCTCGCTACTCTGTACTATCGCCAGCTTCTTCATCCTCCCAGCATTCGGAAAGTGGGTCAGTATTGGGAACCTGGTTCTCGCTTTGCTTGCTACAATTCTCCTGCTCACCAGCAGCATTTTCGCGGCCGTGTTCTCAGCGAGGGTCCGAAACTTCGTTGCGAAGGATAAAGCTATTTCTGAAATGATCAAGGTCGAGTCCGGTGGAAAGTTCCAGGCTTTGGCTTAGACAGCGTTTGCCCTGGCACTTTCGGCGATGCTGGCTTGGGTGTACGAGACGGTGCGAGCCTGGAGGAACAGGGACGGAGGACAGTTGGATAAGAATGGGATCCCCTTGCGCAACTTGAACCCTATCTGATTGGTTCAGCATTGAGAAGACAACAGCTCTGGAAGCGGGTCCCCCGTCCACCTAGAATACACACTTGAAGACACGCAATAGAACAGTAATCACTAAATCCATTACTCCTATCAGACAGATGGGCCTTGAGTCCTCGGAATCCCTGGTGGGGGCATGTAGTTGTTGTGTGCTGCGAGTGCACGTTGGATGCGTCCCCAGACACGTTCGACCTCTGCCACCTCACCTGACAGGCGTCGATCTCAGGTTCCCCACCCAGATAGGCCAGGGAGGGAGAACATCAACAACGGTCCCCAGGCGGCGCCGGCAGAGCGTGATATGAATGCATGAACTTGCGATATGAGGGACAGAGGGTGCGGGATGCGATGCGTTGTCCGTCGAAAAAGCCCCCTCAAGTGGGGCATGACTCGACGATGCGCACCCGAGAGGGAGATGTCGCGATTCCGCGGCCCACGGACTTCGATGAATCCTTGACGAGTGCGAGAGGGAAGGATGAAGTTTTGGGAACCAGAATGGGGAGTATTCTTTTGACTTGACATACACTATTGATACATCACCGCCAAAAATCGCAACGCGTCATTGCGGAGCCCCCCTATGGCTTGACTGATTCCCCGTATGGACCGTATGGGAGGTTATCCAACGGGAACTTGTCCCGACAGGAGGCTATCCTCCCACATGAGATTATCCTGTAAGAAGATCTCTCAGAATTGTTTATCCTCAGGAGATAATGCGTTGGTCGCAAAACGGACACCGGAGCTTAATTGATATATATATGCAGCAGTCGGGCTGATGGGTTAGGGCTGTGCTGCGGCCCCGAGGGAGTGGCCCAGCCGTTTTGGTGACTGAAACCAGTGGGTCCCGCAGCGAGTTCGTGTCGCAGGGTTTCCGCAGTGTGTGGTCAGCGTAGGATTTGTCCCAGATCTGTGTGTGCTCCCCAAATACTACGTATCTTTCCATCCGGATGCACGGCATGAGAACCCACAGCCACCCAATCGTGCGTAGTACTTTGAAAGATACCGGATGACGGGGGCCGCTCGCCAGACCTCCGCAGCATCATTCATGCATGGCCCCTTGTCCTCCGGGCCTGGGTTGTGAATCCGGCGGCCAGCGCGGCCAGGTCGGCGCTGATCAATGCTATTCCTGGGCGTCGGTATGACCTCTCATGTATTAATTAAATTCACGGCCCGGTGCCCTGCTTGCTTGCTATTTCTCCTCATCACCTTCGCGTCGTTAGAGCCCTCTCCCCGAGACTGCATGTCTTAGACAAAACGTGCCCCTGCGACATCCGCACTCACGTATCGCAAACACATTTCAAATATTATCCCGTTTCACATAAACATCTCCAACCAGAATAGGCTCTCGCGATGCCTCGTCTCGGTGATGATGGCCTGGAGGAGGAGGAGACCCTCCTCTCGTACAGCACCAAGAAGACGCGCCGCATAGTACACGGCTTCATGGACTTTGCGACTCAGGGGAACATCCTGGAGATCGCCTTCGGATTGATGTAGGTGTGCCAAACAGTTTCTCCGTGGGCTACTTGCTCAAGTTGAAATCCCCCCAATCCTCGAGCCCCAATCCATGGCTGACCTGGGGCACTCTCCCCCCCAACAGCGTCGCCGCGGCCTTCACAAACGTGGTGACCAGCTTCGTCAGCGACATCCTGCTGCCGCCGCTGTCGGTGCTGCTGCCGCTCAACGCGAACCTGGACCTCAAGTTCGCGGTACTGCAGGCGGGGCCCGGCTACTACAGCCAGCCGCACGGCTACAGGACCATCGAGCAGGCGCAGGCCGACGGCGCCGTCGTCATGGCCTACGGCGTCTTCCTCAACAAGACGCTCAACTTCATCGGCCTCGGCACCGCGCTCTACGCCCTCGCCGGCCTGTACCAGTACCTGAGCAAGGACCCCATCATCAAGCACATGGTCAAGTGCCGCTACTGCCGGAAGAGGGTGAATGAGAAGGTGAGTTGGTGTGCTGGTGTTGTTGTGTTGGGCTCAGTCATGTTGTGTTGAGGCTGGGCATTTTGCTGGCTGCTTTGACTCCCGCTTGCTTGTTTGCTCATGCATTTGATGCCCCAATTTCCCGTTCCCTGCCCGACTTGATTACTGACGCCCGCGTGTATAGGCTTTGCGCTGTGTGAATTGCTCAAGCTGGTTGGACGGAAGGGAAGACCTTCTGCAAACGAGATGATTTGCGTTCGTGACTCAACCATTGTCCTCGGGCGAGCAGAGCGCACAGGTGCACAGAAATTTCATCACTTCAGCGAGCGAATTGTTAGACAGCATGGCGGGCGTTGGGCTTCTTGTCTTGGGTTTTCTTCCATATTTTTATGAAACGCGTGTCTCATTTCATACTCGTTGGTTTTCCATACATCATCTTCAACTTGGACCGACCGCATTCCTCCCTTTTCCGTCCCAACATAGAGGTAGACATTATATTTGTACAATAGTGACCCCAAGACCGCAATACTTCAAGAGACGTTGAAACAGCACATGGCATCAGGGGCAGAGGCCGAAGCTGCTATGAATCCCGTCTCGAATCTCGCCCTAACCTAGCCTTGGAAACCGCCAGAACGCCAGTCGTGGGGGTCTTCCGCAAGCCATCTTCCCCACTACCACCGTGCCTCATCATTCAGTCATCCCTGCTTGTACCGCCCTTGAGTAATGAACGGAGGCTGACAATCTCCCTCCTGAGCCTGGCGTTCTCCTTCTTGACGTAAGCAGTCTCCTCGCTCGAGTCCTTGAGCTTGCCCACGAGCTCCTCCCTGTCCTCGCGGCCCTTGCCCTTGATGGCCTTGACGATCTTGCCGAGCTCCGAGTGAAACTTCTCGTACAGCAGCTCATTTTCTGCCGTAGCCTCCTTGTACAGCTGGTCGATGGCCTTGACCTTGGCCTCGCTGGCCTTGAGCGACGCTTCCAAGTCCTCCTTGATAGCCCTCTGCCGCTCATCCAGCTCCTGCAGCACCTGCGGTATCCGGTCGTCCAGCGCTTTCATAGAGGCTGACAGCTTGCGCAGGTCATTGGTGGCGGAGCGCGGCATCGTGTTGTTTACTCGAGCCATGTCTGCCGATATGCGAGATAGCTCCGTCTTTAGGCCGGAGTCAACGTCTTCTATCGCCTTCTTCTCCGATTCCAGCCGCTCCCTGAGCTTTTGCGGAGACTGCAGTTTCAATCTCTGGGTTGAAGACCTGCCCACGCTGTTGGTCGAACGAGAAAAGTCGGTGGTTGTTGGACTGAAGACGCCAGCCATGGGGAGACGAGATGGTCTGAGGGACGGAATATTTGATGATGACAGCGTCTTTGCGTGTTTTCTGCGTAATGAGGAACCTGACGACGGAGGTTGAGGAGTGGAGAACATGCTTTGGAATGGTTCGTGGGCAGGGTTTTCCTTCTGGCGTGGCGAACGGAGGCTTTGAGATTGAGGCGTTGTTGGGAGTTTGCTGGTTGGCGGTGGGCTTGGTTTTGACTTGGTAGGGCTCAGTGGTATTTTGGACGAAGGCACTGGAATGCGAGGAGGTGCGGCATTGACCTTTTCGGAAGTCTTCTTCGTCACGTTCAGGGGCATGGGTGGCGGTGCTTCCGTGGTGGTAATCTCCATGAGGTTCTTGAGGTCTGAAAGTGAGCTCCTGCGCTTCTTCTTCGGAGATCTGGGTGGCTCAAGGAGCTCAGTCTCTGGTTCACCGATTGTTTCCAAGCCAGATTCAAGACGGTGGGAGCTTCCCGGACGATGCGTGTTTGGTGGCCGTACGCTCATGTCATCAAACGCGCCAGCAACACGCGGCCTATCGCGTGAACCTGGCCGTCTAAGCTTGTTTGGTATTGTAGGCACACCAACATCAATCGACTTTGACCGGTTGATTGCAGACCTGCCAAGACTAGAGCTGTCTCCTGTCGCTGGGTGTCTTCCATGTTTGCTCAAGGTGCGCCACACCGAAGGACGATCACCTTCGGTCTTGCTGTTCTGTCTGAGGAGATTATCGAAGCCAAACTTCCGTCGAAGAGAGGATGTGTTGGACGTCAGAGAGCCACTAGACTTGTAGCTATGGTAGTTCGAGTTCGAGTTGAGGGACTCGTATGCCAGTGTGCGCTCAAAGGAGCTGGTGAGCGCGGCCAGAGGGTCCTCGAATATTCGGTCACAATCTTCGACAAGGCGATCGAGAAGATTGATGTAGTTTTGGGCGCTGCCATCGTCGACCAGGAGCTCCGCGAAGGCGACAGTCAAAGCACCGCGATCACTGTCGTTGCTACAACCCTCGAGCAAATCCTCAAGAAGCTTGATCAGCGCGGTGAAGGCCCTTCGGTTTTGCGGCGCCATCTCGTTAAAGAGATATCGGACGAAGTCGCCAAATTCACCAGGAACTTTCCTACTTGCTCGCTCGAGGAGCAAGTCTAAGTGCTGGGTGGACATGACAGGTCCCATTTGTTCTCGCCATGCAATGCGCACAAACTTCTCAAAGGCCACGAAGACGGTTTCCGCACTGACTTCGGAAGACGACTCTAAGTCGAAAGGGCTCTCAATCAAACGGTTGTACAAGTCATTGACAGTCAGCTCATCAGCCGTTGATCGGTTTATCAGTAGGTGACCGATGAAATGACCTTTCCGTGATTGCAGAACCGCGACGTAACCAGTGAAAGTTTGCTCGAGTCGCACAAGAGGGTTGTCAGGCCGTTCATCATCGCCGGGAAGACCAATAGTATCCCGGCTGGTTCGACTTCTTATGGAGTCCACGAGTGATTCTTTAGAACTGCCTGCTCGGGCAATTAGTGGCGGAGGGCTGAGCAGACCAGCACGATGCTGTTTAGGTGGGCTCGTCGAAGTAACATCAGACGTGCTACCACTAAGGAAACTCGACAGCATCTTGACAGGAGATGAGTTGAATAAGGATCTCGTTTTCTGCTCTCTCGAGCCGAAGATGAGAGTCCTCGCAATCTTAGAGTAGTAGGACACTATGGCCGGAGCCAGCCGATAGTTGGCGACACTGAACTGAGTGCTGAGCAGTTGAATGACTGTCTGAAGTCAGTTTGCGAGCAATGTGAGGGCGGAAGTGGACAGCTTACTTCGTCTGGAAAGAGTAGGCAACAGGTCTTCCAGAGCAACATCATCAGCATATTGCTTGCCATTCAGGCCCAGCGTAGTCATGCGCAGGCGCTTCAAGTTTCCACTTCGAACCTCCGTCACGATTTCGACTCCATAATGCCCAACTGGATGCCCCTTAGTGCCTTTCTCGTTATCGACCACGATTCGAATGGGAGCAGGTTCCCTGCGGCCTTCGACAAGTTGTTCTGCAGCTTCCTGAAACACTGCGGCATGCATGCCGAGGTTGTTCTCCGGCAGCCTTACGGATCGGAGCGTCCAGACAGGCGTCTCACGTTCTGCTTCCGAGAATCGACCTTCGATGCGGGCCTTGACGATTTCCTCGCTTAGTTTGGCGGCCTTGCCCTCATAAGCTTCATGGAGTAAGTAACACTGAGCGGTTATGGCCTTGCTTGCACCTTCGCTGGTCTGGGCTGCCTTCATCTCCTGGGTAGATGTCATCCACAACAACCGACCGTCATCAGACTCTGTAAATCGAACATCGGCGAGATTGTGCCATCCCACAAAGGCAAGCTCATAAGATCCCTCGCCACCCGCCGCATTAGTCATTGACGCGAGCAGCCCAGCCGCAGAGGGCTTGTCGATCTCCCTGATCAGCTCTTTGCCCGTGGGACTGGAGCTGGACTTCTTGCTGACCACAGCGACACAATCGGAGAAAAGCAGAAGGATGTTGCCGAGGTCGTTTAGCTGGGGGGATTCAGCGTTGAAAGGTGGCGCAAGCTGGGCAAGGTCGATTGCTGTAATTAATCGACCTTGTGGTTCAAGATCAAGTGGCCAGTTTTCGATCATGCTTCGAAGACGGCCCGTCACATGTGGCTTGTCTACCAACGGTTCGTCCATGGAGCAGATGTTGGTGATGATGTCTCTGGCTCTGAGCATAAGCTGCAGGGCAGGATGTGTTATGGGTATGCAGCCCACGATCTGATCGATGAGAAGGCTGTACCGAGGCAGGCGCTGCACAGGCTCGATTAATATGGAGCGGACTGTCTGTTCTCCTTTTTGGGCGACCCTTTGCCGGAAGCTGGACTGCTTATCCAAGAAGCTGTTCAGGAGTTGTGGAAAGTGCTGGCTCGCCCGAATGTAATCTTGATAGCTCTCAGTAAACTTTGGGAACCATTCGACGAAGAGCCTCGCTACAGCGAGAGCACCACTTGGGTCCTTCACCCTCACAGAACCGCCTGCCCGGGTACTCCCTTGAGATGATTCCAAGTCCCTTGTCGCGTCTTCCTCAGTATCGTCCATGACCCTGCGGAGTTCTTGTACGAACGCAGAGTTGAGCTCCAAAATGGAGTCAGCAGACTTCGGGAAAAGCCTATCGACGTCCTCCTCGGTCGGGCTGAGGCTGCCTGGCGGGCGACCTTTGGCAGTCTGGCGAAAGTCATCCGCGATGTGCTTGACAAGCTCGTTCAACTTTGCGACATAGCGCTCTTCCGTCTCGACAAGCTCGACTAATTTCATCCGTAGGTCTTCCTTCTGGTCTTTCGAGAAGGACTTGCCTCTGTTCAGCGAGGTCGGTTTTGATGGGGCTCTCCTCAACCTGGATGTCGGCAAAAACACAGGCTCACCCCAGAGCCTGACCAATGGCGTGTAACTGCCATATTGGCGAAGCGTTGGGTCTATCAAATCGTCCTCGTCCTCAGGTACCTCCTCTAACTCGGCGTTGTTGAGTTGGGTGATGGAGCCGGGCGGTAACACAAGGTCAATGTCGACATTGCTGATGTGCTGGGTCCGCAGAGCTGATTGCAAAGAATTGATCACCTCTGTTGTGTTGTCTGACGTCTCCATGCGCTGGGCAAGATTAGCTGCATGTTGTTCGCTGAACAAGGCAGGGGCTGAGCCAGGGCGGCTCCCTTTCGTGGCGGGATACTGCTTCCTCAGGTGACCTTTGACGGCCTCGGGCAGCTCAGTGAAGTACTTGAAGAGGCCAAAGGCGAGTCCCCTCGATGTCTCATCGCCTTGGCACTCGCGAGGTAAGTGGCTGACCACACCATAGAAGGGAGAATTTGGGGAGATGGTTATGCGCGGGTACGACTGCAAGCCAGCAGGACTGAAGATATGTATCTGGATGCGCGAGGAGTTGTGTGTGAAGTTGGCGGTAGTAGATGGACCGTGGAAGATCAAGAAAGGGAGGTCCCCCAGCAGAGAGTCGTAAGCGTAGTAAAGAGTGACATTTCCTGGCGTCAATGCCAGCTCATCGGTAACTCGAACCATGGTCGCTCAATGGGCCTGTGGCATGGTCCGCCCGACTTGCGCAGGTCAGGGCAGAGACGACAGCAACGGCCGTCGAGGCGGTCGAGGGGCAGCGGAAGAAGTTTGAGAAAGGGATGAAGGGCAGCCGACTTGGAGGCCAGAAGACTCGAGGGTGTGAGGATCGCGACCTGGACACGAAAAAAACAACCTCGGACGGGATGGTCCAATGGCGCGGCGCCGTTGTGGTGCGGCAGTCTGCAGTAGCACCAGCCCTTGTTGTCTGTCGATACCACAAGCAGGATACGCGACAGACAGACAGACAGTCTTGCAGCTAAAGCACGAACCAGTGGTGCACCGAACCAGGCTGCAGCCACAAGTTGACAGTGGCGGCGGCGAAGGACGTGTCCGAGAATGGGAGCTCGAGGCCGAAAAAACAAAGTAAACAATAGAGTGCGCTGCAGCGCTGAGTGGTGCGTTGCGGTGCGGTGCGGTGCGGTGCGATGCGACGGTACGATAGCGACGATATGCCGTGATAAAGAGGGGACGGACTCTTCAGTGAGGCCCAAGACGGCAGGGAGGGTGGATTAGGAGGGTCGCAAAGGACTGCGGATAGATACAAGAAGGAGAAGATGTAACCCAAGCGACCTGCAGCAAAACAAAGTGGTGACAGGGGGTGGAAAGTCAAGCCGAAAGAACAAAAGTTCTAGAAGTCGAGGCCGACGTCGAGGGCGAGGACGAGGGCGAGGACTAGGAGTCTCTGGACTGGGGACCGATGGCTGGGGGATGGGGACGAGGACGAGGGCGAGGGCGAGGACGAGTATCTAGGCTCTGGGCCCGTTGTGTGTATGCATCTGGGTATTGTTTTGTTTGTCCTGGCAGGTATATCACACACATATGCAGGGTGTGTGCAGCCAGTGAGTACGCAGCTAGTACCTCGCGAGCAGCAGTACAAACCGGGAAGCACGGACGCGGACAACAATGATGTGATGTGATGTGTTGTGTGTTGGGTTGGGGCGGAGGAGAAAGTGGGCGTGTGTGTCTCCTCCGTGCGGGCGAGACGGGGCACGGGAAACGTGGGTCTCGTCTCGCTGCTGCTGCTGGTCAGTCAGTCAGTAAATCAGTCAATCCGGGTTGTCAGATTTCGGATCTGATCGGAGACGGCTCTGATTGATGGACTGGTTCCTTGACTGCTCGAGTGGATGGGCTAACCGATGAACAAGCTACTTTGGAGCCGTGCGATGGGTGTTGTTGGCCTCCCTGCAAGCTGTATCCCTCCTTCGCCCTCAGCTCCAGGATGCGCGCAGAGAGGGCGGTGAGGTTTGGACAGGCCTGCAGGCCTGTCGATGTAAACAAACCACTGTCTCTCGGGCTGGCTGTTCCAGGGTTGACCCCACCACGCCCGCGCACCCAGACGCGGTTTGCCCTGAAAATCCATTTGCAGGGGTCCAACGCACGCTTGCAAGGGTTCGCGCTCTGGCATACAGTAGCGCCAAATACCCAGGTGCCTGGGTGTGCATATCCCTGCACCTTCAACTGATGTCGTCTTCAATCCCACCTCTCTCTCCAGCTCGCAATTCCTTACTCCGACAACATAACAGCAATAATTGCCTTGACTCGCCGCCATGCTGTCCAGCCAGTCCGTCGCCGGCATCCCCCTAAGCCACGCGCCCGCGCCCACGAGCTACAAGCTGCTCGAGCTGCCGCCGGAGCTGCTCGCCCTCCTCGAGTCCGACAGCCCGCCCGCCCTGCGCCTCGAGCCCTCGCCCACCGCGGGGCTGCTCAAGACGCCCGACAATAGGACCTGGTCCCTCCGCCAGAAGAACACCTCCAACGCCCTCATCCTGCTGCAGGCCTCCTCCGGCTCCAACTCTGGCGAGGGCTCCGACGGGCCATCCCTCAGCACTGTCGCCACCCTCCACGAGACCGTCGAGCTCGTCCCCGAGGCTGAGTCTGCCGCCGCCCCCGTCGTGGCCGCCAAGGGAAAATGGCACGAGAGGTTCGGCAAGACCCGCTGAAGTATTTCACGGCCGAAAGGATGAAAGAAAGGCTTCACGGGTCAGAGTGATGGCAAGCTGGAATGGAAGACAAGCTTCAGAAGTCAGACTGATGCGAGCTGAGACGGAAGGGCCATGTGGAGCTCTGGAGCTAATGCGCCCCAGGCTTGCTGTGCGCAGCCGCGCCAGTGAGGCCACTCAGATGATGGCAGCAAATGCCTCGGTCAGCCACGGTGGCTCCGGATGACAATGGCCATGAGCCAACGTCACGCAATTTACCACCATCAGGGTGCGTACGCTCAGAGGACACACCTGCGCTGCTCATCACAGAACCCCCTCCCCCCCCCCCCAAAAAAAAGAGGATCACAGCATTTCAGCTACGCCAGCCTCATCAAAACCAGCGTCTCGAGAGACGAGGAGGCTCTAGGAATGTAGGATAGCGATGACCGCGCCATTATGAAATCCGATCTACGCCGCCCGTCTCTGCACTATTCCCTAAAGCCTAGGATCACCTTGTGTTGATCCAAGTGCGGGGCCCAGCAGATAGTCTTGACAGTCGCATTCTAGGGAGTCAGCGTCCGCTGGTAGATTTTAGGGAACACTCGCAGAAGAGGTTGCACTCTTGAGATCACTGGGAAGGTTGGGGCAGTTCCCGTGAACCCTCCTGGTAACCCTTCCAGGCACTGGTGAACCTGAGATGGGTTCCTAAAAGAGATGCAAATATTACTGCAATCTAGCCTCGCTATCACTGCATCCCTTGCCTCGAGCCAGGTATTCTGATCCACCCAAATGTAAAAACGAAGACGCCTCAAACGTATGATGCTCCCTCGCCGTGTGCAATGCAGAAAGAAAAGGAGGGAAAAAGAATCCGAAACCCTGGGTATTAGTCTAATCATCAGTCGTCACTTTGGTATCCGCCTGGCAAGTGTGACAACCCCCAAACAGCCCATCACCTAAACGCCAAGTCATCCAAGCCAAATTGAGGCTGCGCAAAGTCGAAGTCAGGCCAGATGAGGCTCGCGTACTCCAGATCATCGGGACGGCGCTCCATGTCGTCCAGATTCATCGCCATGTTTGCAAGGTCTTCTGGCATTCCCAAATGTCCACCGGCGTCCCACAGGCCCATGGGGTCGTTCATGGCTGGCTCCGCGCTCGCTGCAGTCCCAATCCTGTGATCGATTTGATTAGCGTCTCCAGCCCGACCGTTACTGACAGGTGAGGCCATAGGATGCTCACTCTGTCTGTAATGGTCATAGAGACCGCCGAATTGGGCCATCGCTTGGTCCATCGCGTTCACCGGAAGGGCTGCAGGCTGCATGTTCTGCATCATATCCCATAACCCCACCCCTGGTGCTTGAGGCTGGCCAAACACAGCCCGCGGATCAATGAACGGTTGCACTTGAGCTTGTGGCGCACGTTGTGCAATGGGAGGTACTTGGTCCTGAGGCCAGAGGTCCGCAAGGTCAGCACCCTGGAATGCAGGAACCCCGGGGGCCGCTGCAATTTGTGCGTGCCGACCCTGAGATCGCGGGCTGAACATGTTGCCACGAGGAGCAGGAGGTACGGCAACTTGAGCCACGGGGGCCGGGAGCCGGGGCTGGGCCGGGGGCTGGGCGTGCGGACGACGTCGCGGTGCGGCGACAGCGGGAGGGGCTCTGGGGCCATTGAGCATTGGACGCACGGGAGCATTCACTGCAGGCGGTTGCCGGCCTTGGAGATGGGCAGCGGCGCGGGCGGCGGCAGGATTAGGAGGATGAGGAGGCTGTGGCTGAGCTTGTCCAGGTGCGTGGTCGACGGGGCGCTCAAGCCCGATATTCAAACGTACCAATCTTCCCAGGCGGCCCCCTAGCCGGTGGTGATGGTGATGACGATGATGGATGGGGTCTAGTCTGAGTCAGCGAGTATAGCTACCAAAACCCGCACCATCTCTCACTACCTGCATGCTCTGTACAAGAGGATACTAACGTTGCGGAGCTGAAGCCTTTTCCTCCTCGTCCTTCTTGACCTTCTCAGACAGTTGGAATTCGAGTAGCTCGGCTTGGACTTCTGGGTGCATCTCCAGCGCTCTCTTCCTGGCTTTCTCCTCTGCCACTCGGACTTCTTCTCGGTGCCGCTTCTCGACACCGTGGCCGTCGTCGAACAATGGGCAGTTACCTGTTTTTCCGCCCCTGCTGGCGTCGTTGAAATGGCTGTAGTCGCACGACTTGGAACAGACGTAGCACTGGATATTTCGACATTTCGTGCATGTCATCTTGTTGCAGCCGTTTTCCTTGATGAAGGGTGCCTGGCATTTGTTGCACATCCGTATCAGAGCTGCTGACATTGCTTCTTCGATCTCGTGCCGAGCAGAGTGGCCGTTATCCAATGCTGCCTCCGCACATGTCTTCGGAACATGAGTCTCTTTCCTGCACGATCGACAGCTTGTAACAGCGCAATCTGGGTTAAGGCACCGGAACTCCTTGTCCTCTTCGATGGGAGGATATTCCGCAGCAAATGGACACAGAGGACATGTTTCAAGGTTCTCGATCCCTGCTTCTCGCAGAACCGCCTCCTGCTCGATGCGGTCCAAAGCCGTCATGGAGTGTCCATCGAGAAAAATCTCCTTTTGATCCAATGCGAAGCCGCCCGTGCAGCCATCCGTGGACATGCAGTCCAGGCGGTACTTCGAGAGTCCGATTTGTGTTTCAGCCATAGTCCTTGCACAATCCCGACAAAACCAGTGAAGAACCTCTCCATCGCAATGAATCATGCGATTAAGAGCATACTCCACGAAGCAACACCCGCAGTCAGCAACATTTCCCTCCAGCATGGCGGCTTCCAGGTTGGCCTTTTCGTCTGCATCTCGTTTCCGTTCGACCTCGGATTCTGCGCGCTGTTTTGACTGGAACTCTGTCACGGCCCGGAATTCCTCCAACGCCTCGCGTTCCCCTTGGTCGACGCAAGTACGTATGCGGTCGGCCAGTGCATCCACACCGTATCGGCCGGAAATCTGGGTGGCTCTGGACTTTTTCCTGTAGGGCGGACGATTGTTGATACTAGCAACGGTCGCAGTCACGGCCAAGAATGCAGGATAAAGACAATTGCCGTGCTCAGCCAGCGTTCTCCTCAGGTCATCTGCGTAGAGATCAGGAAACGACTGCTGCATAATCGCATCGCTAGGCAACATCAGCACGGACAAGGTCAAATTTGTTAACTTGGCCACCTTCCAACACCTATGCGCGGTATCGAAGAGCAAGAGATACGCGGAACTCACCAAGTCTTCTTGTATGAAGTCGCCTTCCCCTGACGTCGTCGCTCCTCGTTGTCGAATCTTGCGGCGGGATTGTCGGGGTCGGACGCTTCATCATCGTCTTCTCGCTTTCTCTTCAATGAATTTGGCTTCGGTACCCGGGGATACGGTTCACCATTCTCCACTTGGTCGAAAATGCGGTCGATGACCCGATTTGGATCCCATTGGGCCTCAGTGCAGACACGGGTCAGGTACTCGGGGTCTATGTCGGGAAGAGTTGCGATGACACTGATCCTGCATTGAGACTTTGTCTCGTCCGAAAGGTCCAGGCTGTCTTGGTCTTCAAGCTCCTGCAATGCAGCAGGCGCCGGTGCTCCAGGTTTCCCGACCGAGAGCATCCTGAAGGTACTGCGCAGGACGCGGACGGGGAGTGAGACTGCGGGCTGACCTCTGTTTGTTAAATCGAGGCCGTTTTGTTGCGGGACCTGCTGCTGTTTCAAATCCAGTTGCTGCCTCCCGTTTTTGCGGCGACAAAGGCGAAGGTACTCTTTACCCCTCACCATAGTCAGTGAAATGCGACCTGTCCGTAGACTTTAGATTTGGGAAAGTACGACTGCTGAGTCGTCACTTTTGTGACAGGCGAGCGTTGTTGTAAATATGACCTCAGTGGGTGAAAAAGGGGGAGGGGGGCTTCGAGATCGTGTTCAGGATCTGAAGTGTGCAGGCAGGTGGGAATCAGGAGATAGACGCCTGTTGATTGTTGCTGCTAACTTCTTATCTCTGTAGCAACACTGTTTGCCCCGAAGACCTGATTCTGAATCTGATTCTGATTCTGATTCTGATTCTGACTGCGATGAACTTCACGAACAGTCGAGTCTGAGAGACATCGAATACTGAGGAAAGGGCATGAAGCTAAGCTGTGTTCAGGCATGTGAGGATGGGGAAGGGAGGATGATGTGACACAGACAGACATGAAAATGGGAAAGTAACGCTGTACCACCTACCTCACCAGAACAAGCACACAGATACAATGATGTTAGTAGGTGAGCAGTCACGCATCATGAGTGCAGATCCGCCCGCGCATCAGCTTCAAGCGGTCTGGTGGTTCTTGTAGTCGGGCTCACGGACGGTTGAGGTGGACTGGCTGAGTCCTAGTTCGGCTGTCAGTCGTGCAGTTTGCAGCAACGGCGCCGATACCACTGGATCGTATTCACAGCTAGGGCATGGCCGGGGCGTGGTAAGGTTCTGGGGAATTTTGAGTTGGCCCAAATGATTGACGGACTGATGAGATAATTGACTGGCTCGTTGACAGTCTGAATGATGGATCGGATGTCAAGGGAGTCTCCGGCTCGGGTCGTTAGCTGCTTGTGGCAGACGGTCCGCTTCCGTGAAGGCTGCTGTGTTCGGCCGAGGAAGAGTTGGCGTGGATGAAAAAGCGAGTGATGGTTCCTGTTCCTAGTTGTCGTCGACGGGTGATTAGGTGTGTAGGTAGATACCTATGGCCCAGGACCATGCGGGCATTGTGAATGAATGGGCTGAGGTCAGGCTTGGGTCGAAAGGGGCGTTTTCGAGTGAGGTCTGGGTATAAGCGGAGGTCGCAGGTCACCCTTCGCAGAATGCGGCACTCGTGAGCAGCTGATCGGCCAATGCAACCGACCTGCTAGCTGTCTAGTCTGCTTTTTGATGGAGCTGGTTGGCAGGCCCCCAGACCTCCTTGAAGCTGTAAGCTGTCTGGCCGGCCCGGGGCGGGTTTGTTTGGTTGGTTTCACTCCCGCTCTCACTCTGACTGCATCAGTGCACTCCTCACGTTACTATCGGGGTTGGAGCTGGGGTTGGGCTCAGCTGTTCCGGCCCGCATCACCCCTGCCTTCGACCCGTCTTCCATCCGATGTAAGTGGCCAAAAGGCGGAAGCCGCCCGCTCCCCCTTGCTGAGTTGGGTAGTACTTATTGCCCAGTCAGGCAGTCCTTTGTACGCAAGTAGCAAGCAAATTACACCTCACAGCCTGGCCAGAAGATATGCGCGGTCCGGCAGATTTATATGTATATTTATACACACAGAAAAGTACATAGTATACGTATCACCGGCATCCACACTCACCGAGTACTTTGGGCATACTGCGGTAAGAATCGCCGAGCTATGTGCTTAACCAGGCCTGGTGTCACAAGCCAATAGTCAACATGAGAAGCCAGTAATCTGCGAGTGCCACACATCCATCCACGTAGCCGGTAAGGCCAGCTGCCCTATCATGGCAGGGTATCCACATCGCCACCACGTATCATCCAACATATTCCCCATCAGAATCCGTATTCTCATCATCCTCTTCCTCTTCATCAGAAGAAGGCACACCCCTCCGCCTAGCCCCGCGCCGAGGAGCCCGCCTCTGGGGTGGTCTCTCGCTCGACTCTCTCGCCGGAGATATCACTCGCGCTGTGGTCGCAGCGCCATCTTCGATTACCAGTCCCCCGTCTCCCTCATCTCCCTCATCCTCCTCGTCTTCGATGGCAGGAAAGAAGCTGGACTTGTGGAACCCACCACGATCTGCCTCTTCCTCTTCTTCTGCCTCGTCAAAGCCACCAGGCAAGAATCCACCCGCCATGTCCTCCTCATTGACCGTAGCAGTCTCACCAATCGGGATATCCTGTCCATCGTCTCGACTATGGCCAAAGACTTGAAAAGTGTCTTTCAAACCCCCGTATTCGCGCCGCACTCTCTCAACGATGCGCAACCCCATTAGAAGTTTCCTCCATGCCCCGAGGACCACCTTACGGCGCTTTTCGTCTTCTTTCCTTGCTTTTTCGGCCTCATCCTTTGCAACCTCCTCCATGACCTGATCGTAGTGCTCTTCGGGGATCACGACTCCCTGAATTACAGGGACAGCCATCCGGTGTCCAAACTCAAAGTCCACCACTGCTTCGGCGAAGTCAATCTCGAGCCGCCTACACACGCGTATCGCTCCTCGGTAAGGCACATGTGCTGCCCCTTGTGGAAGCATGTGTTCGACGAATAAGTCGATGTTTCCATACTGATTCTTCGGGATGATACCGTTCTGAATCGGAGGGGGAATGATCCAGTCCGTCTGGTCATGGCTGTACAGCCCTTGAAGGACCTTGTGCCCAGCCGCTGCCTCTGCTTCTGCAAGCTCACGTCTCCGGTTCGTTGTTGCGGCTCTATACGGTGCCCGTTTCAACGGCTGTGCGCCAGGTCTAGGCACCCGACCTTGCTTGTGCCATGTCTCCTCGCTCTTCACTTGCACAACATCTTTCCGGAGATACACTGGCTCTTCTTCGCCGTCTCCCTTCTTGCCCTTGTTCTTAAAGTACTTCACAGGCTTAGCCGTGGGCAAAAGCGCCTCTTCGCGTTTAAGATGACGCCCCAGAACAAATTCTTTTGAAGATTTGAAGTATTGCAAGGTTTCCTCGCCTTCCTTCACTTCCTTCTTCACAGGTTGTGCGATCTTCAAGTCAGTCGCCTCCTCGTCGTAGTCAACTTCTGTGAGAGGGTAATTCTCGCCGCCTCGTGTGTAAGCGCGCATGACGGATTTGAACCAATCGAAATGATCGTAGCGCTTGACTTTTCCCATTTTGTTGTAGACTGGGATCTTCTCCAATGGCATTCTTGTCCCCTTCGTCCTGCCAGGAAATAACTGCCCCTTTAGGTATCTGACAGTGACGTCCTTGGCAGTACCGTCCTGACTGAAGCCCACGATGTACGCCATGACTTGCTTAGCTTTGTCAGCCTTAGCTCCTCGGGGCCCGAGGGATTCGATGAGATCGCGATTTGTGCCCACGATGTTCTTGATAATCACATCTACCGGAACATACTTTTGTGTAGCAGGCGACAAGACTTCCGTCCAGTAGTGAGGAAATTCCAGGTCCCTGTCAAATTTGGCGTTGTTGCTGTTATTGGTGGGCGTCAGCGGAGGGATATCAACAGCAGAGTTGTCGTCACTATAGTCTTCGGATAATTGGAGATCATCGTCGTTGGATTCGTCCGACTCCTCTTTGAGACTTCTTCGGCCCTGCTTCCTCAATGATCGACCTGACTGACGCGGCTGCTTCTTGATCTGTGAAGCCTTAGTTTGCTTACTCGGAGCTTTTTTTGTTGGCTGCCCCTTGGCTTTACTAGTTTCAGCAACTGTCGCATTGTGACCAGGTTCTGTAGACGGGTGTCCAATTTTATCTTCTTCGGCCTCTTCTGACTTGTTGAACCCGAAGCCAACAGGCTGCAGGTTAGCAACCATCCTCGCTTCCAGGCCGAGTGCTCTCAGAAGACAAGTGAAAAGCTGCGCGCCAACGTCCCGGCTGCCCGTGCATTCCTGAGCGCGCAGCCGAAACCATTGCAAGCTCGAAATTCGTTCGCCATATCGACCAGGGTTGATGCCTCCCTCATTGAAGCCCTTGATGAGATTCGCACACCGCCGAGTTTGCATGTATCCCATTTTGCGGATTCCAGGAGCCGTAACCCGAAACCGCTTCCGCCACCAGGCTGAAAGAGACCTCACCAGTCGAAAAAGGGGATCGCCGTGGCTCAGGTCGACTGCACCGTTCTCGAGTCTCTGAGCGGCACCGCCCCAGTCCCTTGCTGCTTTCTCACTGGCCTTGCTGGCCTTGCCTTTGGCTTTACCCTTGAGCACCTTCTTTGTGCTCTTCTTTGGTGGTTCCTCATGCTGGTCCAGCCCGCAGCTGCGTCTGAAGCGCTCAATCTCATCCCACATTCCCGGAGGTAAATGAGACAGGACGATGCCCTGGGCCAGAGGGTCGCAGAGCCACGCGTTGCGAACAGCATTGTGCCACATCAGAAACTGAACATGCATACAATGTGTCGCAATGCGGGCCTGACGCTCCTTCTTCGATGGACCTTTTTTGCCACCAAAATCAGCATAGGTGGCAGTCGGTACATGCGACAAAGTCAATTCCAGAGCCCCTTCATTCGGGCCTTGAAACTGCTGAGGAGCCAAAGTCGGGTATGAGACATCTTCGAATTCAATGTCCTCGTCCTCGTCTTCGTCGTCTTTTCCAGAGTCCACTTCGATCTTCTGGCGCTTGGCCCCTGGGACATCTTCAAAGTCCGCGTCGGAAAGAGACGACAAGGAGCTGCTGTCGTCGTCGCTCAGTTCAATTACCTGCTTCCGAGCCTTGTCATTGGAGTTTGGTGAGATGGTGGAATCGAGGTCGTCAAACAAGGTCGGCTTTCTCGGCGGTGCGATAGCCGTAGATGTGGCCCTGCCTTTTCCTGTTGGGCCGTCTCCCTGGGGCGAGTCTTCACGTAGCCTCTTACGCGGAACGTTAGGCGGCATTGTGTCAATGTTAGGTCCGAGTCTTCCGGTCAAGGCATGTTGTATTCCAGCCGGTGCACATCAGTCCGAATGAATCCGGTGTGCCTTCGACGGTTGATTGTTAAAATTCCCCAGGGGCAGTCAGTTTGCCCTGGGGACGACGTCATAGAGTCGCGAAAGGTAATTCACGGATTCAGAGCGACGCGAAACACGACCGCACGTGTGAACAATGGACTCTCTGACACAGCGGTGCCATCCATCAGGGTTAGGTGTAGCCCTTCGGCTACCCCCCTCCTACCCAAAGAGCAGCCCATATTAGGCCAGAAATACGTTGCGGTTTTCCAACCTCGGAGTCAGGTTCAAATCAGTGGACTATGGAAATCTTCCTCGTTAATCAGACTTGCGTCAAGTCTCCATCCACTACGCGAATCCAAAAATAGCATTGGCAGTTCTGACTCCTGTTTGGTGGAAACACCACCTGAACAGAAGACCCACAGTCAGTTCCTCTAGGACCATTGATTCAAGGAAGCACACCATGACTACAAATGATTACGATTTATCGTACCCTGCGCTCGCAGAAAAGTGGTCACCACGATTGAAGCCTCAGTGGAGACTGCCTACAGCCAATGTTGGTAGCTGCGAGCATGAGTCTCTGTGAAGCTCACCGCAGAACGAGAGCGTGGCTGGGTGAATGTCAATGACACTTCTCCGCTTGAACGCGTCACCATCCCTTGACCACCTCAGGCCCGTACTCATAAGACAAGCTTTACTAGGTTCCTGGCCCTATCACCAGGTTACCCTTGAGGTGCGTAATCTTCTGACAGGTGACACAGTTCTGGAAAACTTTCGAAGCAACGGAACATGTGCCAGAAGCGTGGGAAGACCCGAGAATGGAGACTTATGCTTCGTGCAACAGTCCCTAGGAGTGGGCATACCCTCGCCTTGGACCACACGGAGCACGTGGTGGCGGGGACACCGCCATTGACACAACTCAGCCCTGTCATCCCGCGAAACACGGACGTTACTCCTCGTCACAATGAAGGCGGGTTAACGAGAGGGGCCGGTTGATACCCAAGATCTTGCCCGCACATAAAGCAGGGCCACTCATCCGGCGGAATATTCTATCTGTCCCATCGAGCCGTGTTGATTCTGAAGAGACCCATTGTGGGTTTGCGGTGACTCTGGCCGTTGCGCTGACTCGTAGAAGCGGGCTCTGGAGATTGGGAGTAGGCCAGCAAAGACAACGGAAAGGTGGGAATCGTCAGCACCGAGCTCGGCAAAGAAATTTGGGGGCTTGGAGATGCCCGAAACGAGATGATCTGCTTCTTTTTACGACATGGAGCAGGTGTTTCCGGCAACGAGTCTCAGGAGGTTTGTCGCGGAGGCGGCAGGAATTTGCCGTATAGTGGCCTGTAGTAAGTAAGTATTGAATGTATATGTAAGATAACCACCGTAATCAGGGCAAGCTGAGGCTCTCCTGGGCTTTGTTTGTTGGTGCTCGTGCACTCGGAGCATAACGTCCCGTATTCTTTTCTGCTGGCCCATATTGGACGACACTCGACAGCTACGATTTGGGACACGAATTGAAATGGACGAGATGCATGTGGCCAGAAACATATCGGTGATATCTATACCCCAAGCGGTCGAGGCATCCACCTCGACCGGGGGGCAGGTTTCGCTCGGGTTGTCATACTTCCTCACGGTATTTTCAACTATGATGATGATCTTGCGCTTCTGGTCACGCCGACTGAGCCGGTTTGGCATTGGGTTGGACGACTGGCTTGCCCTGGCGACGCTTATCATGCTCTATATTGTTCTGGGTCTCAGCGTGGCACTAGTCTACGAGGGTGGTGTAGGAAAGACCATGGCTCAGGCTGTAAAAGAGCAGCCAATGTCACCCGTCATGGCCCTGAAGGTAAGTGATATCTATGGCAATTCTTGCTCTTCAAACATTTCCCCGGAATAGAGCTAAATAGACTATCAGCTTTTATATGCGTTAGAGTGGGCATATCTTATAGCATCGCCGCTCATGAAGCTCTCTGTCCTGGCATACTACTGGCGAATGTTCCCCACCCGGACGATGAAAAAGTACATTTGGTTACTCACATATACCTGCGGAATTTGGTTTGTTGGCGTCCTAATCGGCAATCTGGTTGAGTGCCAACCAATCTCTTTCTTTTGGAACAAGCTGTCGTCATCTGGAAACGGAGTTTGTCACTTCAGAGTCGAAGTTTACCTCATTATCGTCGCAGCACCGAATATAGTCATCGACACACTGACTATAATCCTTCCGGTGTACGAAGTCTGGCACCTGCAGTTGGAACGATGGAAAAGGATCGCGGTTTCGGGCATCTTCGTGGTTGGAGGAATGTGAGTTTTTCTGGGTCTTCTCGACGATAACAGCTATCTTTGCCCTTGCTGACAGTTTCCTTCTCGGAACAGGGTGGTTGTCGCAAGTATTGTTCGCTTGATATTTCTGGTTGCTTTCTATTTCAAGCACAGTGCCGACCTGACCTTCAACCTATTGCTGCCTTGGTTCGTAACCCTGGCGGAGATCGGTGTGGGCATTGTAGGAGCATGTCTGCCCTGTCTTATGGTGAGTACTCTTTCTACTGTTCAGCTTCCTCTTGAAAACACTTCACAGCAAGTTCGAGAGCCTTAACTGCAATACTGCTACTGAGATATCATTCTTGTGTTGAATTTTATCAAGTGCGAATACTATTGAGATCTTCTGAATGATTTTCGCTACATGTATAAGAATGCTGACCAGGAAATACAGCCTCTCTACCGCCGCTTTTGGCATGATACGTCGGGAAGCAAGCCTTCCGGATACGGCGGCCAGTCGTCTCTGAGGTCTCATATCCCCGGACGAACTATCGGCTCAAATACTGTTATCGCCGGCCATTCTGGGGGTAAAAAGGGCCTCTCAGGTCTGGATGAAAGCGGTCATCCGTTTGAGAGGCTGCCTACAGGAGGTACCATGCACGAGGACGATGTTCCGTTAAAAGGCATTCACATCCGACACGAGGTAACCATTCAGCGCTCAACGATGACTTGGCATGACGAGGATAAATTTTGAGAGAAAAAAAAAAGGTCTGAGATCTGCGCTCTTTCTGTTGGCAATCTTGTGCAATCAACTTCGGCTTTTGAGAAAGGGTGTGCTAGAGGTCTGGAGCGCTCTGGCACCTCTCTTCGTCTCGTGAAGGAGAGAGACGGAGGCTTCCGACGAGAAATCGTCGCAAGCGATGGAGGCACTCAGGACTAGCCGCAAGAAGACACTAGGGCTCAAATCTCGTCAAGAAAAACCGCCCAGCCTGCGTTACATTCACGGTGATACCATGAATAATCGTGAATAGGCAGGCTGCGCTGAAACGAGATCCAGCTAAATATGGGAGTCTCTTGATATCCCTTCTCAACGCGCCTTTGGAGTAACCCTTTGGTCAATACTCCACATTTGAAGAAGTCCAAGGCTGGCTGTCTGTTTGTTGTTGGTGTACTTTATATTGGACGCGCATCTAGCAGACGGTCGTTCTGGATACAAGAAGATCCGATCGAAGGAGAGACAGAGAACAAGAACAACTGAGTTGGGGTCAATTCACGGGTACATGATTTAATGACAGTTGGAATGAATAGCTGAGGCCTGGTAGCACTGGAGCATGCTGCAAGATCGAGCTAGTGAAGCATGAGGAATATCTACATGACAGGGCTCATACATACGCCTCTCATGTGGGCAGTTTCAAAAAGAGACTATGTTGTTGAAAGGGTCGAAAGCTGTCCACCACACGACCGTCGTCTAGCCTCACAGGTACCCAAGATACCTAGTTAGGGACGCCCGATGTCCCCCATCAGCCCTATGGCTTACTAAACTTACTCCAACAGGGGGGGTCTTCCCCGCTGAATAACCGGCGACTTCCAGGCCATTCCAGGGTGATCGTCAGGGTCCAGTTGTTGGTCAGCCGCAGCGTCACAGCCTCGCGACCCCCTTTCCCCCGATTTAGCTTCCTCCTTGCCACGACCTCAGATTTGGCCACTTCCGACCTGACCAGAGGTGCCGTGCTGTGCCGTATTGGTCATCCTTCTGACGTGGCGCGTCTGCCTTCCGCCGTTCTCATTTTACTTAAGAGACATCACGACACCCTCGCCCGCCGCCAACATGGCAAACCAATCTTCTTCCTCCGAGGGCCAAGAAACCTCATACGTGAACATGACCGAGGTCGACCGCTCCCGATACGCCGACGCGACCCTCGTCGGCAAACACTGCGAAGCAGAATACTGCAACCAACTCGACTTCCTCCCCTTCTATTGCCAGTCATGCGAGAAGACCTTCTGCCTCGATCACCGAACAGAGACCGCCCATAAGTGCGCAAAGGAGGGCGCCTGGGCAGAGCGCAAGCGGCTGGCACAGCTGGCACGGCCGAGCGCGGGCGACGGTAAACAACTACGGGACCACGTATCACAGAAGCCATGCGCGTCACCCGACTGCAAGACGACCGTCGGCACGAGCCTGGTCCCGGGTGTGCACTGCCAGGGATGTAACCGGGATTACTGCCTCAAGCACCGGCTGAAGGAGGAGCACGACTGCGACAACCTCGTTCCCCTCGGCGCTCGGCCAGGTTCACAGGCGGCGGAAAAGGCACGCTCGGCGCTGCAGAAGCTGAGGCTGTGGGGCGCGGCAAAGAAGGAGGCGGCCGGGCGGGCGCTTCCTAAGGCGAAGCCCACGTCTGCGTCGCAGCGCATCGTTGCCGTCAACAACCTGAAGAAAACCGCGAAGGGCGACGAAAAGCTGGCGCCAGAGAAGAGAGTGTACCTTTTTGTGGAGGCCGAGGCCGCGACGACGACAGCGAAGATAACCAAAGGGCAATTCTTCTACTCCAAAGACTGGGTAGTAGGCAGGGTGTTGGACGCCGCGGCGCGGGCATTGCAGGTCGAGAACGTCAACAACCAGTCCAGCAACGAACAGGACAAGCTTAGGGTGTTCCATGTCGAGGGTGGACGAGTACTGGAATTCAACGAGAAGGTGGGGGCCGCACTCGTCTCGGGCAACACAATCGTGCTCCTCCGCGGTGTTGGACCGGCGCCAGATTTGATTGAGATGTAAAGCGGTGGGTGGGCGCAGCGAAAGGTTCCATAGCGTTGGCGTTGGGTTTCGGACAACGGGAGATGCATTCTGTCTGAGCGTATCCATGAGCGGCATATGCCAGACAAATAAACACATAATACGATTATATCGCCTCTTTTTTACCGTCTACTGTTATATATGCGCCAGAGTAGCAAGGAGATGTCTTGAATTACACCTCACATGGTGAATGAGCAGCGTGAATGGTCTTAGGCCCGCTCCCAATCCTTTACAATTCCTTTTCCTTCGGCTTCGTGGACAAGGCCTTTTCCCTGCCCATTTTGGGCGCTGCGCCCACGGCATCATGACCGCCCATGGTTTCAAAGCCTTTGTGGAATACCCACTCAACAGCATTCTCCACCGGCTTATCAAACAAAGATGGGAGGAAGGGAACAACAGCAAGGCCCAAACCGATGGGACCATATGTCCTGATCGTCTTGTTCTTGGCATCTTTGAGCGCTCTCCCACTGTATCTGACTACGCTGTGGATCGTGAACGCTGGAAGACCCATACTTGCCAAGCTCTGGAAGATAGCGCGTTGTGCCATTACTGTCTTATAGTTCTCCAGGGGAGGCACTGCCCGTGGCTGTGCGTCGGCAGCTTCTATTGCTTCCAGGCCTGAGATCTTCTGCTGCTTCTCAGACAGTTGTATCTGCGGGTCCAACGCGCGTTGATTGTGCAAGTATGATTTGTATCCTTCATATGACACATCCCCCAAGATGTAGGCCCAACTCACTCCATAGGCACCGCGAACGAGCCATGGGTGCGCTATCGGCCGGAATGACTCTCCTATGTCAGAGGTGTCTGAAGGATCCAAAGTTAGCCATCACCTGCGAGTTGGTCGATGTGAGAGTGTAGAGGCCTCGGCCGTGGTTATCGCACGTCGCATGCCTCGTGCGCCGCTTCACAGCATCCTGAGGTAACGGAGGGCTGGACATACAAGCGACGTAGCGATGTGCAGAAAGAAGTATTGTCCGGACTCGTGCAGCGTAGGCGGCAAATCGTACGTTCGACTCGGTCGACTCTGGCGCACTACGTGTCATGGAATATTGTCAGCCGTCCAAGTCCTTCGAAGCCATGGGCGAGCGAGTGTGAGACAGAGAAAGAGAGAGGGGCTTACTAGCCGTCCACGAGCTCATCATACCAATTCTCGTCTTTGTCTTGCTTGTCGACTATCTTCTGCAGAGCAGGTGGCAGCTTCTCACGATTTGGGAGCTTGTTCGGGTCGAATGGGGCAGGTTGTGGAGCATTGCTCTTGCTGGGCTCTGCAGCCGAAGCGTCGTCCTTAGGCGGCGCCTTGGGATCTTTGTCTGAGCCCTTTCCCCACCACATTCTGAGAGTCGATGGCTTGATGTTGTGACAGAAATGCTGAATTTGGTTTCAAGGCTGGATTGACTTTGCTTGTCTTGTTTGCGCGAGTAGCGTTTGAAAGCTGTAGCTTTCGCAATGGTTGGTTCGCGGATGACGTCGCGTTCTCCATACCGAACACCCCGGAAAGCCGGGTGGGACTCTGCGCGCTTGAATCTTATCTCTCCAGCTGTTCAGGTACCCGATTGTCCGCGGCTAACACCCGATGTTCTTGCCTGAGGCATCCGCAAATTCAGCAACTGCAGGGAAGCTTGTCCATTGAGCCGTTGCGTAGTTTCTCAACGCCGAGTACGAATAGCTTCCCCTCGACAACAAAGTACACACCCCGACCCATCGCGAAGTCCGGCCTCATTCCCACAGTCAAGATGGTCCAATACTACAACGTCGCTGGCGCCAAAGTCGGCTCCCACTACGTCAGTGCCCATGTTCCCCTCCCCGATTGTCTCCGGCCTCGCAGCAGCAACCAAGCCATCCCCAAATCCAATTGACGGCGTCGGAACTGACTGTGATGCATTATAGCTCGCCATGGGCGTCCTGGCGGCTCTCTTTGGCGGCTCCAAGCTCGCTCTCGGTGGCGGCAGCAAGGCCACGGTCAAGACACCTCCCATCAACGCATCAAGCAACGAAGAGGCCGACTTCATCAAGTAATTGAGCCCGCGAATCCGATGTCTGACTCTCAGCCACTGACAACCGCGCAGGCAATTCATGGACCAAGCAGAGGCGGACTCCAAGAAAGAGAAGCACTAGACGGCAGCGGACACACGACGCAGGGACGATGAAACTCGCATGCCTGGATCTGGGCCAGCTGTACACATATAGACGGGACAGGTACTAGGCAATTGAAAGATACTCGTACCAAAGGGCTGCTATTTCGATCTTCTGAAAGGGTTGTACGATCGCCTCACTGTGCAAGCTCAGAGCTGCGACACGAAGGTGAAGTGCCTATGCAAGGCCAGCGATACCAAATACATCTCTCGATCACAAACCACAAACAGATGCATCGCCATCACCACGGAACGGCCCTAAATTCGCCTTCTTCAAATTCCCAGAATGTGCCTGCCGGAATTGCGCCCCTGTTGACCTGCAGCAGCCTCACGAACGCTTCAGCGGAGTCCAATGGATCTTTGACTCCCCTGAAGTTGTTGAAGCCGGTCTTGGTGAATCCCGGGCTGACTGCCCAGAAGCAAATGTTTTTTCCTTCTCCGTCATTCGAATCGTCTAGCAATTGCAGCAGCAATGTCAACATGTTCAATCCTGCCTTGGCTATGTTGTAATCCACAGATTGTGGTGGTGGGAGCTAATCTGGTTCAGTCTGGAATAGCTGGAGTGGGTATCTAATTCTCACCTTTCTGCTGGCAGTCCTCTCCAAACTTCCTCTGGCGCTTGAATTCATGATAACCCTGGGGAAATCGCTCTTCCGCAGCAAGGGCAGGAATGCTCTGGTGACCATCGCAGGTGACGCAACGGCATTGTTGAAGACGTTGTTGAGGTTGGCTCGAACATCGCCGAGGTCCTGAGACTTTGGTTGACTGACCCCGGCAGCGTTGTTGATGAGAACTTTACGAGACATCAGCCCCTAGTGAAATCGTAAAAGTGCTGAGCATCAGGACGACTGACCGTCTAGCCTCCCATACTTCTCATCGATCCATTTGACAGCCGCGAGAATACTTTCATCTTTCTCGATGTCGATTAGGGCAACGTCAAATGAGACCTTAGGATTCAAGTCGCGAAGCTTCTCAGCAGCCTCCTTTCCTGCTTCTAAGGAACGACAGCCTAGGAGGAAGGTTGCGCCGGGAATTCTGCCCGTCGCTGCTTGCACAATTGCAAACCCGATCCCACGGTTGGCTCCTGTCACGAGGATAATAGTCATGTTGCTAATACTCTGATGCGATAAACGAGAGTACTCGCTGATCTCTTTCATCGTAGGATGGCCGCGAATGCATTATTGACTTATTGTAATCCAAATGCTTGAACAAAATATAGAATCAACGTAAAATTTCGGACATAAGCATTCGCGACCTTTATTTCATTTCCTTGACTTTAAATCCGTCTACCATAACACCGCAGCATTGAATGGGACCGCTGTTCCTAGTGTTGCTGTTCAGGTCCGGTCTGACGGCGCCGGTCGCTCCACCCAAGTTATCTCCGGGGCCGAGTCTGCTCGGCCCCATGTAAGCTGAACACAACGGACTTTCACAGTCCAACTTGCAACTTGGACAGCGGAATCTCTATTTCGGTTTTAGCCACACTTTTGGTCCTGTATGTCTAAATTAGACTGATCAGCAATGACGTCCATCACCGTCTCAGACATTGAGGTTGCTGCAACACCGGCCCAGGTGCGTCCCTCATCTGAGACAAGCAGTCAGATGCCGAGGATCGTGCCTAACAACGCCAAAAGCTTGTGAAGTTCAGACCAGCTGGCCGGCTCACGTCACCATTGTCTGTCTCATCGACACATGATGCTCACTCAGCTCACCTCGCTGACCAATTCAACAGATCTACATCGCTGTCTGGGCGCAACCCAACGTCGCCGAAGGAAGGCGAGCCGGTCATCTCCCTCTATCAGCCAACCTCAGGAACTGCGTTCGACCCGCGCTGCCGCCACTCTCTCTTGCTCTCCACGGCCGAAACGTCCCGTAACCCCCTCTTCCACCAGGCCTGTGTCTTCATTCCGGAGCATGACGAGCTGTACGTCACCTCCGATCTGCTGCAGACCACCACCAGCAGCTCGTTGCCGATCGTACTCATCTCGCGTATAAAGCTCCATCGCAGAATCAAGCCCAGTGGCGGCGGTGAGGCTGCGGCTGAGGACGAGGATGACCCGGTGGGCGGCAGTGACGACGACGTCATCACAGTGGAGTGGCAGAAGCTGCGGCCGCCGCAGAGCATGACCATGCCGGCAGGCGGCACACGTTACGCGGGCGGGATGGTGTTCTGCTCTCAAGGCAGCTTAACGGAGGGCACTGGCGGGTTGTACTACATGCCGCGAGGAAAGCCCCCCGAGGCGCTGGTCACCGGGTTCTACGGGCGAGAGTTCAACTCACCGTACGATGTCGCCCTTACGAGGGACGGGTCGCTCTGGTTCACGGATCCGTGCCGCGGCTTTGAGAAGGATTTCCGCAGGAAGCCAGTGCTGCCTTGTCAAGTTTATAGGTTTCATCCCGAGTCTGGGGACCTCAGAGTCGTGGTGGATGGGCTGGTCAGGCCGACTGGGATTGCTTTCAGCCCGGACGAGAGCACAGCGTACATCACTGATACTGGTGCCTTCAGGGGTGATGGCGATGTGGATTCCCCACAGTAAGGCCTCCCATTACATCTTCGAGAGTTTGCAGACACCTTTCTGACATGAACAACAGGACCTCAACTATCTATGCCTTTGATGTAATAACGAGAGCAGATTCGCCCTTCCTGGCCAACAAGCGCGTCTTTGCCGTCCCAACTAAGGGAACACCGGCCAGCATCAAATGTGACGAGAATGGCTTCGTTTATGCAGGCTGTTCTGGCGGGATAGAGATTTGGAATTCGGGGGGCATGCTTCAGGTTGTGATTGAGATTCCTGGTGAGTTCCAATGCAATGATCACACCTACGAACATATCGAGGATTCATGTCTTTGGCATGTGAAGCCCAAAAACAATGAGTTGTCCCGGTAGATCTTGACCATCGGTAAACTGACCTTTGTGGTGACAACAGGCAGTGTCACCAGTTTCTGCTTCGGCGGCCAAGATGAGACGCGGAGAGAGATGTTCGTATGCGCCGATCAGAGGCTGTGGAGGCTACGATTCGGCTGGCGTGGCAAGTCACTACTCGGAGTTGAACGAGCCGGTTGGTTCGAGTGGAATGAGAGAACTTCCATCGTTGTGGCGATACCTCGGTGAGAGCTGTTGCTCGGAGAGCCTTTTAATGTTCACCAGGGGTCGTGTCGATGCCATCGTTCTGAGGAGCGACTGGCTGCATATGTTAAACTGAGACCACAAACTCATATGCAAGCACGGAACAAGCTGTGTGGCGTTGACTGCCTTTGACGGCCATTCTTCAGTCCCCACGAGCTGCCTCTCAAAGAAAACCCGTGTTGTAGACTCGCTTAGGGGCAGATATATTACATGCAGTCTCTAATCAAAGCTCGTGCAAATATTCGAAAAATTTGAAGACCAATTTCTCGCGCAGGCCTAGTAGTTGCAAGCCCGTGAGAGGCGTTTCTAGTCGAGTCTCCTCACATACAGGTCCTGCAACATGCCTCAGCTTCTTGACCGTGATACAAAGTCTATAAGCTTTTTGCTCATTGTCATACCAACTAGCGAGCGTACGAGCAATTTGTCTCTAAACATAGCCTGTGATCTTGGCTTACCCCTGACTTGCGACACCTTTCTCCAAGGTCCTGGTCTCCGAGGATTGCCTCCATCGTTACTCTCTTTGCCAGCAGGATGTTGTCTTTGTTAGAAGGCGAATTTTGTCAATGGCCTACAACAATCTCTTCGTTGGTGAGCTCGAGATCAAGACATGAGATTGTGCCTCAGTCGTTATCAACTAGCATGCTTGTGGAAGCCTTGGACTGTGATATCACACGACTGTCGAGCGGCGTCTATATTGTTTTCTTCGAGCTATTTAGGATCTCGTTAAATTTGCGCAAGCACGCCCGCATGATCTCTCTCCTCTAGACCATCCAGTAACTAGTAATTAGCTAGAAGTTCCTATGAGTATTTCATATCCTAAATCAGAATGGTCGCTGAACTTTTCTCCAGTTCTCGGGAGCTTCTTCTGGAGTGACACTATGTGTCATGATATTTATAGCCCCAAAATAGTACCCTATTTTTCAGATAGAAATCGCCTAGGCGTAGTTCTCAACTCCAACATCGTTGCTTCTACCAAGTGCCAGAGTGATTCATTCTCACACGGAACAAGAAAATCAACTTCGTGGACCGGCACTGATATGCATGCGCAACGACATCAAGTTGCCACGAACCTTCTTCAGAATCCTTATTAATTGACTCAAGGGAGCATGTCGGAGCTTCGCCCGATTGTGACGTTTACATCGAAAACAGCTACATCTGGAACCTATATTCCTGCCGTGTGTATGACTTCGGGCCAAGAAACTTAAACTTGGTGGGTTGCGGCCTCTCAAGTAAGAATCTTAGGCATCTCGCTCAACTTTCGAGCTTCACTCCCTCTCAGCTGCCGAGCCTCATTGTATAGTTACGGGCCGATTGTCTTGGTCAATGCTATTGCACCACTACAGGAACAAATTCGCTGCCAGCTTACAGCTTGCCTGGCACGAATGTTCACGATAATTTTCAACATTCAATATCCAAACGCTGACGCTGAGCTCATCTAAACTGTCAAGATGCGAGGTGAGGTCATGTCGACGTCACCACGCAAGCACAACCGGGCTGAGGAAATGCAACCTTAGATGCGTGTCCGGCTCGCCAGGCGGAAATGTTTGATCAGAGCAGAAAAGTCTCCGTGGCAGCTTGACATGGGGGGTTTGATGGGAAAGGGCTGTCAGGGAACAGGACGAGCAAGGCCCCCGGGTCTGAAGCGGGGAGTCCCATTCGATCTCGGCGCAGAGCCTCAAGAGAAGGAAGAGAAGCAAGCAAGCAGGCAGGGCAGGGCAGAGCAACAGCAACCCCCCCATCCCCCCAAAAGGCGACCCCCCGGGCAGCCGTCACTGTTTCATGATTCCGGGGGCGGGCCCTTGGGTTCGCAGGTTTCATGTTTGCGCGGGACAGCTTGGATCCGACTGTGCCATTGCTCGCATGTTGCTGCATCGGGCAATAATTCTAACCCGCAGCATGAATTATCAAGCCTGGGCCCGGTGATGCGCGGGCAGGAACTGAGGTGTGTTCTGTGCATGGAGGGGAGGGTATTCAGAATTGGAATTTGTCATGATACTCCCCACGCACGCGGTCCACGTAATCGCTAGCTATGCCTTGGAGGAAGGACGCGCTGGTAGTCCCGCGACTGGACAGAGACAGTAGGGAATGATCGTGGGCGCAACCCAGGATTCTGACTTCGGTGTCCTGTCTCATCGTGAAGGAGCCAGCCGGCCTCCTACACTACGGAGCCGTGACGGCGCCATTCACACGAGGGAAAGCCAAGAGTGCATTGGAGAGCTTAATCCAACTCTGTGCAATGGGGAAGACCGTGAAAAGCATCACGCACGCATAGAAGTCATTGGACTCGACCACCCCGAAGCGGAAGCTTATCGTCGACTGTGCCCGGAAGAATGCTGTTGATGCAGCCTTACTGATCATCAATTGCCTTTTCCCATGTACACGTGCATCACAGACTAGCAGCCGTCTTGCCGTGTTTCTCGGGCGCAGCACTGACCCTGGATCCGGAATCTATAAAGACAACTAGCCCTCGAGATTGTCCGAATTCTGCCAATGTCTGTGTGTTGCTTCCGTAGATACCGGCATTGCCCAATGTGGAGACGCGGCATGGGTGACCTCATGCCTGGGTACATGCGAGCATCCGGACATCCTCGTGGCATTGACTTCAATGTTCAGGTATGTCAGCCCAGGATCCACAAGCATCACAATGGATGGCGGGGCAGAGAACAGGCCCCCGGCGGACTATTGAGAAAGCCAGGGGACCTCGAAGAGGATTGGGACTGGAGAGGCACCTTTTGGGATGAGAATAGTCGCAATTCCTCGCTTGAGGCTTTGCCTAGTGCTACTCGGAATCGTTTCTTCTTTCTTTCTTTATTTCTTTTTGTGACTGGTCAGAACCACAGACTTGATCCCAACGTGGGGGGAATGAAATCTTAATGAAAAAGTACGAGCAAAAACTCATTAAGAAAAAGCATGGTTGACAGTGGGCCTTGGCTTCGGATCGCGGGCGACATCGAGGCCAGGGACCGGGAGCTGGTCCCCGCCGACGGCACAGGGGGAGTTGCATCCCAGCTGGATCCCTGACAGTCCGATGGCCAGACCGGGGCCTCGGGGGTCCCAGTCATTAATCTACTCGAGACCGCATCGAACGCCCTGTGAGATGACGAGGAAAACTTCCATGCGCGTTCGTGCATGGCGACGGGGATCAGACCGGACCCGCCTGCATATTTGACGACAGGGCATCGGGATGGGCCCTGAGTCGAGCGTCCCTGTGGAAAATGTTACTTGACGATACAAAGGGGAGATGCCTTTTCGTACACGAGGTTCTGCAGGTTAGTGCGCTCCAGGTGTCGCCTTCCTTCAGGCTGCAGGGCCGAACACGATAACCGCATTTTCGTGAGTTTGGTGGTGTGGTGAAGGCACAGGTTGGCCCCCAAGCTGCAGAGACAATGACCCGCCGATTAATTACACAATAGTCGCCATCAGCTGCAAGACAGCCGGCCAGGGCTTGGCGGTCTTTAATTAATTGAAAGAAAAAAAAGGAAGAAAATGCCACAGGCGACGACGCGCGCGCCAACTCGCCGCGCTCAGCGCATAATCATAGGACCACGGCTCCGCGAATGATCGGCCGGGCCCGCCGTTCGTCCATCCCATCGTTTAGACCACCACCATGCGCCGCAGGGGATTGGCCTCCAGGATTCCTCCCCACCGCGAGTCGTTGTGCCTCTTTTGTCGACCGTTTGGTAAGGCTGGAGGGCTGGAGGGAGGGAGGGAGACAACCTCACCCGATTTCCATGTTTTCGTATCCGGCATTGCCGCCCGTCGTCGTACGCAGCAAGGGCATCACCGCGGCTGTGACCGTGTGCGAGTACAAGCAGTAGGCTAGTTAGCTGCGGGCGTTGTTGCTCCCCCGGACCTGCGTCTGAATGTGCATATTTCAGGCTTCCTGTCGACGTCGTGCAGCAGCCATACAACGCTAGTCTGCAGGGGGACCGACTGTACATACGTAGTCTGGCTTGGGGGGTTCTCGACGCTTTCTAGCTTTGGGGGCAGGTGGCATGCCAAGGTAGATAGGCACCGGCCACGGCTGTCAAGATTTTGCAATACGTGTATTCCTCTTCTTGGGGGCGACAGAGGCTGATGTCGATCCAAGAGAGCTCAGACATGGCAGGCTCGGATACGGAAGAGGAGCACCGGTTATCGTCACATGGCCAAGGGAACAATGATACGTATGTCTTACGGCCTCGCAGACGGCATATACCTGCATTCCGAGGTCGAAACTAGACTGAAGACCGTCTCGCCAAGATCCTTTCTTCACGAGCTTGCTAGACAAGTGCCAAGCATGGCGCATAGTATAACACCGAACACGCACGGAATCTTGATTAACTTTCCTTGGTGCTTACCAACTTGTTATCACAAGCTTGGCCAAGCCAGCAGTTCGCTTGGTTTTAGGGAGCCCACCTTCGTTTCACACTGCCAAAGGCTATCGCTGATAAGATTCCGCGATCGCTCTGATGCGATAGACCACGGTGGACCGCGGTACTCCGTAAACTATGGTAGACTATGGTAGACTATGGTAGGAGCTCAGAACAGGGCCAGGATTTGCAAGGAGCATGGTTCGTCCGCCGCAGCCTCGTGGCAGGCGGCAATTTGGCTCGCAGGCGGGCAGGTACAGTTCGCCAAAGCAAATCGCGGACAACTCCTTGTACGTGACCGATAAGGCCGGTTCCTTGTCTCCCGTTGTCCCGCTCGCTCGTTCGAGGCTAGCAACCCAGGGGAGGGGCATGAATGCGTCCAAGAAGTATGGTGGGCGGGTGATTGGGTGCTGGCACTTGGGGAGGGGGGCTTTGTTTCGAAGATGGTGAGGCTTGGGTTGTCCGATGGAACAGCGGCCACCCGAGGCAGAGGCAGGGCCAAGCCGAGACAGACAGACGACCACGTCCAAATCCACTGCGTGCGTGCTAGGCTATCGGATCTGTTGTCATAAGTCGCATGATGGTGATTGGGGGGTCCGTTACCAGCCTATTGGGATGCGACTGGTGGGTTAACACCGAGGTTTTGGTAATGTTTATATTTATAAATTTCCCTTCGTGCATATATGCGTACTGTTACATGCCGACATACGTACATGCCGTCGTACGATGGGGTGATTCGGCAGCAAGACGAACATTGACCGACAGACAGGTGATGCTCTCGAGGCTTGGGATGAGCGGTTCCTGGCTGTACCAGACTAGACGGCGTACCTGTCGATGCTTCCTTCCAATTGGTTTCCACCTGTGTACCACGGTAGCGGCACAGAAGAGCAACGGAATGCACAGACCGTCCAAGACGATCAGTGATCAGCGGTCCCCTGCACATGAACCGCACCTGTTGCCGTTTCGAACAGACATCGAGAACGCCCCTGCAGAATCGGAGTGGATGGGTGGATGGGCCAGCTATTCCAGGCCGGACCAATTCGACTGCAGCATCGTGCGAAACCCTTGGTTTTGCCCATCACATGCCTACTCCAGTAAGAGGTTCGCTGGCAGTATTTTCTGCACCACCAACGCCCGTGGGCACATCGTCGAGACCATTCACAGCCACAAGGAGCTTGGACTGCCAGACTGCGTGGCTTCTGGCTTCTTGGGACCAGCTGGTGGGGAGCGGGCCGGATTGAAGGATTCGGTTTCTCTCACTCACCCCACCATGCCCCGGTCCAATTCTGGGTCTCGGGAATTCTTCACCAGTGCGGCATCGTAAAATGATCAGAGGGAATGCGACGGGAGATTGCAACCGCCGGTCAGGTCAGGTGTCGTGGGCGTCATCGCTATTAAAGTTTTGGATTTCTGGGAGGTGTGTGCAGGCTGGAAGAGACCGTTGCAACGCCTTTTAGCCAGGCTGCGTCTGCAATCTGTGTCTGTGTCTGTGTCTGTGTGGCCGCCACAGCAGGCCGCCAACTGTCTCGGCCCCCTTCCTGGAAATAGAAGTAGGAGAGGGCAGTGATTGAGGCGTAGGTGCTACCACCTGACACTGAGATAGTGTCTGTATCCCCCAACACCAGACTTCCGCGCCAGAGCTCAAACAGAAGGGAGGTCGTGGCCAGACAGGCAGAAGAGATGAGGTAGCAGAATAGCAGACCAGACCAGACCAACAGGCCAACAGGTCACAGGCCAGAGCAGAGGTCAGAGACCAGCGAGGGCGGCGGGCACGGCCGTGGCCGTGATGACATTCCAATACCGGCAGCAAAACCCACCTCCGTCACGACAACGCTTGTTATTCTCCGCCGGAGCCTTGCCCAGGCTGGTGTCATTCCGCCCGGGTCGTTGGTGCGAGATGGAGGCTGTATATTGGAATTCTGGGTTCGGTGGGGTCTGTGACGAGGTCGGTGCTGCGTGCTGCGTGTACTTGCACCCGCAGCTGTCAGGTACCGAGCAGGGCGACATGATGGCTGATGCCCAGGCGGGCCGGGCGATTCTCGAGCTGGCGGAGAAGAGAGAAGCCAGACCAGCCAGAGCAGCCAGAGCACATCACAGGTCCCCGCTTGTCTTGGATGATCCCTGCCTGCCACCACTCACAGATTTCCATCCCATCAACCTTGAGGGACCGACAAGAAGAAAAAAAAAAGCGCCCCTCCAGCTGGGGCCCCTGGCGAGTCCAGGGCCCTGGCTGTGGCCTGGGCATGGCAAAGCAGCAAAGTTGCAACTGGGGCCCTGGCCATGCGGCCCTCCCCATCCATCCACCTGGGCACCCTGCCTCTCTTCCCCTCCCCTCCCCCCCTCCACATCGTTTGGCGCGGCCATGGCGACTCACTGACTCTGCTGCAGATCGGGCTGGTCCATTTCATCCAGAAAGTGGGTGTGTGAGCTGCTGCTGCCGCTGCCGCTGCCGCTGCTGTGCAAGTCACCAAGTCACCAAGTCACCCAAGTCACCCAAGTCACCCAAGTCACCCAAGTCACCAGTGACACCGACAGTGACAGTGGCAGTGACAGATGCGAGAGAGTACGTAGAAGAAGAAGAGCGAAGGAAGCCGACAGTCTCACTGGCCTGGTGTGGTATGGTCTGCCATGCACAAAACTGGGCGCCAATCTCTCTCACGCTTCCTATTTTGCCTATCCTGTCGACCTTGCAGCCCCCTTTTTGCTGCTCTTCTCTACTCTGCTCTGCTTTATTGTGTCCTGCCCTGCCCTGTCCGGTCCTGCCCGTACATACAGGACTCCTCGTCGCCTTATTGTCTGGGCTGTCTGGCTATCTGTCTGCCGTCCCCGCGCCCATTCCTAAACTAAACTTTTGCATTGCGCACGCCATCTTGTCGGATCCTGTCGGCAAAACAAAACCCAACACTACCCAACCCAGCACCCACACATACCTTACCTACCTAACTTGATCCCAAAGTAGACTGCAGTACATACTTACTCCACGAGGGCCGCGACACATTGACTTGCCTGCTTCGCCCCCCCTCTCTTATTTTTTTTCTCTCCCTCATTCCTTAACCTCATCTCCGCCGCCTCGTCAGTCGCTCCCTCGCCCGCCCGCTCACTGCCACAACCCACTCCCAACCGCAGAACCGCCGATAGCACGGGCCAACGACGACTCAGTGGGCTCTCTGACTAACGTGAAGGAGCCGCTGGACAAAGAGGGAGGATCGCATGCCTCCATCCTGAATAAAGAAGCCCCCGACAAACCTACTCAAGGCTCGAATCCTCAGCATTCCGAGGAAGACCCCAAAGTGAGAATCTCAGTCGCTTTGATCTTCATTTCTACGCCGTTCTCGCCATCAACATCCTCGGCACGATCTGCGACTAGAACCCGCGCATATCTTCAGTTCGGCACTGCACCTGTGGCACGGGCTTTTCCCCATGACTCTTGTTTCCCTCTGCTTGAAGTGACGACATCGTTTTCTTTTTTGGGATCCCTCGAGCTGCGCCCAAATTATCCGAACAACCATACCCACCTGCCCGACCCCGTCCCCTCAACACCGGGGCTGGGAGCTGCGTGTCTTGGTTAGCCACCCGACCCAACCGACCGTTGTGCATAGTCCTCTCCGCGACCCTACTGCCATCGCCGCGCCTCAACTCGTTGGGCACCTACTTGTATCCAGCAGGCGCCTGCCCCAACGTTACCGTCGCACTGACTCACAGTCTCCCGACGGCAACAGCGTGTGAGCAGACCTGGCGTAACCTGAGCTTTGGCATTCTGGGATTCATTGGCTGGAGAACCCGTCTTGTTAAAGAAGGAGAGGGAACAATTGAAGACAAGAGAAGGTGGGACGGTCCTCTGGCTGCACCCGCTTGAGATACGTTAAACTACCTGGACAAGGAAAGAGGGAATTACGGCAACACCATGAAGGTTCGTACACCAGCCAGGCCGTCGCACTCCCCTTTTTCGTATCATTCCACGCGCATTCCCGCACATTTGCCTATGCGTCGACGATCGGCTGCAGCCCGCACGGCATCTCGATGCCTCTTTTCACTCTCGCGCTGCATCTCGGATCATCGACGACTACATGCGTCCTCCTTTACTCCATTCCCTCGCTTCCCAAACACATTCGCACGGCTCAGTCATTAAGAACATGTCGCATATGTCGTTGAGCAAGCAAACTGACATTTTGCGTGCCATAAAGGCCCTTCGCAGGTCAATCAAGGGAGAGGAGAAGGCAAAGGCCCACGTCTCGATCGGCCCCAAATCCGCTGTCGCGATAGTTCCGCCAAAAAAGGTACGTTGACTGCACAGCAACAAATCTCTCTCTGGCCTCCAAGGCCGTCAGCATCTTGCTCCATGTATTTCACCGACGCATCTTCTGTGTCCTTGGGAACAATGATCGGGAGCGGGCTGTGTGCGGGTGGGTGAAGGGTATTCGATTCCTCTTCTCCAACCAACCCCCGCTTTGAGCCCGGCTTGCGGCCCATTACTCCTGGTATCACTGGAGATCCACAGACTCAGGAGAAGCTGCTAACACCCATGGTCCTCTAGGTTATTCGGGCGCTATACGACTATGAAGCACGGTCTAGCCAGGAACTCAGCTTTTCGCGCGGCGACTTCTTCCATGTCATCGGCCGAGAGAATGACCCCGACTGGTATGAGGCGTGCAATCCCGCTCTACCTGACGCTCGCGGCCTTGTGCCAGTGAGCTTCTTCAAGGCTCTCGGCCGCACAGAGCGTGACAGCGCAAGCTCGGACACGAGTCGACCGTCACCTGGTGGTGCCATCAACAACCCCGACCACGATTCCGGGTATGCCGAGACATCTGCATCGAGCGTAACTCCTACGCAAACGGCGAGTCAGAGGAGCTCTAAGATGTCTCAAGGGAAGAATGGGGCTATGGTGTATGGCATAGTCATGTACGACTTCCAGGCCGAACGGGCAGACGAGCTGGAGGCAAAGGCAGGAGAGGCGATTATCGTGATTGCGCAATCAAATCCCGAGTGGTTTGTAGCGAAACCAATAGGGCGACTAGGCGGTCCAGGTTTGATTCCAGTCTCTTTCATCGAGATCCGCGATATGGCTACAAATACACCAGTCCCCAACCCTCAAGATGCTATCAGGAGGGCGGGAATACCGAGGGTCGAGGAGTGGAAGAAGATGGCCGCCGAGTACAAGAACAGCAGCATTACATTGGGCAAGTTCGAAGCCGGAGGGCCCCCGGGACAGCAGGGATCTCTTGAGCAAGGCATGGAGCGCATGAGTCTTCAGCAGGGCGCTGGTCGTATGAGCCAAAGCAACGCACAGCAGCCTCAAAGCAACGTGAGCATTGATCTTATCCCCCCTACACCACACAGCATTGCTTTGCTAACCCGGCAACAACCTCCAGCGAAACACCCAGAGCCAGCAACCCCCGATGGCTAACCCCCAAGCCCCAAGCCCTGGAGCACAGTTGCACGCTCCCATCTCCGCACGCATCCCCCGCTACTGCTTTGCCGAAGACAAATACTGGTTTGTGATCGAGGCCGCGCTGGAGGATGGTCGACATTGGGAGCTGTCGCGATATTACGAAGACTTTTACGACTTTCAAATCGCGCTTCTTACCGAATTTCCGGCCGAGGCAGGAAACACTGGCACGCAAAAACGGACCTTGCCGTACATGCCAGGTCCTGTCAACTACGTCACCGACGCTATCACCGAGGGTCGACTCCACAACTTGGATGCCTATGTGAAAAATCTCCTGAGCCAGCCAACCTATATTTCGAGGTGTAACCTGGTCAAGCAATTCTTCGCACCCAGAGAAGGAGACTACGAGATTGATCCAAGTACCACGGGCGAGGAGGAATACCGACTATCCGGCGGCTCCCAGCAGTCGTCTCAGGAGACACCACCGGACGCCATATCACAGCAGTCATCGAAGAACAACCTCAATGGTAATGGGTATGGTGCAGCACCGGGTTCGAGAGGACACAACGGCGTACCTCGCCAGTCGTCATCTCTATCTCAACCTTCGCAGAATTCCATGTCTCCCGGTCTGAACCAGCAAGCAGCAGCGATGAAAATCAAGCTTAGCTACAACGGTGATCTTATTGCCATCCGGGTACCGACGGATATTCAGTTCCGAGACTTGTACGAGAAGATCCGTGACCGGCTCAAGATTCCGGCAGGTGATCCTATCGACATTTCGTACAAGGACGAGAGCACACAGGACAAGCTCCCGATGATCAGTAACAACGACCTTGACGTTGCGTTGGAACGCAACGAGAAGCTACTGATATATGTGGAGCAAGTCTGAAGTGCTTCGTCAACGGTCCCAAAACCTTTGATAACCCGCACCGGCTCTTAAGATTGGCTTGCCGTTCGACTGCCCGATCACTTGTGCATCGACATTTTCTCCCACGCAAGCAAATCAGTCGGCGACGGTCACTGCACTATTCGCTTAATTTGCGGATTCGGAGGTATTCCAGGTCAGGGTCGAGGGAAAGATGCGACGAGACTGCTCATTTCTGTTGTAACAAAAACCTTTGACGGGAATATTGCTTAGTAGCTGGGCTCCCAGTGCATCCACGGTCGTTAAAAACTGTCGGCAGACCCTTTTCGCACACATCCGGTCGAACGATCAGGACCTCCAGCTTTTGGCTTCTTATTCACCGTTACATAAAATCTGTCACCTTACGTCGACGAAGCGCAAGCAACTCATGATGATGGGTATATGTCTATATGGGAGCTTTTCCAGTTGGTGGAAAAGCAAAGGCGTTCACGGCTGGCTTTTTTGGTCAACCTTTTTCTTCTTACACTTCTATGAGATATCTAGGCTTCGGTCTTTTTCTTTGGTTGGTTTCTTCTTTTATTTGATTCCCTCTTGCTCAGTCTTTATTATTACCCACTTTCCGTTGCTCCTGCGGGGCTGTCATGTTAGGGTGAGCTTGGAAAACGCGAGATGCAGGTGCTGGTGCGAGAGGACGGAGATACCAGCTAGTCGGTGTGCGAGGCTCGGGCTCCGCGGCGGACAAAATTGGATCACGATGTGTGTTGCTCGGTGGGGTCTTGCGGACCGACCTACAGGAGCGGAACGTCAGCGCTATTGCGAGAAACGGATGACGAGAAGGTCAATTTTGATTCTGGTTCTGAGAGAATTTCAGTTCCTGGCGTTGGAGCAGTGCCCCTGAGAAAGCTTAGTTGTCGTTGAGAAGGGAATGAACAGAGAGTGACGAGTGAGAGACTTTGACGAGATCGTCAGTGTGCCCATGCAGAATGAGTGTCTAAGACGTGATATCGAGCCAATTCACAAGAGATTCATAATGTGAAGAGATTCGTATGAATTGTTTATTGTATGTTTACATGAGAGTTTACAAGAAAGGACATTCTGGTCCCGCAAGTGGACCGGGGCTCCTATGGCAACAAGAGATCTCAATTTCGTAGCATACCAGTCACCGGTAGCGCAAAGGAGAGGAGTTTAATAAAGTCAAGTCATCATTATCTTGGTCTGTGGGACTAAAAGTCATGCTTGCTGGTGGAAGCAACGCCAAACGCCTTGCACATCCTCACCCCTGATGACGACCAGGGTCCCTTCGTCATGAGAAAAAGCTTAAAGAACAAGAACAGACTTCAGATAAGAGCCCAACGGTAATATGTACATCACGAAGCGAGTCGACCTGGCTGGCACCCGGGGCCGGGTCGCCGGCCAGCTAGCCGTATTTGCTATTCTCCCTTCTCTCCTCACAAATTTTTCCACCGGCTGTGGCTGCCGAAACGCCTGGTATATGTCCGAGTTCGTCGAGCATGCAAGTATGTATGTATGCATGTATATAGTATGTGAACATTTGACGGGTCCTTCCAAAGGGTGCGATGCAAATTTTTGTTTCCAGTGACCTTAGACAACAACGTGCGTGGCCATGTGCTCCACCGCCTCCTTGATCGTCCGCAGCATGCGCTGGTTGATGCAGAACGGGCAGCGCATGGGCCGGTCCGTCGTCGAGATGGGCCCGTTGGACGGTATGGGCGTCAGGTTCAGGTCGTCGCCCACCGAGTACCGCGGCTGCGCCAGCACGCTCCCGTTGGCGCTGCCCCCGCCGCCCCCGCCGCCCACGCCACCACCGCCGACTCCGCCGACTCCGCCGGGCTGCGCGACCCCGTTCCTGACCGGCGTCGCCAGCGCCGCGCCGGCGGCCTGCTGCGCGTACGACTGGCTGGCCCCCATGCCCGCCAGCGGCGGCGGCGGCGGCGGAGGCGGTGGAGGCGCCTGCAGGCCCCTCTCGGCCATCTCGCGCTCCTCCCTGGCGGCCGCGGCCTCGGCCTCCGCGTCGGCCTCCTCCTGCTGCAGCGCGTGCAGCGCGTTCTGCAGAACAATCTCCGGGTCCTCGTCACCGTACGCGTCGCCTGGCCCGGCGCTTGCGCCACCACTGCCAGGGGGAGGGTTGCCCATGCCGCCCCCTCCGTTGTGGTTGCCGCTGGTGTCGAGGACGTGGTTGGGCTGGCCGTTGTGGTTCAGCTGGGGATTCTCGAGCCTGCGGACAACCTCGTCCCGGACCCTGGCGCAGGTGGCCAGAGACGGCTCGACACCGACGATGCGCTGGACCGAGTCGCGGATAGCGGCGGGGCTGGTGTCGGGGCCGACTGACATGAAGCGCGGGATCGCATCGACGAGATAGGGGATGTCGTCCTGGGGCGGGGGCGCGGTGCCGTGCCTGCGCTGGCGGCGGATCAGGAGGCCGTAGCGCTTCTTGAAGCGGTGGATCCAGCCGGGGCTGAACTCGGGGGGCTGCTCGTCCTTGTAGCGCGGCAGCTGCTGGAAGATGGACTTTGCCTTGTCGGCGAGCTCCTCGTTGGTGGGCTGGCGGCCGCTGCTGACCATGCTGTGGTGCCACATGAGCACCAGCTTCTCGACGTCGGGCCAGTTGCCGAAGCGCAGGCGCGAGCCCGACAGCTGGGGGTCACCGTCGAGGCGGGCGTACTTGGGCGACAGCGAGTGCGAGACGGTGGACTGGCTGATGGTGTTGCCGTACTGGCTGGCGAACCACTCGATGCAGGCCTTGTGCGAAGGGCGCACCGTCTGCGAGTTGGCCCAGCGCCGCAGCGCGCGGCGTTGGTCGAGAGACAGCGAGTGACGCTCCTTCTGCTGCGACGGGGTGGCGGTCAGGGCATCGGAAGGGGAGGCGTCCATGGCGCTGGAGACAGAAGTGGCCGGGCCTGTGGCCGTGGCCGTGGCCGTCGGAGCCGACATGGTTCGCTACGAGAGCGGTTCCAATTTTTGGACGCGAATATGGCCTTTGTGTCTACCCACGATATTTAACTACCGTGTCGAGGCGTGTCGAGGCGAGGCTGCTTTGCGACATGCAATCGATGCAACGGATGCAATTTGCGATGAAGTGGAGACGGAGCAAAGTGGCTTAAAGAGGTGGTTGGCTTTGCTAAAGTCGGGCAGCGTGCCACACTGCGGGGTTGAAGAGGCAAAGGGGGCGGGCACGGGCTCAGACTGATGCGACTGCTGGGGTTATTGGGGGGCGTTACATAATCAGGCTGCAGCAACAGAGTAGAGTAGAGTGACGGCTCTTCCCTTTGACTCATAGCACAGAGCATTCATCAGATCACAATCAACGAGCCTTCAGAGCTGATAGAACGATTATCTGGAATTATCAACATATGTAAACAAACAGCCACAACGCCGGTCCATGAGCGCCCTTTTCGTGGGGCGGGACAGCTTGTGCCGCCCAGTCTACTTGCCCATTTACTGCCAACATCAAATGGTATCTCAAACCAATGCGATCGCAACCATGGCCAGCCGACAGATTTCCAAACACACACAAAAACGCCTTCCCTCAACTTCGACAACTGCGTGCAAAATTGTCCATGCCCTCAGACTCCCTCCCAATACCCCCAACGTCTGCCTCCAGCTCAAGCTGGGAATATCGACAGATCAAGTAGAGCTGGAGATCGCGGTCAGGACAGCGCCTTTCGAAACTCCACTGGCATTATTTGATACCGAGGCACGATCCGCGTGTCGACAACCGTGCTCGCCAACTCGATCGCACACGCTTTGCGCAGCGCCGTCCTCGTTGGCCACATGACTGGACTGCAGGGTGCATGATCGGGCCGGGGGTCGGTCAGACGTAAGCTTGTTGGTAGGTAGGTGATACTAATTCGGGGACGGGAAATGCGGAAAATAGATGAAATGCGGTCCATGACAACAACGTGCATGCCATGATGCCATGCTGCCATGCTGTGCTGGCTATGCCATGAAACACTCGGATAACAATGAAGAGAAACGAAGAATGGAGCCAGAATCAAATCTGGCCTTTGATGTCAACCCGGGCGAAGGCTTTGGTTTTTGCAGCATTGAAGTGCCCGTTGGCTTTGCTCATCAAGAAGTAGACAACGGAATCACGCTCTTCAAGAAGCTCCTGAGCTTCATGATCGACAAGGAACTTATAAGTATCGCCGTCGGCATCAAACCCGAGCTCCTCAGTTATGAATCGAAGCTGCACGTCTGACTTGTAACTACACCAAGAGTCTGGTCAGCACTGTTTGCTTGATGCTTGAGGCAGCAGTAGCAGGAGGTGCCGGGGCAACTTACGCTTTGCACATATTGCACAGTGCAGCAAGACGCTCACGATCGACGAACATGTCCATCAGGTACGCGCCCATCTTGATATGGGAGGGGTCAATGTAAAGCTGGAAGAAACGATGGTAGTTGCCTAGGGCCAGGGCCGAACGGACGCCCAGTGCGTGCTTGATGGCAGGCTCCGATTTCTCTGCTGTGGTTAGATCTGCCAGGGCATCGTTCAGGTCCGAACGGTTGGCGGTGTAGATGAAATACAAAATACGGTAGGCCTTGAACTCATCGGGATGACCTTTCAAACCCAGCCTGTACAGGGCCATGAGCTGGGTCTGGCACTGATTATACTCACCAAGGTCGGCCATCTCCAATGCGATCCGGGCGTGAATCTCGTAGACCTCGACAGTGAAGTCGTTCTTGATCCGCTGCACAGTGAGGTCTTGACGCAAGGACTTGAACTGGTCGCAAATGTAAGAGTAGTTTCTCTCTTTCCTCCACTTCTTCTTGAGGAGGTCCAGGGTCTGCCGCAAAATATGTTCTGGGCGCACAACTTCAGGCTTGGGTGGCGCAGTCAACCGCAGGTAGTTCTTTTCCAATTTTTGGCACGTTCCAATTACAGGACCAGCGGGAGGCTCGGGCGTAGGAGACCTCTGAGGGGACGGCTGGGGAGCACCAAAGCGTTCGGCACGTTTTTGTCGCTTCTCGTTGGCCTTTGTGTACTTACTCTTGGCCAAAGGCTCGTCCATGGCTTGGCGCTTGTCATCGGCAGCGTAGCTGACACGTTTTGCTAGGTCACGGTGCCACGGAGCTGCGGTAGCCGGGCTGCTATCTTTGCTTCCGTCCTCGTCAAAGGACTTTCTCTTCTTGGCTGAACTGGGACTGCTGCCTAGGGCAGGCTTCTGTGACTCTCGCAACTTGATGCGCTCCTGCATGACCAACTGCTGGGGCAAAGGCAGATTGTCCCAGTCCATCGTAAGCAGTTCGTCGCGTTGGGAAGCGCCAGAAATGACCTCCCTCAACTTTTGCTCCATTTCAATACGTGAGACCGAGGCAATCAGGTTGTCAGGAATAAAGGATCGTTGGACGTATTGGCGAACCGACATGGGCCATTCCATCTTCTTTTTGGCGGGCTCGGGTTGATTAGCTGGGGGCGGAGGAGGCACCTGTTGTGCACCGTATGGGGACGGTGGAACAGGGGCACCTGGGTAAACTGGAGGAGGGGCAGAGTACGGCTGACTGAAGTTCTGGCGAACTTGAACCTGGGTGTATGCAGCTATCATGAAGGTTAATGGCTTGCTCAACGATCACTTGAGGCCGGGACAGACTTACGGTTGGGATAGGCGTAGGTTCCTGGAGGCGGAGGGGGGATTGCTCCTTGAGTGCCGGGCGCAGCGGCCCAGCCCATCATGTTTGCTGACATGTTGGGCGACGCGACGATACGCGGGGGTAGGGACAAGTGTGGCACAGAAGTCAAATACGGCTGTAAAGATCAGTAGAAATTTGTCGAAAAGACGTTGAGGAAGTCGCTTGGTGATGGTGGCGATGGCGACGATGGCGTAGATGTAAATGGCGACGACGTCGGTTGATGTCTCAAATGAAAAGGAAGTCGGGGGAAAGCGGTGGGAGGTGACTGGTGGTCGGGGGGCAGTGATATGGATTTGTGAGATTTACTGCTGCCGTGTACGGCGCTAGTGGGCCGATCTGGCTTACCTAACACCCCAAGTCCAATCCTGCCCAGCGTGATCGGTTCCCGTTTGGGCTCTAAGCCGGCTAGATGCATCAGACCTGACATCACTGTCCTGCTACATCGCATCTTCTACTGCCCTGGACAAAGTCGGGACTGCCAGGCAGTCTCTCCATGCCCCTCTCTCCCTTTCACATTTGGGATTGTCTCCCAGAACAGATATGACGAATGTTTCTAAAGCAGCTAGACCTCACAACTGCCCTCCGGCCAGCCTATCTCCCAGACGAAGTCCTGCTCTTTGTTCAAGATAATGTGGGGTTGTACGAGGGGTTAGTTGATGCATCCATATGCCGTCCATTATTGGCTTGCGCCGCCCTTCTTCTGCTGGTTATCTGGCTCTCTCCTTGATGCTGCCGCCTTTGATTGTTCTCGCCTGCTGGAACGTAGAAGCTAATTATTCCAACCTTCTGCAGAAAGTATAAGCTACCGAACCAACAGAATGGACAGGTCTACTTGACATCGCATCGCATCTGCTATGTAGATAAGACCGACCCCAGGAAGAACTCGGTCACCTTGGACCTGAAGGAGATCGAGCGATATGAATACTACGTAAGATCAAGCACGTGTGGTAGGATGGATACCTCGGAACCACTTTGCTGAGAATATGTGCAACAGGCAGGCTTCCTCAAATCCTCGGCCAAGGTTACCTTGATACCCAAGCCCACCAAGCGCTCTTCGTTCCAGTCCAGATCTCCAGCGGCTGGGACTGGCTCACCGAGGGACAGCAACAACTCTCCTGTCCCGCGATCAGACAGCCCTTTGAGGCCAGCACCCGTCGACCCGTCTCCTGCGAGCTCGGCGACGTGGGTATGCACCATCTGCAGCTTCTCAAATCCGGTGCCATCCAACTTCGACCCGGCCACCGCCAGTGCTTTGACTCCACTTCCGCCTTGCCTGGCATGTGGGATCAAGCCAGCCTTGACTCACGTGCTGAAGGCGGCTATAAATAACGCGACAAGCAGGCAGTCGGTGGTGTCGCCCTTACCGCTGCGTCCTCGAGGCCTGTCGGGAGGCAACAGTCTGGTCTCGGGGAATGAGTCACCAGGGGCACGCGACAGCCCCCCAAAGACATCTGATCCGGATGCCTCCTTCCAGTGCCCTAGGTGCACCTTCTTGAACCATCCGTCTCTGCTATCATGTGAGATATGCGGGGCGCCTTTAATTTCGCATGACGTACCGACGGAGCTGAGCCAGCCGGCTCAAGTTCCGCAACCCCAGGATAGGACGGATTCCCCAGGCCCGGTTCTCAGCTACGGTGCACTGCCGGGTATGGAGAGCCCTGAGAGTATCAAGATATCCTTCCGGGCTGGTGGTGACAAGATCCTGTACGAACGGCTCAAGGGTGCCATCACGCAGCGCAAATGGCTTCTGCAAGGCGCACCTCGTGTCCCCAATCAAAATCCACTTGCAGTGGATGGGAACTCTGGGAATGGATCCACACGCGAGCAGGCGAGGAAGAAAACTGTGGGCATCGCAGGTCTCGAGCAGAGGGGCCTGGACATGCGGAAGAACAACGAGCTGGTCATTGGCACTGCTTTTGAGGACCTTGAGGCTCTGATGGCGTCTGCCAAGGAGATCGTCGCTCTGGCTGAAGGCTTTTCTAGGCAGAGCAACGGAGGCCCTGGCTCATCTGAGGCGAACGCACTGCTGGCCGAGTCGGCAAGCCAGCTAGGGCTGGTGACGACCAAGGATATCGTTGGCGGCGGGAGCAGCAATGAGTCGCTGTACCTATCTGAGCTGGCGCGAAACCTCGCGGAATTTCTCACAGATGATGCAAGAGGCGTGCTGAGGAAAGCAGGGGGCATCATCAGCTTAGTCGACCTTTGGGCCATGTTCAACCGGGCTCGGGGTGGCGTGGAGCTGGTCAGTCCCATGGACTTTGAGAAGGCAGCGGGCCTATGGGAGAAGTTGAAGCTGCCTGTGCGGTTGCGGATTTTCAAGAGTGGCGTCATGGTGGTGCAGAGCATGGACAGGACGGACGAGATGACCATCAAGACCCTCCTCGCCTGGCTGCGGGACCTGCATGACATCCCGCCCGAGCGAGAGGTCCCCTGGGACTGGCAGGAGTTTGGCCGCGGTGTCACGGCGCGGGACGCAGCGGACAGGTTCGGATGGAGCATCGGCGTTGCCGAGGAGGAGCTGGAGATGGCGGAGGAGCGTGGAGTACTGTGTCGTGAGGAAGGCATTGAAGGACTCAAGTTCTGGGAGAACTTCATCGATACGGGTGAGGGCCGTCAGCGCAAGCGCACAGAGGCGCAGGAGGCCGAGGCGAAGATTTACAAAGCATTGAGAGAGAGCGGGTTTCTATAGGTACACAGCCCGACGCAACCATAGATATATTGTACAAGATCAATCGACTTGTTTCTCCATAGCTCAAAATCCGCAGGCGCCATACCGAAGGCCTGATGCATTCCATGTCTATCATCGTCAAATCTATCGTCTAGTGGTCTATACTCGCACAGATCATGTAGATGAGAATATCATCCATCCATGGGTATCCAAAAGAAAATCAAAAGCCAGAACGCCATGCCAGAAAGCCATGCGCCTACAGTGCAAAAGTAAAGCCTCACACACTATTATATCCTTGAAAAAACATTCCACTTCTTCCACAAATCCCCCAAGGTCGCCCTACAGTTTCTCCATCAAGCTGCGGCGGACCTTGGAGTTCACTACACCACCGATACCGTACGCCGGTATGATGCGGCACAGCCTCGCGACGACGCTGATGCCCCAGTTCTTATAGACCTGGGCCCAGCGCTCGCCGAGCGTAGGCAGGCCCGACCTCTCGCACCGCGGGCGGTTGTACAGGTCCAGCCCGAGCAGGTGCACGGGGGTGGAGAAGACCTGGACGAAGGCCGGGGCGACGAACTGCACGACGGTCTGGCCGCTGACCTGCCTGCAGAGGGTCTCGCCCATGGCGGCGCCGACCCCCGGGCCCAGCATCATGGGCATGTTGAAGCTGGCGAAGATGGTCATGCAGTCGCGCAGGGTGAAGAGCGCGTACGAGGGCAGCGGCACGGCGCGCACGGCCTTGCCCACGGGGCCGAACATGCGCGCGTACACCTGGTCCTTGTAGACGCCCAGCCCGATGTTGGCGGCCGACGACGAGGCGAACTTGGCCGTGCCTGACGTCACGAGCGTGGCGGGCTTGTTGCGCACGGTCGAGTAGGCCGTGTCGACCGTGTTGGCGGTCAGGTAGGTGCCGCCGTAGGCCATGAAGATGAGCGCGACGGGCTTCGAGAAGATCATGGTGTGCGGCCGGAGGACGAGGTTTCGCAGGGAGCTCCTGACCGAGTCGCCGAGGGTGGCCCGGCCCGATGCGTTCTCCATGATGGACCTGTGGGGGTTCTGTCAGTGTCTGGCTGGTTGTGGGAGAGCTCCCAGAGCTCCTGGAGCTTGGTGACTGAGCCTGGGACATACCGGTCGATGATGGATATCAGGGGCGCAACGAGACCTGCGGCGCAAGATGCGCTGGCGATGTCTGCTGCCCACCTGAAAGCGAGGTTTTTCGTGTTCCACTTGCTCTCGACCGTGGATACCGCATCTTTGCTGTCGAGCTGAGGCTTTGAAAGCGAGATTTGCTTCGGCTCAAGCTTCATCTGGCAGGCCGGGTCGCCCGGCTTGCCATTGTCTCGGTCGGCCATGGTGTGTCGGTCTGTATTTCAGAGACGGACGAGTTTCCACGTGTCTCATGCACAGACTCGAACCGGGTGGTGACAACCAGGCACCCAAAGACGCGACAGGAGAAAGAGTGGGTTTCCCAGGGGAGGGAGGCAGGAGAGAAAAAAAAAACAAGACGGATGGCTTGGCTTCACTTGACGACGTCCCTCTTCTTGTCCATTCTGCGCGAGGTTCCTCGGGGGTCAGGCAGAGGAATTATACGAGTAGCCAGCAAGGAAGAAGACCGAGGAAAGGCAGCGCTGCAGGGTGAATGACTAGTTCTCGCGAGGGAGGTGAGCAGAGAGAAACACGGATGGCCTCATCGTCAGTCGGTCGAGCTTCGTCCGACGCCCTGTGAAATTTCGAATACCCCGGGCTGTTGACATGCGGCCGCCCGAGATCGGAGATAGGCCCCGGCTGACAGGTGCAGCTTGACCCTGAGCCCGCGGGCGGCCCACCGCGGTCTGGGGAACGATCTTCAGGGTGCAGGCGTCAGCTTCTTTTGCTCCTCAGCCATTCGTTGTTGGATATTATATCGCTCTTTCTTCAGAACTAGTCTGCAACTGAAATGATTTGTCGTCTATGGGTGCGGCTTCCAACGTGTAAGGGGATTACCTAACGCATTGAACTCGGCTCTCCTATCCCAGCGGCCAGACTAATAAGCTCAGCCGTTCGCTCCCTCAAGCTAAGCTTTACGCCGGGATATTTCCTCTCGCATCACACATGGACGTCATGTGATAAGTGTCCATAGTCGTGGTGAGATCGATGCCCACTGGATATTTGTGGACAATTCCTGAGGTCATAGTTGGAAGGAAGCACGCAGTCACTGTAATCACAGGCATCACACAGCATGAGAGCAGAGCCTGAGAAAAACAAAACGCCAATTCCATTTCCGTCCCCCCTAGTTGTACATGGTATCTAAACAAATAAAACAAAACGAGCTCCTCCTCTCTTCAGGATGCCCCAAAGGGCCAAACACCCCAAACCTCTGGCCTAAGCACGCCTGAGCAGCTCCTCCGCCACCGCGAGCGCTCCCTTCGTCTTCTCGTCTACCGCCTCCCACTGGCCGGCCGCAGCAGCAGCCCAGAGGGCCCGCAGCCCCTCCCGCTTCTCCCCGGCCATGATTCCGCCAAGGGAGAAGTCCCACTGAAGGGATGGGAGGGGGGCAAGCACCTCCATTGCCTGAGCCCAAGGGTCGACGGGACCGGCGAGAGGACGGTGGGTGAGCTCCGGGAAGAGCGACGAGAGGTAGCCCTGGGGGCTGCAGGCCCTCTGTTTTATTCATCTTCGCGTTAGCATCTTTTCATAAAAAAATCACTGAGGGGTAGGTGAAGATAGAGTGAGAACGAGGGCAAGTGGACAGTCCTAGCTGATCCAGACGCGAAGAGGACTTATATGACAGATAATTGGACACCACATACCTCGTCGAACTCCCCGAAGCTCGAGCCCGGGAACGCCGCAAGGTCGACGGCCTTACCCATCGCGAACATGACGCCTATGGCGCCGATGAGGGGCCTCAGCTTGGCGGCGTCGACCCGGCCGCGCATCTCCTCGGCCTTGTCGGCGAGCGCGAACTGCACCTCGCTCCACCGCGTGCGGAACGCACCGAACTTCTCGTTGTACTCGCGCTTGGCGAGCACGGCGGCCTCGAGCTCGGCTCCCAGTCCGGCGAGGTCCTCGGTCGTCTTCGCCTCGCTCTTCTGGCGCGCCTCGACCACGCCCTCGAGCTTAGGTGGGAAGGTTGGCTTCATCGCGTCGCCTAGGAGGTTATCGGACACTTGGTCTTCCCAGGTGACACCTTTGAATGGATAGTAGGTGGTGGTGGTGGTGGTGGTGATAGTGGTGGCAGTGAGGCGGGCGTTGGGGTCGCCGTTTGGTGGCGTGCCCTTGAAGTCGTTGCGCTGTACAATGCGCGCAGGAGGGGCTGGCGGCAGTGCGTTTGGATTGGCACTGCTGATGTCGCGGCCGATGCGCAGACGAAAGTGAATGGAGTTAAGGATCCCGAATGGATGCTGCTCCTCGTGATTGGTGACAGCAGGCAGGATGGTTGAAGGATGACGGCCAGATCTCTGAGCGCTGTCTGTTTGCGCAGCTATCTCGAGGTTTCGAGGGATGTCAATGTGATCAGTGATCGCAGGAAGGGCGGCAGAAGGAGGATTGTGAGATGGCTCTTCGCTTTCAGATGGAGAAGATGGGTCAATGTCGTAAGGAATGTCAATGTGATCAAGGATCGCAGGAAGAATGACAGGGGGAAGACGAATGTCTGACTGCGCAGCTGCGTCGAAATTTGAGGGCATGTCAATGTGACCGGGGGTTGCAGGGGAGAGTGCAGAAGAAAGATCGCGAGATGGCTGGCCGTCGTTGGACTGCACGAGAGACTGCGCAAGTGCGTCAAGATCGTAAGGAATGTCAATGTGATCGAGACTGTCTGACAACAACGAGCCCGGTGGAGAGTTGGGAGGGGTGAGAGAATTGCGAGACGCCATTTTGAAAAAGTGACGAGCTTTTTGGACCAAATTGAGGGGTGGTCTTCTCGGCGCGGCTGAGTTGTTTTCTCGGCGACGCGGCTGGTGTTGTGGCTGGAGGTGGTGAGCAGCGACGAGGTTGGTGATGCTTAGTCGGCGGCGTCGACATTGAAGCTTGCAGGCAGCTGGTGGCTTACACTTGGGCAGAGAGTGCACCTGAGCTTCACTCCCTGCAAACCTGGGAGGCTAATTCACATGTCTGTCCCAGTGAACTAAGTGAATCACCGCTTTCAAGCCCTGCCCATCAGATGTTAGTATTTTAACTCGAGCTTTATGCTATGATATCCCTTTTCTATGCCAGGAGGGTTTTATACTCTGTGGTTCGAAGACACAGCACTAGCCGCGAATTGTCCCTCGCAGCAGACAGAAACAAAATAACGGCTTTGTGTGCTTCATCAGTAAATGATGCGCTTTGTGACTTACCAAGGGCATGCGGCTCATGATGCAACAGGTCCTACCGTTACGCATTCCCTCCGCCTCCTTTCCACCTCCTGTTCGTGCTGGGCCACTTGCCTCTCCTTCCTCCGCTTGGTGGTTTGTAGATCAGCAAATCGCCCCCTGGCCCCATGCTTGATCTTGGTTATCATGTCGGCAGCCTTGCCCTTCTTGATATCGTTCACCATGAGTTTGTCATCCTCCGCCCTGAGCTTGTTCAGGAACTTGAGCTGGCCCTCAGTCGGTGGGCCCTCCCGCCACCGTTGTCTCCGAGATATCATTACGTGTAGAAAATTCTTCTGGGCATAGCTATCAGCGCCATGCACGGCATCAGTGAAATTGGTTGCCTTAAGGATCTCGTGTGGTTGGGCGTATGGTGCTTTGGAAACGCTAGCAGGTAGGGCTCGGACGACAAAAGCCCTCCAGAAAGAAGAGTCGAGATCCTGAGCATCGTCCTTCTCATCCTTCATCAGTCTCAAATAAGTACCGGAGCCGCTGGTCAGCACGAATTTGTCATGCCCGACTTGTACCCAAGAGTATTGGCTGATGGCGTGAATATGTCTCTCACCAGAGGTGTCGGAGATGAGGTCGAATACGGAATCGTACTCTGTGAATGTGATTTTCTGAGGGACACCTTGGGACACAACAGGGGTTGCTTCATCATAAGCATGCTCTTGTCGAATTTTCTCAGCCTCCTTGCGCTCCTTTGTGCTCTTCATGTCATCGACTGATGCACTGCTGACCAGCTCGCCGGGATCCAGACCGAAGAGCGTGGGAACCGTGACGATCCCAGTCTCGAAGCTGGCAACCATGTCCATGACGTGACAATTCTCCTTTCCCTTGTGAAGTCTCATGCCCCTACCTATCATCTGCACGAGAAGATTCCGAGACCGTGTCGGGCGAGCAAGAATCACACAGTCGATGTTGGGAATATCGGTACCCTCTGTGAAGACACCGCAGTTTAAGAGTACAGGGAACTCGCCCCGTTTGAAGGCATCCAGTATCTCGCCTCTCGCGAGCTTGTGTGTATCGCCCGTTACGAACCGAGCATCCAGACCGTACTGCCTAAATTTTTGAGTGAGACCGGCTACGTGAGCAAGATCGACACAGAACACCAAGGTCGATTTCCGGTCGCCCGCTTTGGCAAGCCAGCTTCTGACAGTGACATCGTTGACCTGGTCTGTGTTCACAGCGCTTGAGAGTTCTGAAGTGACAAAGTCTCCGCCGCCGGATTGTTTCTTCACCTTGCTGATGTCGGCAGTGGACTTGACGGTTGTGAAGACCACGCCGGAGAGCCACTTCTCGTCTATCATGTCGACATAGTCCTTGTGGTAGACGATTTCATCGATTGCAGTACCAAGTCTTAGTCCATCGAATCTTGAGAACGTTGCGGACACACCGACCAAGTTTGGTGAGTCTGATCTCTTGGCCGAGAGGCCGAAGTGCTCAAGAACCTTCATGTAGCCTGGGGCGACGATGTGATGTGCCTCATCGACAAGCACAAGCTTGAAGTTCTCAGGATTGTATTTCCCAAGCCTTTCATCCCTCTGAAGGCTCATCACACTGGCAATGGTGATGTCGGCTACTCCACTGGCGTGAGATTTAGCCATGTCGATCTCAACGGTTTTACCAGGATAAGCATTGATGCAGTGTCTGGCAGCTTGTTCCACAAGTTCCCGTCGATGAGCCAGAATCAGCGTTTGAGTAGCTTTTACGGAAGGTGGCTCAATGTGTTGAATGAGTTGTGTGAATATGACCTTGGACGCTTAGTTAGTTCAATATGCCAGCTATATAGACTGAGGCTTGTCTTGAGGTCGATAAAAGCAAAACAAGAGGGAGCATTCAACACTTATAACATTAGGGCACTCACAGTCTTGCCTCCTCCAGTAGCAAGAGAGATACCTACTCTCTTGTGTCCATTCTTGAGAGCAGACACGACCGACTGTATACATTCCAGCTGATAGTCTCGAAGTTGCACTGGTTGAGTCGCATAATTTCTTGAGCACCCGAATGAGAACCTTGGATCACAAAGGATGTTCCGAGGGGCTGCAAAGATTATCCTCCGTGATCCCGGTATGGTTGGTATTGTCTTGGAAGCACTCAAGCCCCTCAACACTGGTCGCATCATGATATGCTCAGCCTTGCCAATTGAAGGACGTTGAGAAAAAGTTGTAAGGCTGAGGAGGCGAGTTGTCGAATGGGCTAGGCCGCTGCATTGATCTCCACAGATGCCCCTGAACCTGGAGCTTAGGGCGGGCCGCGCTAAAGCTCCCATCCCTGCACCTAAAGTCGACATTTTTGTAAAACTTCCACGCATCACCCACAGCTGAAATTGGGTTTGAGGAACCATTTAGTCCGTCTTCCAAAGATGATGTGACGTAATCCGACCAGATGCTGAGACTCGGGCAACCATCAAGGTGCGCTTTGCTCGACTATCTCTAGCCCGATCTCAGTCGCGTGCTATTGATGGATACGCAAACACAACATGCCGTCTGACGGGCATCCAAGCAAACATGTCGAGATGGAGCCCTCGCGCCCCAATGATAGAAAGATGCGCGGCTCCAGAGACGTTAAAAAGGGCGAGGGCAACGCCGAAAAAGGACGAAAACGTTCCAAGAGAGGAAGGTCCAGAGCGCACAACACAGTTCATGTGGAGGACCGTGTTTCTCAGCCTACTGAGATTTATGGTGCGGAACCAGGTGGCTTTCATGACGATGAGAGTCAGGAGCTGCGCAGCCTTTCAAGCGGACAAGCCGGGAGTTCCAAAATGGTGCGAAACAGAGACGCTGATTTAGATGTCGATGCCTCTTTCAGTAGCAGACCTGAGTCTTCACACGGACGTAACTCGTCAAAGGATTCCGTTGACTCTGGGGACCGAGTTGCCACCGTCGAGAACGACAGCTCAGAAGAGCTCCCGGATGGAGAATCTTCAGACAATGGAGAGCTCTTGCCTGCAGATTACCAACCGCCATCTCATCAAATCTCATCTGGAGGAAGCGACTACTCACTTGACGAGGCTGAGAGTAGCTACTTGCCAATTAGTCAATCAATGCATGGAACAGCGTTGGTAGGGGACAGCTTGGGCCAGCCCTCAAGCCCAAGGAAACGGAAGTCGACATCAGAACATAGAGATATGGATTTCAGGCCACTCAAAAAAGCCAAGGGTGCGTTCAATCGCGCTTTTCTGGAAATCTTAAACGAGGACATTGAGCACGCGGCTGCTCAGTATGTCCCTCTCGGGCGCGAGACAACGGACGAGAGAATTGGCCTGCCAGCATCGCAGATCGGCATGGTAGTCTGGACAGTTATGGAAAAAGAGCGCTTCTTCGAGGCCCTCGGTCGCCTTGGTCAGGACGATACAGAAGGTATTGCGCGACGGATTCGCACCAAGGGAGAGATGGAGGTCAGGCAGTACTTGAGATTGCTCCAGGACGCGCTCGCTCACCGGCGGCAACAGAATGAGCTCGATCCTTTGGAGTTGGCAGACTTTCCGGCAGCTGTCGAACTCAGCCACGAGTGCTGTGAAGCGTTGGAGGAAGCGGCAGACAGTCTTGCGCTTAGACAGGAGCACTCTGAGCAGACTTCGGAACAGCATAAGCATGGAAGCGACTGGTTGGTCTCGCAAGAGAAGTGCAGAGAGGCAACCCAAGACGAGACAGTGGACGGAGTGCTCATGCCAACATCAGTTCTGAACGTACCAAGCTGGTTGCAAATTTCGGAGCGACTCTTCATGAACGGCACAGCAGAAGAGAGGAACTGGCAGTTTGTAGACGGGGACCATCCTTCGATTCGGCGTGCGACACTCGAGGACTTCTACTCGCTTGTGCTGACGTTGACAAGACGACTTGTGGCGGCAAGCATCTACGTGGCGGGGTCGCGCACACGAGCTGAGCGCGGATACAACGCAGATACGCAAAACAACGTGTACCGGAAAGACGTCCGTGCCGCCGCCCTTTCCTTGGGCTTGAAGACGGAGAAGCAGCCCGTGTTGGCGGGATCCGCCAGACGCCTGGGGCTGCATGTTTACGAGAATCCACCAAGACCCACCGAAGAGGAAGACGGGATGGGCATCATGTCATATGATGCCGTTGAGCACGCATTGGGAATCAATGGGCAGCAAGATGTCAACAGGATCAGGCATAAGATACAGCGAATAGCACTGTCTTCGAAAGAGGAATCCGTCTCGCCTCATGCACCGGCATACAGCGACAATGAGACAGGCTCGGTGGACTCAGAAGGTGGTGACTCAACCTACGAAGTCGAGGATGAAGACAGCGAGGACGATGACATCAAGGCCGAGGCAGACGAGATCATGCTGTACTCAGCGGTCGATCAGCCGCAGACGAAGAGAGACCGCGAGGCACTGTTCCGCAGGATCAAGGCCGAGAGGGAGCAGGAGAGTTATGCCGACGCCATGGACGCCCAGGCGTCATACCAGGAGGAGAGGCGAATGTGGGAAGTGCTGGCGAGGCTTCCTTCGCAGCCTTTGGTTGACCCTGGGCTGCCTCCGGGCGGGCGCCGATTGAAGGTTTCAGTGGACGCGGCGTATTCCGTGGGGAAGAATTGGAGGGCCCATACGAAAGGGGCGAGTGAGTGGGAATCACGATACCAACCGCGATGAGAAATTACACGCGGCTCAAGCAGTAATCAAATTTCGGATACGGCTTGGTATACGCGTATCACCATCTTCCCTGCCCTTGTACTGTTCACGTACGAATTTTGTCTCGGGTTCGGAAAAGAAGCATTAGTAATCGAGTGGTTCACAATAGATGATAAGTGCATCTTTGGTGCCAGTGTGGACTGAAGCACATCTTGGGAGGAGTCAAGCATTCGTGCCTGGAATATAACTATCAACCAACCCTCCCCCCCCCCAAAGACAGCTGTGGGGGTAGCCCTTCGGAAATTGAGGGCAAGGGTTTGTTGGCCTACTACACATGAGGTTAAGAGCTTGCATTTTAAACGAAGACCCGAGGCAATGGAAGCAAAGAGGTGGAGCCAACCTCCGGGTGTGGCTGTGCTGTAGAATAGGCACGCCATTCGGACTCCAAAGCAGTATCGCCGCCCCCCGGGGGTCCTGATCCAGCGTCGGTGACATGAGGTGAGACGTTGCGAGTTTGACAAAAACCAAATTGCTGCAGCGGCAACCTACGGCTGCCTCTCCCTCTCTGTTTCTCCGTCACTCTCTTGCTACCTGCTATCTGTCTCTCCAACTCACACTGCTACCTACGTTCACATTCATTCTTTGTCGATCAACCGCTGCCACGTCACCTGTCGCCCGCCGACAACCTTGCAAGCATCACCAGCCGAGTCGCCCTCGAATCACCGGGACAGCGCCTGCGCTGCATAGTATCACCACCCCTAGCTCGCCAGAAAACCAAGCGTCTTTGTACAAAACCAACGGACAGTCGCGCCGCCCATTCAGCCATTCTAGCCTACCGATTGACCTGGCACACTAAAACGCCGGCCCGGGAGCTAGTGCTTCGCCACATATCCAAGACACCCATCACCTGCGACCATTCCGCGTCGCCCGCGCATCCGAGCCCTTGGGCCAACACCTCGCTCTCCCTTTCAACCACCAACACATCGTCTCTTCTTCCTGCCAAGACGTCGTGAAAAGCCGCTCGTCGTTCGCGCTTGCTTTCTCTATCAAAACTTGCCTCCAGAATCCACATCTCGAAGCATATCAGCCTCCCACAACCGCCCAGCATGTCAGGCAAGCCAACCGACGCCCCACCAGCCTACTACGCAGGCCAGGGCCCCGAGGCCCCAAAGCCCACCTACGACGCCCAGCAGCAGCAGCAGCAGCAGCAGTACCCACAGCAGGGCTACTACCCGCCACCGCAGGACGGCGGATACTACCAGCAGCAAGGAATGGGCTACGGCCCGCCGCCGGGACAGTACGGCCAACAACCCTACGGGCAGCAGCAGCAGCCGTACGGCCAGTACCCCCCGCAGCAGGGCGGCTACTACCAGCAACCACCCTACGGCCAGTACCAGGACAACCGCGGCAACAGGGGGCCGGGCATGCTCGAGGGCATCATGGCGGCGCTGTGCTGCTGCTGCTGCCTGGACATCCTCATCTAAGGCCGACGGCGGATTCCGGGGGCACGACGCGATGCGGTATGGTGTTGCCGGTGGCAATCAGACGGGTTAGATGGCGATGGGTTAGACGCCTCGGCGTGTGACAGGCACGGGAGCGGGGCACGGGAGGGGCCACGCTGGGACATACGAGGACGAACAATCGCCCGTGGGGTGACACATTGTCAGCTGACGACGCGCACCACGATGACGAGGGATGCGGCTCGGCCGAAAGCGTATCCCCTGGTGACCAGAAGGGTAGTGGGGAGGGGCAGTCTTTACATTGTGGGTCGCATCTTTGCGATAGTCAGCGCTTCTGGTCGGCCGAGGGTTCTCAAAAGCCTGTTCCAGCCGGAAATACGACAGATGCTTGGGACACAAAGAGTACGGGTGGATAGGTGGACGGACTGGGAGGTTCGGGGGGCGTTTGCATTCTCGCACGGCGTTCAAGGCATTTGGTATTCATCTCGGGGCCTCGGAGGAGGCGAGGAAAGGAAAGGAAGGGGAAGGGAAGACAAGGGGCGATATACTTGGGGTGGACACTATCTTCTCTCTAATACCACCTGAACTCGTCCGGCACGCCCTATGGTTTTACTTTACTTTTGAGCTCTTCGAGCAGATAGAGGAATGGAGCAATACGAAGTTGTACATGTCAGCAAACAGTGTTTCAATGCGCTGTGAGAACGCTCGTGACTGCGCGGGGTGCAATGAGCGAGCTGAGCCACCTCTGCGGAATGTCGCAGGATAGCCAGCCACGTACTTGCATACGCGGAGCTATTCGGTCAGTACGGCGACAGGACAAGAGCGGTGCATCAATGAGGATGCATACAGGGTCACTGCACCCATAAACACAGACGACGGGACAAAGAGTTCATAGGAAAAAGATGCATTGGGGATCTATGCCCTCTGTCTTGTAATCGTTTCTAATGCCGATGAAGAATGCCGTCTGAGTAACGCTATATATGCAATGCAAGATGCCCTGTCCGTTCACCCGATGCTGTTGTTCTCCTGATAGTACACTCCGATAATACACCATCTTTTAAACCAAAACCAAAACCACTTTGTACAGCCCTTCAATACGTCATTGAAGGGAAGGGGATATAGTTATATAATGCATGAAAACGCCTGTTGCCTGATGCAAATAAAGCAGAAATGCACAAGAGAGCCGGTGGGCCAACCTTGTTGTCGGACGAAGAAAATCACAGCTGGATGAGGTCGAGCTCGGAGAAGTCGGGCGGGGCGCGGCCGTAAACGGCGCGGCATTTTGAGTCGAGAGCCGTGCCCTCGTTGCTGATCCAGATGTGCTCGCTGTAGTCGTTGGTGCGGCGCACCTCGTCGTCCGACACACCGAGGTCGTCACGCGGGATCCAGACCACGGGCCTCCGCGCGCGCACAGCCGAGTGCGTGAAGGCCTTCTGTACGAGCTGGTTGCGCTCCTCAGGCGTGAGGTCCTCGATTTCGTCTGCGAAACCTCCGTACAGCGCCTCACCAATCGCGCGCTGCGCCTCGAGCTCCTTTCCCCGCCGCTGCCGCCTATACTCGGCCGCCGTCTTGAGGTTCTCTTCGGCTCGGCCCAGAGTAGCGTTCTTCATGGTGTTCCCACTCTGCACCGCCCAGGTCCCGGCGTGCTTCAGTGTTGAGACAGGGTTAATCAGCTTCGAGCGGAGACTGCCTCCTCCAGAGGAAAGATTCTTGCGGTGAGTCTTCGGTGATGCGTCATGCTCATTCTGGGAGTGAGGGGCCCTGCCACCGTTGCCATCCAGGTCCTGCATCTCGATGTCCTTATCGTCGTAGCTCTTGATGCTGCGGAGAGTCGTTGCCTCGTCATCGTCGGTAATGATCCCTAAGCGTCGGTCTTGTGCTTTCTGGAAGGCCTGGTCTCTCAAAACCGCCTCGTCTTCAAAGGTGATGGGAAGGTGCCGCGTGAGAGGACCAAACTCGCGATTCAAAAATACTTGGTAGAGCGCCGTTAATGCCACGGCGATGACCATGATTATAGCCTGCGGGTAGCAAGTCGATGATTGAATCAAGAAAAGGCCAAGTAGACATATCTCCATGACATAAAGTCCTGTAAACGTCTGATTGAGCGCCCTTGGGTACAACACTCCACCTGTGTCTGTTCTGAAGCGGGTCACATAAAGCATGTTGTAACGATGAGCACACCAGAGCATACTGAAGTTGATAATGGCAAATACCGTCATGAGCGGCGCGATGACGGAGAAAATGATGGCGATGCAGGCGAAATTGGTGTACACAGGGAAGAATGAACCCCAGCTAACCTGCGGCAGCGAAATCTGGCGCTTGAATTTGGCTCGAACAGTGTTGTCGAAGAGTCTCGAGAGAATATACCACATGGCCTTCAATCTGATTAGTTTTCACGCTGCCTTGACGTATGATGCTCGCAGGAGAGGGAAAGCCGACTTACCAAGCCCGCTACTTGTAGGAGGGTTCCAGAGCTCACAGAGGCACCCTGCAATACAAGATACGAGAAGAAGTAATTGGCCGAGTCTGGTAGATTCTGGGCGAGGATGGTCGGCAGCTCTTCAACGTGTTGTGCAACGGCGAGCAGCGTGTTTATGGCTGACGTCGAAACACTGACGACTAGGAAGACTTGCACAAAGAGGACTGCGATTGTTAGCAAGAAGCAATCTCGTTACCATGCTCTGGGGGGACTTACAAAAGAAGTAATAGGTCTGCACCCATTCCGACTTTGACGACCCTGTCTTGACGCCCTGAAACTCTGCGACGAAGCCCAGGATAAGAGGCACAAGCGCCAGGAGGACAGCCAGGAGGACGGGCGGCAAGACACCTGCGGCCAACTTCACGAAGTCGTGTACCTTTTCGTTAACCTTGAGGAAACTCAGCCACTCGTACTTAGAGATGAGATCATCAATGGAAGCGAGACCAGCGGAAAACGCAACGGGGAAAGTCCACAGAATGATCATTCCGAACACAAAGCCACAGGCGAGAAGGACTCGTGTCCACTGCATCCACCAGCTCATCGCCATGTTGTCCCATATGACATCATCTGGTGAAATTTCAACGACCCTCGGAGCCATCGTCTTGGGTATATGGTGGATCGCACTCTGGCAGGCCATGTGGGCTGCGACCTGGTTGTTGAACTGGATGAAGGCGGATGTCATGATAGGGAAACGCTCCGAATTTTTCTGGTCCTCCTCGATCTCCACGTTCCAGCGAGCAAGCTCCTTCCGGCACCAGTAGATAGTGTCGACCTTCTTGTTCAGCAAGGGCAGCCCTGGAAGCCAACCGGGCGTCCATTCAAATATAGCAAGTCGATGGTGCGGGCGGTCCTTGGGCTTGATCCATTTCTCCCACTCAGCGCCGGCTCTCTCCTGGTAATCCTCCTCCTGTCCGGGGTTTACAAATGGAGGATATTCGAGTTTTTCCTCTTCCTCGCCCATAAAAGGGATATGCTGCTTGATCTTGGCCCACAGCGATCTCTGGTCGGTGAATGGGTACTCGTTGTTCTCGGCACCCTGCGGGACGGGTGAGGCGTATCCCCCCGATGGCGGCTTCCAAAACTGCCACCATCGTGTCTCTTCCTTCACATACAAGTCTTCAACGTTTTCTAATTTGCGAACCGTGTTTCCATAGTGCGTGGGGTGAAGCTCTTGTTGCATGGATTCCTTCCCATAAGGCTCGGATGGGGTCTGGCTGCGTTCCGTTGCAAACGATTGCTTTGGCTTGTCAACCAGTATCTGCACACGCTTGTCTGTCGGTCCGTTGGGGCGATCGTCGGCTCGGTTTTCTGGAATCGCTGAGGGTCCGGCTCCTGGCTTAACAAACTCGAAACCACCGCTTCTTTCCAGCTCGTTGTCGACACCATGGCCAAGAGCCGATATGCCACCCACTAAGCCAGCACCCAAGCCAGCACCAGCTTTACCAAGCTTGTTCGCACCACCCTTGAGCCCCTGGCCGACCTTCAAAATGCCACCATCCAGAACAGTTGCGAAAGGATTCAGCGTCGGTCCGTTCCGGTGAGGCTCGATCTCGTTAGTCTCGGTGCCTTCCGCAGCAACCTGCTCCGCATTATGAGGGGTTTCCTCGTGGTCTCCATAGCTGATGCCTTGTTCCGTCTCGGCCCTACGCCTGGCCGCCTCGTCTTCGTCCTTTTGCCTCTGTAATTTCTCAGCCTTGGTAGGCTTATTCGTTCTGAGTTCCTTCCGCCTCCGCTTCTCTTCTTGGTCGCGCTTTTTCAGCTGGTTTTTCTTGCACTTGCGAATCAGATCACTTTCTGCGCTTTCAAGCTGCAGATGGATCTCTTCTCTCTTTTTAATCTTCTCAAGGAGTGGGGAAAAGTCGCGTGTCTACGTGTGTGTCAGCTAGAAGAGAGCAGATGGAGGAAATGGTTCTTACCAGCCAGATATTCCTAATTCCGCCTGGGAACACGTCGAAGAGCCCCCTCAACGCCTCTTCAGATAACCACTTCTCCGGGATGGACGAGACGAGCACAGTATTGGCAGAGGCCCTCAGCCGATGTTCAGCGCTGGTCAGCCAGTCCTGTCGCACCTTGATATACACCCTCATCTCGGAGAAGATGACGAAGCAGACCCAGACAATGACCACAAGTGCCAGCATGAGATGTGCCCAGCGGCGGTCGGCATTCTCTAGCCTGACGTTGGACCATGACAGAGTGCTGAGTCCCACGACAGTGGTGTTGCTCGAGGGATCGGAGTCGGCATCGGTGGAATTCGTCCACAAATTCCTGCCGTAGCCGCCAATGAAGTTGACAGGTAAGAGGATGGGCAGAATTATGCAGGCCAGAGGGACGAATATGACCAAGAGGGTCTTGAGGTACCGCATGAAGAAGTAGGCGTCCAAACCACACTTTTTGATGATCTCCCTGTCACTGAAGTTCATAATGGTCCTGATGAGCGCCCAGGGACTCGCCGGCGGGGGTTCGCTGCGGGGCGAAGGGTTAATATTTGAATACGCATTATTACTTTGTTGGCTAGCAGTCTACTTACGTCCGCTCTCTCTCGGGTACCAAGAAGGACTTGGGTTTGTAAATTCTTGCTAGCTTGTTCCTGAGGAGCAGGAATAGAGAGACCTGAGCAAAGGCCACAGCGACGGAGACTCCCACGGATGCGAGGAAGGTCTCGAGGCCCTGACCGGAAACCGCCTTGGCGGTGCCGGCGCTGGGGTCGGTGATATTGCTCAAATCCGACATTCTGAGGGACGGGGTACAAAGTGTACCCAGAAGTCTGTGAGAACACTGGATTATCTGACGGGGTTTGAATATCGTGTAGGTTGAAGTGTGAGGTCGGGGTGAAGAGTCGTGGAGGTGTTATGGTCGTGCGAGCAGCAACATTATCGAAAAGCGTGTCGGTCGAGCTGGTAGTGGTGGTGGTGGTGGTGGGGCCTTGACGAGTATTCAGTCGGCAGTCACTGGATGTCCTCGAGACACAATGTGGAAACACCCAGGAGCACAAAGGGCCGTTGAGCTGTCTGTCGAGTCGTACCGTGTCCTGCCTTGACTGCAAAGAGCGGGACACGCGTGTGAGGGTGAGTGAGCGTACAAGAATAGACCGAGAACAATGGGCGTCGCGTGGGAGAAGGTGTGTAGGTGTGTGCTCCTAGTGCCAACTATAGTAGTGGAGCTATAGACGGGAAGGAGGCAGGGAAGGGATGGTTTCCAGAAGGGAGAGTAGACAGGCAAATCTAGTCATAGAGATGGGGTGAAGACGAGTTGATAGCGATTGTCAAGGGAGGTGAAACAAAACTGGATATTTGACGACTATCTTGGGGCCTAGCCAGAGGCTCAGGGAGGCCGCGATTGGTGAATTGAGGCCTGCTTGGGCTGCTGGCAAGGGACAGGCCTGGACCTGTGTGACATCAGTGGCTGCAGGTCCCCTTGCCCCCTTTGAGACGGGCAGGACGGTCGAATGCTGCCGCGCAGTCGATCCAGGCCTCCCAAATTTGTACGGCACGCTGTGATTGGAGGATGTGCCCAAACGTTAATGATGGGGGGCCCACCGCAATCGACCCGCCAGCACTGCCAGAGCCCGTCCCGTCCAACCGTTAGCTGGCCAGCTGCTCTTGTCTGCTCTTTCTGTGACACGGCGACACTTGGCCCTAGTCAGGACCAGTCGAGGCCAGCCAAACGTCCGTGGCTCATAATCACGACCACTTGCTTGCGTCTGAAGGCCGCACCACGTGTGGGCACGAGCAGTGCTCAAGCACATACATCTCATACATTTCTCACATTTCTGCATCTCAGCATCTGAGGCAGAGAGCGAGGGGGGAGATAAGGTTCTGAGATGAGATGGATCCTATATGAGGATGAATAAGCTCCGTCACCACGCCCGCTCCGAGCGAAAGGGGGGATACAGATTTGCAGGTTTGCATTGGCATTGATAATGGGCAGCGCGCCGTGCCGCCCACCTGCGTTTCCTTGCGCAGGCTTCCCTGTCTGTTTCTTCTCGAGTGCGTATCGCACATTGAATTATGCGTATTCACGCTCGTGCTCGCAACACTGCATACACGCGCGCTTGGGCTTGGGCCTAGGACGATGGTCTGGTGGATCTAGACGCACGGTCGCATCCATCACCTATCTCAGATGAGAGTATTGGCGCTTGTTAACTCAACCTCGGTTGGAATCATCCTTTTGCTACATGAGATTATACCATTGGAAAACAACATGCAGAAGATGATCGAGAGGCGCCGGTTCTTGAAAACGACGATCCGCCAAGGCATGATGATCCTCGTAAGAGGCGGTCACGCGAAGCGATTGATTCAAAGTGGTCGAATGAATCCTCTTGGCAGCTGGCGTGGCGCCTTTTCCCAGTCCTCACGGCAGTAACGGCATGTTGACCGCGTCAGGCCCAAGTAGAGGTGGAGATGATTGCCCCGTTGATGTGCTATGCAGTAGCACCTAAATTGTGGCACAGCAGAAAAGTAGCAGCCAGTCCACACAAGATATCTCATACACAGCGGGGCGTTGCCGATTGAAAACTCCAGTGGAGCAATCTCACATTTACATAGCAGGCACAATGCACAAATTCCATCAATCAAGACGGGTTGGTCGTAAGTAGGTGATGTTTGCTCATGTTCCGGGTCGTCTACGACGCGCATGTGCAGCTGCAGCATCAAGAGATGAGATGGCATCTGACCAGTCGCAACAGTACACAGGAGACTACCGTACCACTCAGCCGGGAAAGCGACCCGGAGAATGCATAGCCAGATCGGAGGCCGGCGAGGCCGACCATGCGGATCCCATTTATACTCGGCCACTGCGGCCCTGCTGCCCTGTTGCCGTGTTGCCGGAATGTCTAGCCTCCCAGACTGTCGGGCACTTTGCTGGTATGGCTGTATGGATGGTACTATTGCATGGGAGGGCGATTCAGCCGTGGGACGGTCAGGACGCATGACATGCAGGCGATAAGGTAGCCAGATAAGCATCATTGAGTGCTGTGCCATCTGTGCAATCTGTGCAATCTGTAGATAGTACTTAGAGTAGGCATGGATGGCCTGACCGTGAGACTGTGGCCTGGCTGGCACATGACAGCGACACGATGCTTGACCAGCTAAGTTGTCCGCCTCCGTCCGTGAAAGGCCACCAGAAGTGTGGCCTTTTGGTGTTTCTGTTCAGCTGCAAAGAAGCAAAGAAGCGCCGAGGGCGGTACCACTGTTTTCCCAGCCCCCAGCAGCCCCCAGCATCGGTCAATGACTGCCTCAATCTGGCCTACATTAATGATGAGTACACAGATATGGCCTACCCATCGGACGGTGAACCGTGGGGCCAGTCACTTAGTATCAACTCTGTCGGCTCTTCTTTTGCTGTCCCCCGCAAGCCCCCCGAGCCGATGCTGGCTTGTTGTCAAGGGCCAGCGGGCGTGTGTTTGTGCCAAACATGCCGCGGCTGCGCAAGCCTGAGGTTCCACATAGTCTACACAGGTCTCAGCCCGCCTACGCCTGTCCACCAAGGGACCCCCCCAAGGGCACCAAGGGCACCAAGGGCACCACTCCCCGCATCGTTCCAGCGGTCGGCGCCGAGATGTAGCTGCCGAAATATTACGCAACGCTCTGCCAGCGCGCTGGGCATGACGTTCGTTTCCACTTGTGCTCGCTTTTCCGACTGCTTTCCGACTGTTCTACCCACTATTCCCGGCGTGCGCAGTCGAGTCAATCGGAACATGGGAGGAACAAGGTGCAAGGTGCAAGGTGCAAGCATCAAGGAGCCAGGAGCCCAGCCCGCTGCCAGTGCAGCAGATGCAGATGCAATCCCGAACACCCCCAGATCTGGGGAATGGAAATTCGGCAACAGGTGGTCTGGTCTGGTCTGGTCTGCTGCTGGTCTGCTGCTGCTGCTGTTGTTCATTAGGCCCGGCAGTCCACGTCCTCTTTGGGATCATGTCCGTCCCAGGTATTGCTGATTTATCCGCTGCCCCATCCTGAGAGGCTGCACTCTATTCTCCCTGCCTCTCCTGTGACCAGGCAGATGGGCCATATGTGCATTATATCTACTCGTGCTGTACCTACTTATTACCTCCCCACAGCCCATCTCTCTGGAGAATATACCCCCTTCCCGCTTTACGCCACATAAGATCTTGATCTTCCAGATCGCCCAGCCCTCCCACCTTCCTTCCGCCTATCGAGTAGCTTATCTCCTCCTGGGCGGCTGCTTTACTTTTCCTTGTCCTTTCCCGTCTTCTTTCCTCTTCTTCTTCACCCCGGACACCAGCAGGATGGGTTCGTATAGTATGGGGGACAGACTCGACCTCAAAATAGCCGTCTTCGGCGCTGGTAAATTTTCCCACCTCTCTCCAGGTTTGATTCATCTTAAAACTGGAAAATGTATACTGACGGTGATGCCGTCTCAAAGGTATGGGCGGCCTGGGATGCGCTCTGGCCCTCGCCAAGAAAGGCTTCCAAGACATCACCGTCTATGAGAATGCTTCAAATCTGGGTTTTGTGGGCGCTGGAATCCAGCTGGCCCCAAATATGAACCGCATCCTCGACCGGCTAGGGTGCTGGCAGGAGATATACGCAGAAGCCACCAATGTCAAGGAGACAAGTATAAGGCGTGAGTGCACAGCATGGGCATGGCGAGCATGTCCCTCCTGGAGACGGCGGGGTGCCTGCTGACGAGAGTTATGATCCCGCAGAGGGCAGCACAGATCAGGAACTAGCCCACGTCGAGATGCCCGATGTCGAGGACAAGTACGGGTACCCACACTGCACGGGACATAGGTCGTCCCTTGCCGGTGGCATGTACAACGGCTGCAAGAAGGAGCCCGCCATCCGCTTCAGCTTCTCGTCACAGATCGCCAGCATCGACTCGTTCGGGCCACGGCCCACGTTCACGGTCCAGCCGCGCGATGGGGAGGCCTACCAGGTCGAGGCAGATATCATCCTAGCCGCCGACGGCATCAAGTCCACGACGCGGCGCGCCATCCTGTCGCACCTGGGTGAGGAGTTTGGCGAGGCAGACACGGGCCAGGCCGCGTACCGGATTATGCTGAAGCGCGAGGACATGCAGCACGACCCGGAGATGATGGCCTTACTGGATAGCGACTGCGTGGTGCGGTGGATCGGCGAGAAGCGCCACATTATCGCCTACCCCGTCGCCAACAAGACCATCTACAACCTATCCAGCGCTCAGCCCGACGACAACTTCGCAAAGGGCATCTCGGCCACCTACACCACCAAGGGCTCCAAGCCCCAGATGGTCAAAGTCTTCGAGGACTTCTGCCCCCTGGTGCACCGCATGCTAGACCTGGTGCCTGACGGCGAGGTGTGCGAGTGGAAGCTGCGGCAGCACCGGCCGCTGTCGACGTGGAGCCTGGGGTCAGTGGCGCTGCTGGGCGACGCGTGCCACCCGACGCTGCCGCACCTGTCGCAGGGCGCAGCCATGGCCATCGAGGACGGCGCCGTGCTCGCCGAGGTACTGAGCCGCGTGCCGGACACGCGGCCACGCACAATCAGCCGCGCCCTCAAGGCCTACGAGGTCCTGCGCAAGGACCGCTGCACCACCCTCGTCGACATGGCCGCCTACTCGGGCCGCCAGCTGCACCTGGGCGAGGGCGCCGCCCGCGAGGAGCGCGACCGCCAGTTCCGCGAACACCGCGACAAGAAGGGCGCCGTCCCGGACAAGTGGGCCAGCCCGGACGTGCAGGCGATGATCTACGGCCACGACTGCGTCCGGGACGCGGCCGAGAAGTTTGATGGGATTTTTACAGGTTTTGATACCAACGGGGTCAACGGCGTCAATGGAGTGAATGGCACAAATAGCGCCCTCTGATGGGCGATGTGGATTTTTCATGATGCTCTGTTTTTATTCTACCTATTCTGTATCTGTGTATGTAGACTACTTAGGTGGTGTTTCCAGCGATGCCAAGGCCAGGGATGAATGATGATTTTCAAACCGTCTATAGAGGCTGACAACACGAGCCACTTCAATTCCATCCAATACAGGATATTCAATCGTCCACCCTGGTCGGGATGATCATCATGTTCACAGCTTCTTGCTCCAACACCACTGCTAAGGCGTCCATTTCAGCCCTGACATGTGCAACAAGATTGGGCGCGTGGCATCACTACCGACCACCCGACCTTCCCGCAGGCGCCTGTCCGAGTTACCGAGTCAAAGATAGGTCGATACTTTGGACACCCGTCACGCCAACGAAATAAGCAAAGCTTGACGGGTCCAATTTCTGCCTCCCGAGGCTTCGGTGAGTGTACAAGTCATAGGGGCAGGGTTGGTGCACCCCGGCTGTAGCTTCTATTTTCAGTCCTTGGTAGTTGAGGAGACATGTGGTCTAAGTACCTGATATGTTGGAGGCAGACCGGGGGCAAGGAGCTAGGAGGTCGGATCGATACCACCTTGTTACGACGAGCTGAATATTGGAGGACGATGTAGAGGGGTGACGGTCTGTTTCACCGGGCTATGATTTCAGCACGGGCTGGGACCTGTCGACAACCAACTGTCCCCACAGACAAACAGGGCTGTTTGCGTTCCTGGCTCAGCTGGCAGCTTACCAAAGTGCCGGTGAACAGGGCTGGCCGCGAACCGGGCTGCCAGCGCGCGGCTTCCAGTAGATCGGACGACCACCGTGCGCGCGGCCGCAAGTCCCGGGCATTTGGGCCCAGCCAAGGGGGGGCTTTGGCTGGCAATTGTTGCGCGGCAGTTGCGACTTCATGGTCGAGCACACTCACATGTAAATCATGGGCACGCATGGTCGCATGGTCAATGTGACGATGGTCTAATGTGGCCGGAAAGCCATCTCGCAATCTATTATATGCAAATGTGCAACAATGACAAAACAGGGTATTTGAGAGAAGAAATCACCACCCGTGCACATGGTCTAGTCACGTATCTCCACCAGGAAAACCAGAGCACATCTCGCCACTTTTCATCTAGACGCTTTCCTCGGGGGTCCGCGCATCCCTGTCCTTCTCCAGGACGCCCTCCCCGGACCCAGCGTTCGAGGACAGGCCGCGGGTGGCGTAGTCATCCTCCTCGGCGAGCTCCTCAAGGGTCTTCCTCTTGGTCTCCTTGATCATCAGCGTCGAGAAGACACCGCAGAGCATGAAGAGCGCAAAGATCTCGAGCACATGGTTGAGCCAAGGGCTGGCGTTGTCCTTGGTGGCGCCGCGGGTGCGCAGGGGAGCGATGGCACCCTGGCCGATGATAGAGCCGATCTTGCCCGAGGCCGCGGAGATACCGTGGGACGTAGATCGGTACCGAGTCGGGAAGCACTCGCCGGGCACGATGAAGGTCGTCGAGTTGGGGCCGAAGTTGAAGAAGAACTGGGCCAGGACGTAAACTGCGAGCAGGCCGTTCTGGCCGAGTTTGTCGTAGGCAAATCCCATGATGATGAAGAGAATCGTGAGGATGATGAACCCGCCCAGCTGGATCGGCTTGCGGCCAATTGTGTCGACGGTTGCGACCGTGACCCAGTATCCTGGGACAGCACCAGCCAGGACGATGATCAAGTTGCCGATAGCGGTATTGTACATGATCTCGCTAATGATTGTTAGTAGAGCGATCCAGTGGAATAACGTGCTTGAAAGTATCTCGAAATCGGACTCGGGAACCAGAGCCTTTGAGTCTCGATGAGAGACCGAAGGAAGGTGAGACTTACTAAGTGTTCTTGGCGTGTGAAGTCGAGTAGCCGATGGCGTTCAGAATCGTAGCGTTGTTCAAGGAAAGACCGTAATAGGCAACGTCGAGGAAGAACCAGGAGAGAGCACAGCTATAGCCAATTAGTTGAGATATTGTGTATTGTGGATGAGGTGCTGGTTTTCTGTGGGGGGGGTTTGGGGGGGGGGGGGGGGATAGCTTACCCAGCCAAGAGCATTCCATTCTTCGGAATGGCGTAGTGACGCATGAAGTCCTTGAAACTAGCCTTCTCAACCTTCATGTTCTCGTTGGCATTCTTCTGAGCAGCCAACCGGGCGATCTCGTCGACAGATGCCTCGCCCCTCTTGCCGCTGACATACAGCTTGGTGTCCTCGTCTGCCTTCTCCACGTCCATTTTGACATCGAAAGTGTATCGAGGAGTCCTGTATACCGTCTCAGTTATTGATTATACACCAGAATATATAAACGTAAGAAGAATTGAACTTACTCGGGGATAGTCAAACGGAAGTAAAGGGCGATACATCCGGGGACAGCGCCAACTCCAATAAGAGTCCTCCACATCTTGTCTACAGCAATGGCGCAGTCTCCAGTGCAGTTTGCCAGCTTGGTTGAAGTCTCTAGGGAATCTTTAAAGCCAAGGGTGACGAAAAGCATCACAAAGGCGGCAGCCAGCTGGCCGAGTCCTTGCATGGCGAAAACGGCCCCCATCATAGCTCCGCGCCATTTGGTCGTAGCGAACTCCGAGGTCTGCACTGAAGGTTAGCTATTGAAGTAAAGACATACAGATCTTAGAGGGGAACAAGGTAGAGCAGGACAGCATGTGCCCAGAGCCTGTCTCAAAATTCGCAGTTTGGCGAGAAGCTTCGAGCAAGCAATGAGACAGGTCACGGATGGCAGATGTCCCTTTCTGAAGAGGAAACTTATATCCAGAAGCTTCTTACTATAATGGATGACAGGGGGTAATCACCACCGATGCCGATTCCCATTAGCACTCTCCAGAAGATGATGAGTCCAATCCTGTCCCAGAGACATGTTAGTGAAAGGTAAGAAAGACAGGAGCGCATATCGACGTACACATTCATCGAGACAGAGCCACTGGTAAGGGCCTGAGCAACCGTCGCAAAGATGATGATGATAAGCTCCAGACCATACATTTTCTTGCGGCCGACCTAGAAAGTAACGGTCAGAATGACCCACGTCAGGCGACAACGACAGGATGTGTTGTACGTACGATGTCAGCGAGGGTGCCGAAGCCGAATTGCCCGATGACAGTTCCAGCACTCGTAGCCAGCTTGATCGCGGTGTCGGAGCTGGTAGGCATCTTTCCCACACCAGGGTAGTAGACAACTCCCAGCATGAGGGTCAGGAGGGAAGCGGCGAAAATGTCGTACCTAGCAAAAGGTTGTTAGCTTTTTCATTGATTATCACGTATTAGGAGAATGGCAATATCGTACGAATCCGTGAAGAAGCCCACGCCGGCGACGAGGATAGCCCGCACATGGTACCAGCCGAAAGGAGCCTTGTCGATCTCGGCGAGGGCGAGACGACGACGCTCGTTAGGGTCCTGTACATGGATGAAGTCGTTATGGAAATTGTGGTATGCTACATTCCCGCCTGCCGTCTTGGCAACGGGAGCTTGGGACTGTACGGATGCGGCCATGGTGAGTGAAGGCTCGTGTTTAAGTCGACTTGTCCGTGTGAATGAGAAGCACCGGTGGGTGGTGGCACAACTCGAGAGCCGAATTGAGATGCAGATGTGATGGCTAAATCTGCACGATGCTCTCAGGGTAAAGAAATGGGACAGCCTTAGGATGTTGATAGAAAGAGAGAGCACCCACGACGTGCTGACTGCAGCTGAGGTGGACAAGGTTCGCAATTTAATATTCCAGATGCGCAGGTCCCTGGGGAAATGGTACGTATCTGCACGCAAGAGAAAGCTGATCCATTCCATCCCTTGTCGGGTACGTACCCTACTCCGTGTTCCCGGTAGCCTAGTCTACTAGGTGTGCTCGTGAAGGAGGGTATCCATCCACACAACCCTGTCGTGATGACAGGAACGGATATAAGAGGATGAATTTGTGTCTTTAGAAGAGCCCGCTGACACGCCAGCCGAATCAGAAGCAAGTGATTGATCCGGCATAGTTTACACTGTCGTTCACTAGACGTCAGATGGCGTTCAGCTGGCGATGAAGTCTGTCCGCCCGACTCACCGTCCGCGACTGAAAAGCCTAATCTGAGGCACATGTAGCTTTGGCGGAATCCCTGGTCTGGAAAAAGGCTGATACAGGTCCATGCTCTGCAGTTCGGCCCAGCCTCGGTCTGAAGTGAAGGGATGCCTGTTAAGAATGGCGCGGTTGGTCAAGCTCTAGAAGCTTTCGGTCGGTGGTCGCAATGGGGAAGGACAGGAAGGCCAGTCCTCACTGGTGCCCTGGATCGGCTGCCCGAAATTGATACGCTTTCCTCTCGGTGTCTCTGACCGGCCATGGTACCGTTCTTATGCAGTGATTGGTGGGTACTAGACACTGCGCAATCGTCCGACCTGTTCCAGCCCGATCCTTCCACTGATATCTGAACGTCCATGTCACGTTGGGTGGGATTCTGTTACGTTCTGGCTGGATATGCATGCACAAGATATTACACAACGAGCCACTGAGACGGCGAAGGAGCTATTTTGCTGTGTTACTGGATCAATTGAGGCAGTGACCATCACCTACACCTTCATAATCGGTCACAATGGCCCGTCGAGGCTGACAGAAACGCCCTTCGTCAACATCTGCTTTGGCCATCGGGAGGCGAGCGTACGGGAGAGTGGGCGGGGGCGCGACAACGCCGTGCTTGTGTCGCTTCCAATCATTCATGACATGTGTCTCTCGCGGGTCAGGCCCACCACGCAGCCATCGGTATCGTAGCCGGGTCACTAGATGCTAGGCCGCGGTGACAGGGTTGATCACCAAATGAGTGAGAGTCTGCCCCGTGCTAATCAGGTTCTGGACGCCAGCCCGAGGGCAAGGGAAATCGCCAAGAAGCCCAAGATGCGCCAAGGACGGCGCCATCGGTGGGCTCTCTGTCGATTTGGCCCAAGAGCGCTGTCAAGATTCGAGGGAACCGGGCACGCGAGGCTCAAAGAAGGATTGGGACCGTTGCGCGGACGGGCCGGGGTTGAGCTTGGGGGCCGTCCTCCCCACGAATTGGCGTGTGTTAGTGGCCCACGTTGGGCAATCCAAGGCTGCTATTGGTCAATGCAGAGAGCTCTTACAGCTCGCTGATAGGCCGACGTAAGATCCCCACTGTTTGTCCAACGACATGTCTCTCAGCTCAGCCAGCAGCGATTTGAGATTCTTGTAGTCTCGAGTCGTCCGGCTCGAAATTGGGAGGGTGAAGCGTGGTCAGGATGGGTTCCTCTTCCGCCAAGAGCCAACTGCCAAGATGCATATGGAGCGCATCATGTCCCTTCCGCACTAGTCGCCCACAACCAGCAGGAAGCTGCCGGCTTGGTGATCGAAACAAGCATCGACAAGCATCGACAAGACACTTTTCCAAGACTCCAAGACATTGGCAGCAGATCCGAAATGGAACACCAAGAGCACTAGAACCAGGTGTTCGCAGAGCCGCATGTTCATATGCACGAGCATGATGGACACGGAGCAGAGGCCACGAGGCTGCTGCAGGACTCGAATCTTAAAAAAGTCCCCGTTTTCCCCACAATGATGGTCGTAACTGCGGTGGGATGGATTATCGAGACCTGGATCAGTTATAGCATGGATCAGCGCAAAGTCTGCTCGGCCAACCGCAGCAGCGGAAAGCGTCACGTTTCCCCTGTGGTTCCAAGCTGCCGGATCGAGCCAGTTTTTCAAGGGTACCCTCTCTCGTGCGCCGCTCCACCCACTAGTTCATGCTTTGGCGATCACAAATCCCACTTCTCTTGTACTTTGTGGCTTCATTGCATCTATAGCGTGGTATCTCGGTCTCTCTAGTCACCTGTCACGATCTGCCAGTGCGACCCAGATGTATCATGACAATCTGGAGACCGCAAGCGGCCAGCTTCCAACCCGTCATACCATCACACGACGGGTGAAGCGATAGTTGCAAATCCGCAACGAGCCTCGAATTGCCGCCAATGAAGAGTCGGACCGCACTCCTGACGCTGTCGGTCCGGTTCACAGCCGGTAGCAAACCGCCGTGCAGATCAGCCAGGGTTGAAGCCGACGCTGAGTGGCGGTCGACATATCCGCGGCAATGGCGTTCATGCATTGCGTTATATTCATGGACACGTCTCCCACTGTGCTGTTCGTGATTGCCAGTCGATGTGGGCAAGGGATCCGAAGAGACTTGGGGTCTTCGAAGCTTCTGGGAGCCGTCGGGACTTAGTTTGTGGGTTATACCTCAACCACCTTTCCGTCGTCGTCGTCGTCGTCGTCGTCTAACTCCACGACACGTGCGCCATTCTCTTCGACCTCGTCATCGAGCATTAGGACCTGTACTAATCGCTCGCAGGCGAGCTTTACGCTCTCTTCCTTGACGCGCAAATGTGTCTCTCGGATGATGGGATAGACTTTAATCTCTCTCATCCGATCCCGCCCTTGCCGAGTCGTCGTGAAGAGCATCAAGGTCTCCACGTGTGTCTGAATGATGCTGGTATCGTGGTCACGCTCCTTATCTGGTGGAAGTAATGACAGCTCGGGCAGCATCGCCATCATGTCATCTTCATCGTATTCTTCGCTGCCCATGATTGGCAGCAAGATGTACGGAAAGATATGGATCTCATCCTCAGAAAAGAACAGAGGGTGTGACGGCACATCAAAAGCAACATTCTTGATGGTGCTCGCCACTCCCTTGCGTCTGATGTCAGACTTGTGCTCGGTGAAGACCTTTAGTTTAGTCAATGGGATCACAGCATCGTACTCTTGCCGCTTGACGAAGTACTGCCTGACTTCTTGATGCTTGGCTAGGTCAGCAAACAAGTATGCAAGGTAGTCGTAGTTGGCATCTTTGTTGTAAGAGCCGTCGGCGCCCTTGACGAAAAGATCGACCAGCTGGTTGAGAACAAGATCGTCTGATGGCAAACCTTCAGGCGCCTTCTGCTTTCGATTCACAATATTCTTCAGTCCGTCCCACTTGGCCAAATTTGCGAGCAGCATTGCCAAAAGATTCGCACCAGGCTCTGAAGGGTTCTAGACAACGTCTTGCATTAGTACGTGGCGACCATCGCTTCATTCAGCCGCCGCATCCTCAGCTTTGAGCCTGTGAGGCTTGGAGCGGACTAAGAAAGTAGCGTACCGTTATCCGAGAGAAAATGACATCTAAAAAATTTTCATCCGTAGCCAAGAAGCTGAGGATCTCGGCATCTGCGGCGATATTTACTAATATCGTCAGGGCATGTTGGGCGATTTGCTGGCCGGTGTTCAGTACACTGGGTTCTCTCAATGTGCACAATGGGCATGACATACTGGGCGGTCCTGGACTAGAACTTTGAGGTTCTTTACCGGCACCAATTGGTTGATTTTGAAGATTGAGGGCTGCGCTGTTGAGTAACCCACAAGGTTCTCAACGGCGACTGCCCTGATCTGTGGGTTCGGGCTGGCAATGAAGCCGACAAGCTGCAAAATATTAGCTCGGTTCTGCACTTGAACGCTCCTATGATGTCACACACCTCTTCAAGCTCTGTGGGCATGATCAAACAATGTCAAACGTCGAGGTCTCTGCTTCGTATACTTGGAAAAGCTTTGAAATTGAGCTCACTCACTTATAAGTTATCAAGGGATACATGTGATGGCGGGGCAGACAGGAAAAGGCCAAGCTCTAAGGCTCTAATGTGGACTTGGTGGGGGATGCTGATAGTCTTATCGATAGCGCTGATAATGGCAGAACTAGGTCAGAAAAGGAAGTCGGTCAAGTTTTTTCCTCTCTCAAACCAATTCTTCACAAGATTGCCAACATCAAGAAGGACTGCCTCACGCCACGAGCATCTCACGAAATCACACAACGATCCATTCGAGATGCCTAAAGCCACTACACCTGTGGCAGAACGCCAAGGGCGTCGCCACAACCCTCTCGAGGCCGACATCCTCGGAGGAAGCGGCATTCTGAGGTCGGGAAAGACGGCGAAGAAGACAAAAGAAGAGAAGGACCAGGACCATTTTGTCAACTCGAAGCAATCAGCGAGAATTCTTCAACTAGGCCGAGAGCTTGCGGACGAGGACGATGACCAGAGCAAGCCTGCCGGGCAATCGAGGAAGAGCGCCTTCGACGTTGACTCGCGATTCGCGTCCGAGGACGACAGGAACGAAAACACATTTGAAGATGACGAAGCATGGGGAGAGGAAGAGGAGATCGAGCTTGAAGGAGCCGAGGTTTCTCCCGAGGATCTGGCCATGTTCAACAAGTTCCTCACCGCTGACGAAGACCCGCTGTTGAAGCACGGCTGGGATCGAAAACCTGCCGATGGCGAGGAACAACAAGGAGGGACGAATCTGGCCGACTTGATCTTGGAGAAAATCCAAGCGTTCGAAGCCGGTGAGGGAAATCAGCAGGATATGGGTGGCATGGAAGACTTTCCCGAGGAGGATCTGCACCCAAAGGTGATCGAGGTCTATGCGAAGTGCGCCATCTGCCCCTTTTTACAGAATGACACGACTTGAGGCCCTCATACTGACGATCTCACAGGTGCGGCATGATTCTGAGCAGGTGGAAGAGCGGGCCTCTCCCTAAGCCTATGAAAATTCTACCGACTGTGCCCGACTGGGAGAGAATTATTGAGGTCGCACAACCTGAGAACTGGACTCCGAACGCGATTTATGGGTTGACTCGAATCTTCGCCTCCGCAAAACCAGCGGTCGTCCAGCGATGGCTCGAAATAGTGGTTCTACCCCGAGTACGAGATGAGATATACGAAACAAGGAAGCTGTAAGTGCATATTGGACGCGCTGCTTGCTCCATCCTCTCGAGTTGTGCCTGCTGCCTATTCCTGCAGTCACTGACGTTCGATGTCGCAGTAATGTCCATCTCTACAATTCCCTCAAAAAGAGTTTATATAAGCCTTCAGCCTTCTTCAAGGGCTTTTTGTTCCCTCTTGTCAGCTCCGGAACCTGCACGTTGCGCGAGGCTCATATTGTCTCCTCCGTCATGGCTCGCGTTTCCATTCCGATCCTACACTCTGCAGCTGGACTAAAGGGTCTTTGCGATTTGGCAGCTCAGCAAGCTTCCAATGGCGAGTCTGCTGCCAGTACAAATGTATTCATCAAGATACTGCTCGACAAGGGACTGGCCTTGCCGTACCAGGTCATTGACGCGCTGGTGTTTTTCTTCCTGCGCTTTAGGTCAATCGATCCCGCGGCTGTGAAGGAGGCCGAGGCCATGGAGAGGCCATCAGAGAACAAAATTGGGCGACAGCTGCCGGTTTTGTGGCACCAATGTCTTCTGAGCTTTGCTCAGAGGTACCGAAATGATATCAACGAGGACCAGCGAGAGGTACGTACAGCCTTTGGAAAATTCATTTCGATAGGCATCGCATTTTCCCTTAGAGAAGCGGCCATGCTGGTCCAGCGCGGGCACATGTCTTGAGCTTTCCACTGCTTACTAACCTGTCACTGCAGGCTCTGTTAGATCTGCTCCTCACCCACGGTCATTCTGCGATTGGGCCCGAGATCAGAAGGGAACTGGTTGCAGGTCGTGGCAGGGGCGTCCCAGTCGCACCACAGGGACAGGCTTTTGATGGAGACGATACGATGCAGGTTGATTAATAGTATTGAAAGAGGAGGCGTCCGGATTTTTGAGCTGAGTGAATACCCACATAGTACGCCAGACGTCAAAGCACAAAAAGCAAGTGGTTGGAAAATGGCGTAGCGGAGTTTCGGCGGGCGATGCATTCACTGCGGCCATTCTGTTTTCCTCACAGCCTAGTATCAGTACTAGACGAGGCATACCGATCTTTTGAGATTTAGTATATGTCCTCTTTCTCGGTGAACTTTCGTGACTACTAAGCTTTGACCATGAGTCTTCAACGTCCACAAGTTCTGGATTAAATTTACGAGGGATTCAATCGCTGTTATCAGGCACCAGGCGAAAGCGCCCTTAACAGCCATGAGGCTGCCCTTTGCGTGACGTTGTGATGTGGCTTGGGTTTTAATCCTCCCTCTCCGAATCATCTCTTATTCTCTGTTGATATCTGTGAATGATAATATTTTCTTTGCAGCAATGAGATGAGGTCTATCTGGTTTGTCTCTCACTTACACGGGATGGTTAGTTCAGGGGTAACTGCGCCACATAGCGTCACCGTGGCTGAAAATCAATTCAGACCCTGTCGGGTCGCGTCTTTTCGGTCGCGTCACAGCGGCAACTTGACGCGCGAGAGAAGGGCCGTCTTACAACCAACTTGCAGCCAAAGTCAGGCAGCAAAATGAATATCGCATAGCCAAGGCAGTGGCATATCTCAATCGCTGCCGTCTTCTTTGGGCCAAAAATAATCGCACCCGCGAACTGCAATTACCCTCAACCATCTAGCCTCTCTCTGCATTCGACACCCCGACCGATTTTCTTCTCCCCATGAGAAGCCCGAAGTCTCCAGCCCAGGCTGCTAGGCCCACCACGTCATACGTGGCTTTACCTTTTGTCTACGTGAGATAACACAGGTCCGCACTCAGCAATGGCACCAAAAACGATGCCCAGCAGAAAGCGCGGCCGCCCGAGAAAAGACGACCCCGATACCTCGTCCAAGAAGCCCCGGCTCGATGGCAGGCATGCTACCGACCGATCGCGAGATACACCGAATCCGGACGAGAATCGACAGGATGTCAGGGAAAAGAACGATGTGTACGACTTTCATGACCCAGATGAAGCCCTAGCCGCGCGGACTCCATCGAAGGCCCAGCCCAAACTCAAGGGCATCCTCACTCCCAGCAGGAGGCACAGCGAGCGGGCCCCTAAGAGTGTTGCCTTTGATAAACTCAAACGTGGGGACGTTTTGTTCGAAGACATAGCCGCGAAGCCAGTCAAATCAGTCCGCAAGGCCGTCAGAAAGCGCCGGGAGGAGCCTGAGGAGGAGCCTGAAGAGGAGCCAAATGACGCAGAAGATGACCAACCGGGCGAGGCAGATGAGACAGATGACGATGAAGTGTGCGCCCTCTGCAGCAAGCCGGATTCGAAAACGGGGAATCAGATTCTCTTTTGCGACGGCTGTGATCTGGCCGTACACCAAAAGTGCTATGGTGTGTCCAGGATCCCCCGAGGGGATTGGCTGTGCAAAGATTGCTCTCAATCCACATCCGCTACGTCAGAGAATGACTTGAAGGGCAAGGACCAGAGGATCTCGGAGACAGTTATTGAAGCTGCGCCTGAGATTCCGAACTTTGAACAGCACTTGAAGTCTCTGAAACGCGTTCTCTTGGATCGCTGCACCGGGAGGCGTCGAATGAGGCTGCGGGACCAAGACGAGGCATACGAGAAGACATTCCAGCTCGTTCAGCAGACTGTTCTGGCTGGTGAGGGCAATTCGATGCTTGTCATCGGTGCCAGAGGGTGCGGGAAAACCACGATGGTCGAATCAGTCCTTTACGATCTTGGAATGGAGCACCGTGATCAGTTCCATGTCGTCCGGCTCAATGGGTTCATCCACACGGACGACAAGCTGGCGTTGAAAGACATATGGCGGCAGCTAGGAAAGGAGATGGAAGTTGAGGACGACCTGATCGGCAAAACAAGCAACTATGCCGATACGTTAGCATCTTTGCTTGCGCTTCTGTCTCATCCATCAGAGATCGCGGAATCCCAAGAAGGGGTCACCTCGAAGTCCGTGGTCTTCATCATCGACGAATTCGACCTCTTCGCTACCCACGCCCGACAGACACTACTTTACAATCTTTTTGACATTGCCCAAGCTAGGAAGGCACCCATCGCTGTACTGGGCCTTACCAACAGAATTGATGTGGTGGAAAGCCTCGAGAAACGTGTGAAGAGTCGATTTAGCCACCGCTACGTTTATTTGTCACTTTCGAAGACTCTACCTGCATATTGGGCGGTCTGCAAACAGGGCCTCACGGTCGAGGATGAGGATGCTAAGGCAGAAGGACTGCCGGTCACTCTGCAGGGCTTCGCCAAATTTCAGGAGTACTGGACGAAGAAGATCGAGGCACTCTACAAGGACCAGATGCTCAAGGATCACGTCGAGTACCACTACTATAGCACTAAGTCTGTGCCGGCCTTCCTTAATAGCTGTGTGCTCCCTTTGGCAGCACTCACGCTGTCAAACCTCTCACTGCGATTCACGTCTGGGTCAGGGACGTCCGTTGACCCCCCTGACTCCAAGCTTCATCTACTGGAGTCTCTCTCTGACCTTGACCTTTCCCTCCTCATATCCGCGGCTCGTCTCGATATCGTCGCGCATATGGACACGGTAAACTTTGCAATGGCCTACGATGAATACACGACCTTGATAGGAAGGCAACGGGTGCAGAGCGCCACCTCGGGGATGATGGCCCTCGGAGGAGGAGTACGAGTCTGGGGGCGAGGCGTCGCCGAGATATGCTGGGAACGACTTGTGTCACTGGGACTACTCCTTCCGACCGGTATGGGGGGCCGGATGTGCAAGGTCGATGTGACGCTGGAGGAGATTCCCACGGCTGTCAAGCTGAATGCTATACTTGCTAGGTGGTGCAAGGAATTGTGACATCAGTCAGCCACTTTTACTGCCATCCACTTCTAGATTTACCTGTCCCTGACTGGCTCTGATCTGATATTGCCCTTTGTGGCTTGATCACACCCAAGCCACCCTTCTTGGTCACTGCCCCCTGAGAACGTTGACCTGACATCTCCAAGGACCATGACAACCTGTGGATACCTTCAAATATAAACCATTCCAACCATTTTGGGATCAAGACTCCCGGCAGATGACCCGATCTTTGCCTGATACATCCCATGGTCCTACGTCATTGCAATGAAGAATACCAATTGACTATCAGGAGGAAGCGCCCTGAACCGACATCTTGACCCATCTCCCGCGACCCAGCCCATAACCCCCACACCGCCGAACACCGTGCCAGCTCAGCAAGCTCTGGGCAAGGGGAGCTCAGCCTGGTCACTGCTGAGCATCTGTAAAGAATTGGGGGAGGAAGGGAGGGGGGTGGTAGTCTTGCGCCCTCACGACACCGCCGCTATGACGGCGTGAATCACTTCCTTGCGCGCATCAGTGGCCATCGTCATTTCAATTATGGTCCCCCTCCCCACAGCCTATCTTCACACCCCCCTCCCCCTCCATGGGCCGTCTGAGGCGAGTCACGAGCCTTTAGAGTGTGCTCCCTGTTCAGGCAGCGAGATTGGGCAGAGGGCCGGCGATTTCCGTGTCATTTGGGGGCGGCCAGAGCCAGACCCGCCCAGCACCTGAGTCGGCGACACTCCCGGCCAAGCTGTCATGCCCACCGTCCGAAGCGGGTACGGTGCGTGGGAGCCCGCGCTTGTAACCTTCGCGTGTCTTACCGGAATTTTGTGGGGAGAGCGTGCGGCGTCGATATCTGGGATTAGAGTTTTGTGGTGATGCTGATCATCCGCCAGGTGTGCAATTATGTACCCGTCTATGAGGTGCGATGAGGCTATGTGACGTGACGGGAAGACCCGGTGAGGACAATGACACCACATTACTGTCGTGTCTCTAGGCGATATGGGAAAGGAGGACGCGCTCTTGATCCAAGCGCGAACAACGGTGTTCAAGGCACATACGGATATAGGACCCGTGACATTCTCAAGGTTCAACTCTATCTCTAGCTTCGGTACCAATGACGAGACTTGTACAGTAGTGCTCGTAGTATGCATCGCAGAAGCATTAGTTCGCAGACAACTGCTGGAAATAGGAGGCAATCGGAAATATCGGAAACGGTATCCCATCATATCTAGCGGGATGACGTTGTCACGATCTTTCCCGGTGGCCTTCTCCGTGTGTGCAAGGCGTGGCCCTCCGGTATCATCCACTCCTCATCCGCCAACACTCCCTTGTATTTTTCCACATGGCTCACGACGTGGCCCCCTTTTTTTACCTCGCGGGCCATCCACCTGAATCAGACCCTGTCTCTCGCTGGAGATTCGCATCCGTAAAGCTCGTACTTCCGAAACCCGTTGCTACCCACCGATAACAGTATACAGGGGTGTTCGGGATACTTCCAGCCGCAGCCGCAATGCCGGCTAAACGGCGTGGCATTTGGCGATCGCCTCATAGCTAGGGCCTCTATGGGACGACATGTCAGAGCCTCCACTCGCATGTTGTTGCGCGTGAAGGTGAGGCAGTTGACGAGACCACGGCAGGCGGGAAGCCTACCCAACCCCTACGCTCCACAGGCCAACGGTGCCCAGTGTCCACTGCCCTCACTGACGGACTTGGGACGGGACTTTGTCTTCCCTATCTCATCTGGACTGACCACACAGGGGGGTCATCGGGGCGTCTTATCTGTCCACCGGACCTCTGAATGTGCTCAGTCGTTGTCCACCTCGCCGCAGCATATGATCAGCGACACGGCCAGCGCGGCGGCAGCCATGAAGAAGCCCTTGTCCGCGTCGCTGCTCCGCTGGCCCTGCCGCGCGCCGCCGACGCCGCCCGCGTGGCTGCGGCTGCGGTGCGACAGGGGCTTGGGCCGGTGGTCGTAGACCTCCTCCTCGTCCGACACCTCGGCGAGGTGCGCGCGCGGCACCGTCTGCACCTGATACTCCTCGCGGACCGCCAGCGCCATGCTGTCGCGTGGCTTCTCGCCGTCCTCGGCCGGGCCCAGCAGCTTCTGGCGGTGGCGGTGGCGGTGGCTGTGCCGGCGGGATCGCTGGTGGTGGTGGTGGGAGTGGCTGCGGTGCGATGAGCGGGACTGGTCGCGGTGGTGTTGGTGGTGGTGATGGGACCGCGAGCTGGAGCGCCTCCGCGACGAGGTTGTGCTGGCTGGGACGTAGCTCCCGCCGCTGTCGCTGTCGCCGTCCTTCTCGGAGTACATTGCTGACTGGCCATCGTCCGAGCTGGACTCATATCGAGACGTCTTCCTCGGGTTTCGCCGGGAGCTGCTCGGACCATAACGGTCGCTCATATTGTATGTGTAAATACCCAGCTACCTGCCGGTGTAGTGTTGAAGGATTGACTGGATTATGGGATCACGTTCGCCGTGGCTTGATATCGGGTGTTCTAGACCGGTAACTTCTACTCGATGTCCCGATAAGGCTGCCAGAGCCTTGCGTGAGGCGGAGGGGATGGCGTACGCATAGCCTTGAGTGACGTTGGAAAGCGGAGATCCTGGTCGGCGGTGGCATAACTTGTTTCGTGTTCATCAAGCTCGCCCCCCAAATGTACATACAATGCTGTAGCAAACCCTGCTTGATGCTCCTCTTGCTTCACACCGAATTGCTGATCAGGCCGCCTTGCAGCTCGAATTAGCAAGGTACGTCAGAATCCCGGTAAGCCGTACTATGTGATTTCCCATGACGCGGGCCCAGTCCTGGTCACGAGGCCCTGCAATCGAGCGAAGCCTTGCAAAGAAAGGCTGGAAGTGGGCGTGTAAGTGCCCAAAGCGGAATGCGGGAGGAGTATAGGGCTTGGTAGGTGCCTGACGGTGGCCCAATGTGTCACCCCTTCAGAGCTTGACAGAGCGAGGGAAAGATGGGACGACGGTTAAGGTGAGACGGCGTAGTTGAAGCTATACCCCGTAGACAAGCCTTGACTACCTTGTCCCCATGAGGAGAAGGCGCGCGCAACGCAGCGCAGCGCAGCATCTTTGCTCCCAGTCACTTGACTTAGACGCCCCATCCAAGGTTTGTGGCCCTCCATCGTCGGCACTTCGCATGTGGAGGGTAGACTTTTCCTGTATGGACCAATGTCCTTTTAACAGGCTCCGCGGGCTTTGTAAGCGTTCGGGGGGTAGATCTTGGTCTTCGAATCGGGCCCGTCCCATGCAGCCCATATCGCTGTCTGCCGGAAACCTTGATGAACCTAGGCAGTGATGCTGCATTGAGGCTTCTCCACCATTGGACCAGAATGGCTGGCGACACGTCCCGACCACGCAGATGGACAGTGCCTGCAGAAGCTCTAACCCAAGCCCATGGTCGACCTCTCGAGCCGCGGTGTTCACGCACTGTCCTGTTGATTTGATTGATGCGCAGCAGGCAATATCGCCCACGGCCAGCTACTATAGAGCTGCATTGGCCCTCGAGGCCGACTCCTGGTCGCGAGCCACTGCCCCCCTTTGAACGTGGATTTTGTCCCACTTATGAGTGTCTGCTCATACGATAATCCCACCTGGCACCATACTGGCAAAGAGTTCGGGGCTCTAGTCTCAGCTTTTGCTGAAGCGGATATGGGAGCGCTAATTGCCCGCTCGGACGGTGCCCGAAAGGGTGCACCGTCTTGACTCTGGACGACGGAACGGTACGGCCAGTACCAAGGGTGCAAGGTGGGAACACTCGTCCCCCTCCACAAAGCGCTTCCGGCCTCGTCGATACCGGGTGTCCGTATAGCACGAGGAGATACCGACATGGCGATCTGGTCGGTCAGCCCCGTCCGCGGCCTATGACTGAGCCTATGGAGCATACCATAGTGAAAGAGAAAAAAACAGGAGGAGGGCGGCCGTGCCTCAGAAGTCCACAACGATCAAGGGAAACCCATGGTGACGGTCAAAACTATGAGTGTCGAGACGCTGTGCCCGACAGTTTTCGGCCGCAAGAGCTGGGTCCTGCTTGCTCCCTACTCTAACCGATCAAGCTGGCCGAGCGAAGTTGCAGCAGGGCAGCAGGGCCAGCAGGGCCAAGACGTCGGATGAGGGCACGCTGCCATTCTGACTCGTGGGGCCCGCGGCTGCTCAGCCGAGCATGACTAAGTCCTCCCACTCCGGGAGAAAGGCCTGGGGGCCCTGTCGCCTGTCGTGCGCACAGTAATGCGATCCTCGGCTAAGTAAGAGGTCGAGGCCATCGATGTCCAGACCGTGGACCAGATGGGCCCCGCGCCCATTGGTTTTTTGCGGGCTGGCGGGCTGGCGGGTAGACATTTAAGGGTCTGTGCGAGGCGTCGCGAGATCCGTCGCCGGACCGAGTGCAACGTCCCTTTGATGGGCGCACGGCGACGTCCATCAAGCTATGTACGGTACTTTACTGTGACGGGCTCTACAGCCGAGCTAAGCAACAAGCCGGCCAGACAACGCGGGTCCGACGAGGCCCCGCCCTCCATCATACAAGCCGGGCGAGACGTCTTGCAACGTCAGCCTCGCTTACAGCCTTCCCAGTTCAAGGGAGCAGTGCCATACGGCCGCTGACAGGCTGAGAAAGGCAGACAAGCAGATATGATCTGGGAGCACCACCCAGCTGCAAACACAGACAGAACACACACGCTTACTGTGTGCACACATGCACACGAGACAGTTACGGGTTCGGCAAGGGTGTGACCCGTCACACGCGGCACAAGTGCAAGGACGACAGGCTGCCCACGTTTTTGATATTGATTTGCGACACTACCCGACACCAGGCCGCACCAGATCACATCGCACGACCTGCCCCCCAGGGCCAGCGTGCTCGCCCAGGGCCAAGCTTGCGCTGCCGTGCGACTTCGCCTTCAACCACAGGCTCTGCTCGCGGACGCGAGCCAGGAAGCAAGCTTCGGCTGCGAGTCCTGTGCTTGATGGCTGGGAACGAACGGTAGAGGTCGCTTCGCTACTGTGAAAGCAGCAGCACCAGGTCTCGGGAGGCTGGCGCGTGCGTGTTTCTGCATGCTACACCCGGGTTGGCGGCCGCGGCAGTGGCAGCGGCAGCGGCATTGCGATGGGCCGGGAGGTCCAAAAGTGGCAAGCCGTGGGTTGTGGTAGTAGTCGTGTTCTCGACTGGGATGGAGAGCGTAGGGCGAGGAAAGGGGACGGGGGGAAGGGAGGGGGGTGGATGGACTGACAGACCATGCGACCATGTGGGATATCACGAATGAGGAGGGCCGCAAGGCTGCAGAAGGAGTCGAGATATACTTTGGCGATCGGCTGGTGGGATCCGAGACACCTGAGATGACCCCCCCCCCTCTCTCCCCAGGGGTCCCTTCAACAGGCTGCCGGACCGTCCACATCATGCGGCCCGCTCTCCTGGGCGGAGGGCGGGCGCCCTCCTCCCGGCAGCAAAGGCTGCTTCTCCTGTCGCGTTGATTAAAATGTTTTGTTGGACCCCTCAGGTCCAATCACTGAGGGCTTCGCGGGTCCATGGCACGGCATGCAACCGTCCTGCCAATCCTGCTGCGACGCGTCCGATGCAGCACATGCTGGTTTGTGGCACCTCAAACCATGTGCGGTGAACAGATCTGCATAAGCAAATACTGGCGAGGCGTTTTCCCGTTCTGCCCCGGCGGGTTCGTTCCCTGCGCGTTGGGGCACACTTTGATAGGCAAGCAGGCATGCTGTGCAGTCTTAGGATGCATGTTACTGGGAGGGTCGGAGAGTCGGCATCCGTCTTAGCTGCGCTGTCCCACCTGCAACATGCAAGTCAGCACCAGTGCTTCTGTGCTTCTGAGCTTCTGCTGTCCTGGTGTCCGTGATAGGAGAGGCGAGCAGGTGTGCTGTACACCTCACGAAGACACACACCCTGGTGAGGTGCTTCCGCGCCCCATGTGCAGAGTGACCTAGTCTGACCGATGGCGTCTGTTGAAACAGGCCCAACCCTGTGAGAGATGCCGTCAAAAGAACCCGGTGAAGTTAATAGCGCGCGACGCCAGATTTTCCCGAACTATCGGCTTCTCCCCTTTTTCCCATCTCCCCAGGCTAAAACAGTCAGTGTCAAAGACAGCTAGCAGGCTGATAGCCCCAAATGCTGTGTATGCATGTCTGATTCGCAGCAACCCCGGACGATACGGAACACCGTCTATATGATATGGGTTTATGCCCTTGCCGCTTGGGGCCAGTGAGCTCATCAGACGGCAGACATGGGCACTGGTCCGGCGTTCCGGGAGCTGCTCGGTCCACGACTATCAGCGCGCCGTCGATGTGACAATGTCCCAGGGGAGGAGGCCTAGCCCACCATCCCCGTCCACATATACGAGTGCCCGCACCGCTGATCTGATTACTGTTACTCCCTCTCCTGCATGGTCTCGCTGCATAGTCGTCTACACCGTAGTGGAAGGGGGAAGACCGGACGACGCGGAAGCTTGGCCGGCACGATTGCCACGTGAGACGCAAGACTCAAGACTTGTGTGTCTGCCGCCAAGTCAGCGGCGCCCAGCCACGACGCGGAAGTGCGAGCCCAGGCGAGCCAGGCTTCCAGTTAGGCTACAGTAGCGGGACTGCGGGACAGAGTATACAGTAGAACAAAAAAAAGTTGCTGGCAGGCAGAAGAGGAGAGGTGAAACAGAGGAACGTGGCTCGCATCTACCACGTGGCAGCCCCACTTTGCCATGCTTCCTCCGCGCACGTTCCTCGTGCTGCCCTCCTCTTTCTTTTTCCCCGAGTCAGTGGAGATTGGCAATCGAAGGGGCAGATCTGCCACAGTCCGAGCCAGAGCCTACCGCATCAGAGGGTGCCTGTGAGAGAGGCGGAGAAGGGGGGTGGGTGTCAGCACTAGCTCTGCACAGTACCATTTTCTGGCCCCCCCAACGCAGGCGTACTGTGTACTGTGCTGTGCGAGAAAGCGAGGAAAAGAAGGGGGGGGGGGGTGTGAGAGTGCGGAACACGCCGCCCGCCCTTGGGTCAAGATTGATGCGAAAAGGGTATTGATCCTTCGACGAACACGTGTCGATTCCGTTTCGGCATCGTATCTCCTGCGTGAGCTCCGCACTGATGCCCCCGACGTTGGCTGGCTGGAACCCGGCAGCGGCGTCGGTGAAGTGGCCGTCGGTCTCGGTTTTCTATTTCGAACAAGCCGTGTCCCGCCCGCCGCCTGATGGTCCATGAGTATTGGGGGGCAAATGGGCTCTGACGGAGCAGGAGCAGGGTGTGGCGTGGCGTGGTCTTCTCCGCATGATTCTGAGTGGCATCATTTCGGGATTTGTCGCCCCCTCGTGCCAGGCACCCTGCGCCAAAATTGACAGCCTCGTGGATTTTCCTCCTTGTTGTCGTTGACGGAGACTGAGCAAGCTGCCAGCCCCCCCCCCCGGGTGGTCTTCAGCTGAAGCCTGAGGGCGTGTTCATCTCTTAGAGTGGGTGCCCGTCAGATTCAAGGTTCAATCTTGGCAGAGGCGGTGGGCGGGCAGGCGGGAAGCTCCAGTGTACCGTACAGCTGTACAGCTGTACAGTATCACAGTATCACAGTATGATTAGATGCCTCTCTAAGCCGTCTTAATGCCGGCTGGAAATGTAGATTGGCTGGCCGCCCTACCAGCTCAGGGGAATAACGAGCAGAGTACTGAATCTGGCCGTGGCTTTGTTCGTCTAAGTGTCTGTGTGTCTACTAGGCTTCGAGCGATACTGTAGAATTGATCCCGTGTCATAGCCTGCTTAATACTAGAATCGTTAAAAGTAGCTAGCAGACTAGTTAGGCTACAATCGTCTCTGATACCTGCCGCTGTGCACCCACGGTATCTAAGATACTCGTGCAGCGTAGACCAAGACTATCAAAGATCTTGCCCACCACACAACAAGCCACACTCGCGCGCACACACACACAGATTTGAGACAAGGGCAGTCCCGTTTGGGATCAGAATTTAGGATCAGGATCAGATCGATGTATCGATGTCACTATTAGTGGATTCGCTCACGGGTCTTTCGGGACTTAAAAACCCACGTGGGAAAAGGAGATTGGGATGCCAACATGGGTTCGGCTAGGTGCGCGCGAGAGGCGCTGAGGCAGAGATCTCGGCGTTGACAGGCCCCTCCCCTGGCTTGACGCAGCGTCAAACTGGACTAGAGGGTGAAACATGATCCTGCTAATTCGTGTGAGGGCTGAGAATTCAGTTGCGCTCAATTTCCCACGGGGACCGGCCTGGACGGCGAGGGCCAGGTGATGCCGGGGTCCGGTCTTTTGAGTTAGATGCGGGCAGACAAGCGTTCCTAGATGTGTTTCCGAATGCACAAAACAACGTCGCACAGTGCCATGCCGCTGCTACGCATGTAATTACCCAGGTGATTAGCAGAAGGATATGGCAAACGCAGACGGCATATCCAGATTGGTCTCATTACGCGGCGGTGAAAATACAACAATCAAAACAGGGCAACACATATAGGATCCCATTTCAACAATACGGGGTCGCCGAGTGTGGGTCGCCGGGCTGCAACGCAGATTCGGGGTATCTCACCATGACAATCTGATGACAGCTGGTTCTCGGCCCTACACGGTCAGATGGGCAACCATGCGCGTACGCGACATGTCGTCAGTATCGCGGCCCCTTCGTTCCTGACCCTGTTTGGGCCAAATTACATGCAAATCTTGTCGTACAACACACCGGGGCCTAACCCAGGCACGGAGTACGTACATGGCATAACCGAGCCACAGGGCTGGCACGCGAAAACTTTAAGTGGCAAAGAGCTAATAATAACGCCAGATGGAGATGGGGGAGATACGGAGGAGCGAGTTCGTTGACGCCACCACCAGATCGGTTGAAAACCAGATCTATCAACACAGTGGGCATGCTGTGAAGACACCCTGCCGTGCCTTGTCGTAGGGCTCAGTCTTTCTTCAGAGCGCGGCACGCGCCCAGGCAGGGCGAATCTCGGCCGACGGCAACAGCGGCATCCTCGCTCACGATCTATCTGCGAGACAGTGGCGTGCCTGGTCTGATAACTCGAATAGCTCGAACTAACCGCGTCAGATGTAACAATACGAACCACACGTTGGATCTACACGTAGTTGGCGTACCACTTCAGTGCCGCACCTTACTCCAGGGTCCGGCCGAACCAGTTTTCTGGGCACCGAAGCCCGGTAAATTCTGCAACCATCCATCCCATAAAGTTTCCTAGCGAATACTGGAAGATTGATTGCATGGTGATTTCAAACACGAACAAAAAGCATCCCAGGATCTGGGGTCGCCTGCCACATCACCGCCCGGCGTCACCAGCCTGCCCCAGCCTGCCAGGCCGAATTCCTGGCCGCGCTGACTCGGACGGCCCTGATCTGCGTCATCGCCAGTTCGCGCATCACTTCAGAATTCGACACAGGGACCCACGGCTCGCCGGCGCGAACGTCGACGGGTGTTCGTGTCCCGTGCTGGCCCCAGTTCTTCAAGGCCTTCTAGCCCTTCCAGCCCTTCCAGCCGGCTTCTAGAAGGGGTCTTGGAACATTCACTGGAGCTTCCTTCCATGTCAGATGATGGTACCGATGTCTTCTCGCATGGTGAGCGGCGCGTGGCACGGGTGGTGTGTCCCTGCCTGCCTTGCGGTGGCTGGAGAGCGGGTCTCTCGTGTGCCCCGTGTGGGAATTGGCACAGTGCCGTGCCAGGCACACGCCCCCTTGTCCATGAACATGTGGCCAGAGAGCCCACAAGGGCACAGTGCGGGCGGGCGAGGCGCCGCCGCCAGGCCCGCGCGTTGCTGGAGCGCCGTCTCGGTGAAGTCCTGCTGTGGGCTTGTCGGTCAAGGCGACGGCAAAAATTCGATGGTGACGAGAGAGAATGCGAGATCGTCCGCCTTGTTCGATATATGCAAGGAAGAGATGTCCATGCCACGCACAAGATTCCAGAACGCCGTCGCCGAAGCCCGCGTCCAGGCCCAGCAGGCGTACCTGGCGCGCGCTGGCGCCGTTTGTGCGCAGGCTGGGACGCCATGCAGGGACAATTACCAACGGTTCACCGCTACTGCGGCTCTTGGGTGAACCAGCCGCTGATCTGCGGAGAGCTGCGCATCCACACATGGTTTTCCACTGCTGCTGTTGGTCGTGTGTCACTCCAGGATCCCATCTGCCGTTCTCTGATGAGGAACCGACCCAAGGACCAGGGACCTGAAGATCCAAGGAAGGGAGGGAAAGGGAAAGAAAAAAAAAACCACCACCACTGCGAGGCAGAAAAAGTGTAGTCTGTGTGGCCGGCTGCTTACGGCTCGCCTGCACGCACCGTGCTGCAGCAGCAACACGCGCCTCTTGCCGCGCGACCCCAAAATATTGCCGAATGCGTTAGTCCAACTCTACCCTGGGTACGGAGCAGCTTATTGTAACCCAGTGTTCGCCTCCTTGCAGCCTGTAAGCCCGCTCACGTTTTGGCACTTGACCGGATATAACGGGAGCCTCTTTAATTCCCATCTCACTCGCTATACGGAACTGCCATATTGGTTTACACACCGCTCCCCTAGAAAAAAAACATCTTGGGCTAGGCTGTACCGTTGGGGGAGGGGAGGGGGTGTGCAAAATCTACATGCTGTTGCAATTTTCACTGCCGCCATGCACGCCTCTCCAAGGCCCCAAGGAAGAAAAGGCCCGCCGCGATGTCATTTCCACGGTTCGCATGTACAGATTTGTGCATGCTGACCTGGGCCTTACTAAGTCGAATCCCGTAATATCTGCAACTCGACATCTTCATCACGGGACACGATGCATTATTCAGGGCAGTCAGCTGTGCCTGAGATTCAACTACAATTCCTCGATTGTCACCTGGCTTCGGGCAGCAGGTATAATCTCTAACGGAACCAAAATGTCTGCCCGAGGCAATTGAGTGTGCCGGGGAGGCACGCGTTAGGGAGTCAGAAGCCATGACAGCAGCCAACTAACATGACTGAGGGCAGCAGGTGGGGCAGCATCATGCGAAAGACGCCACGCCAAGCCTGAGCCATGTGTAGGAGCGTTTTTGCTGAAACCGGAGGATAGAAAAAAAGGGGATGAGACGGACGGCCACGCGACGGAGTTCGGATAAGTGATGATTGGCGACGCCCGGCAACACAAACAATGAAAAATATGGAGGGGATAAAAAATTAAAAAAGAATAAGAGGAAAAAAAGAAACAATAATAACAAGGGCCACAACGTTCCTCAGTACTGTAGCAGATTGCGCGGCTGCAGGGGCTGGGCCTTCACCACCAACCAGCTCACACAAGCAAATCCGTGTCGCGGCTTGCCTCGTGGAAGAGATCCCTGAGGCCATGTGCAGATCCTGCCGACCCTGTCGTGCTGCCACCCACCCACCACCCACCACAACCAGCACACCCATCCACCAGAGAAAAGCCACCCCCCCTCCCCAAGCCATGCGGCCAAAAAAGTGCACATACTGTGGTAGTTTTCACGGGGAGGACTTTTACTTACTGCCTAACTGGGACCCCGCCAACGCCGCCTCCCACATCATGTCATTGGCGAAGGGCGCATCCGGCAACAAATGGCAGCGCCCGGCAGGATCCTCTTCTCGACGCCGCCCCTGCTTGCTGGCCGCCACTGGGCCCGTTTTGTTTGTACACATTCGCCCACCCAGCCCGGCCAGCCAGCCAGCCAGCCAGCCAGCCCAACAGGCCGACCGTGAGCTGTCAGAACCTACCAGCCGCAGTCTGACTTAACTCCGGTGTTGTTGCCGAGGGCTGAACACGCATTCAGACGCTTGTTTCAGACGCTCCTTGACTTGGGATCAAAGACTGGTCGTTGGCGCTTTATTCACGATGGGATGCCTACCCTGTTGCCGTTTTTTATTTTCCGCAAGCCGCATTCAGACCGACTGCTCGTCCTCGTTCGTGCATGCTTTTCGCCTCCCCGGCCCCCAAACCCCGTGTTGTCCAACGGGAGACGGACCCGCGGACCAGGAAGATACATATCTTGCTTTGCTTACCAAGGACCGTAACATGCAGCTGACGGTGGCATCGCGAGGGCGCTGATCTGCTCTGCTCTGGTCTGGTCCGCACTGATCGGCAGAGTAAGCCTGATCGTGGGCTCCATGTGGCAAGCAGGTGAAAGACGTTTCGGGAGCATGCGTGCTCCAATGAATCTCCCGTCCTATGATGTACTTGCACAGACGCTCGTGAGGCTAGAGACATCTCGACCAGTTGGCTCTTGTTCCCTTTTTGTTTCAGCCCGCCCAACAAGCAATCCCACGTGGTCTCAGAACCAGGGGGGTGGTGGGTGGCCACTGTCAGCAAAAAGATGTTGGTTTTGCGGCTGTCGACGGGAATACACAGGGAAATTTCGGGGGGCCAACAGGCCGGTTGACAGGTCGTCGCCCCCTCGGCCGGGGGCTAGCTGAACACACTTGCCGTCCAATGGACTGACGGAGTTGAGACGGGTTTATTTTGGACGCCGATAAAAATAACGATTTGGAAGAGGCCATGTTTCTGTTTTGTTTGCGGCGAGGCGTCTTTGCTGTGCTGGATGTCTCAGGTTCTCTCCTTGATCGGGACCCGAGGGAGATTCATCCATGGACGACCAAAGTACCACAGCTCGTGAGCTTGGGGGGATCATGTTACTCCGCTCCCGCTGCGGCGCTCCGAAAGACGTTTGGACACGGCGCTGGAGATGGTCTTCCTTTCCTGGCCCCGTACTGGCGTATCCCGGCCTGTGCTGGCCCAATGCGTACGAACCAACACACGGTGCTCTTTGTCCAGGAGCTTGATTCTTCATCAAGCAGTCAATCAGTCAATCAATCATGCAAGCGACCAAGGCAATGCCCGCAATAGTGTTCATTGGGATCTGTTTCATCGCCGGTTCGTCTGTACTGAGCACGCAGGATTCCTGATGCGCAGCCTGCCTTTTTCCTGGATCTATCTGGTTGACGTCCTGCAAGTCTTTGCAAAAAGAGCTGTGCCGAGGGCCGATCTTCTACCTTCTGTAGGAGCCTAGCCGGGGGATGCTGAGGAGCGGGTGGTTTTGCTGGATCTCGAACGGGTTTAGGTGCGTGGCAAGTCGGGAGAGACCCCCCCTCTTCTTGGGGGCCCCCCCGAGCCTGTCCTAAATCTCACTCTCACTGAGCGCCCAAAGGTACCTTGGGCGCCCCCCCGTCCCACCTTCCCTACAACGTGCCTTTTTTTTTTTTATGTCGCAGCAGCAGTGACGGCGCGGCAGCGCCCTGGTGCGAGTACAGACGGTGTGTGCGACACTGTGTATACCGTACAGTACCAGATACCCCGCCGAATGGCCCCATGTGCCATGCGATGCGGCACCCTGAACTGCCTGATGCAATGACGCCCCATGTCCTGGTCCTCCTTTTTTCCTCCTTTGGAGTGGCACTGAGTGGGACCGGCACCTCGCGTTTTATTTTTTTTTCTCGCCCACACACCATCAGCGACCCCCCCTCCTCCATCACGCCTGCCCATCCTCCACAGCTCTAGCACATGGCTCCCGGGAGTCTCCCCTGTCCTGTCCTGTCCTGCCAATTTTCTCCTCACACTGTACGCACAGTACGTGGTACCCTACCCAGAAGCAGCAGTGGCAGTAGTACTGTGCAGTAGTAGCCCACACCCACCCTTTCTCTGATCGCATGCTGCTTCTGCTGGCTGGCTGCACTGGCTGCTGGCTTCTTGCTTCTGGCTGCTTTGCATGAGCATGGGCATGGTGCTGTGTGCCTGTGTGTGAGACTTTCTCTCTGCCTGTTCCCGCGTGGTCGCCTCGTCACTCGTCACTCGTCACTTGTCATTTTTCTGCCCATTGTCGCTCCAATCTTCAATTACTACTCTCACTCACTGCTACCGTACACACTTCGGATTCAGCCAGAGTCCAGAGTCCAGAGTCCAGTCCAGTCCAGTCCTCCCAGTCCGACCACGCAATCCGCCATCCGCCCATCTCCATCCGCCGGACGCTTTCAGTTTAATTGCAATTGAGGAGGACCTGAGAGGAAGAGACATTGGGTGCGTAAACCACCTGCTTTCCGCCTTCTCACACACACCCCCCTCTCGCCTCCCCTCGTCTTGTTGCTTCTGCTTTGCTCCATCTGCCCTGGCCTCCCCCTGGCCCGGTCTCATCATTCCACGCCCGTTTTTCCCAGGTCATCACCACCCAGTTCTTCACCGTCCGTCCAGTCCTCCATTCCACATTCTCTCGTCGCACTCCCCCAGTCTGGCTTCTGGCTGCACATGCCTGTTGTCTCCTGGTTCGATTTTTTCTTCTTTTTTTATCTGCCTGGGATCGTAGCCACAGCAGCCCACACAATCTGCCTCATTGCACAGCTCAGCACAGTGCAGTGCCGTGCGGTAGTATAGGTACGTTCTCTCAGTCTGTCTGCCTCTCCCACTCTCTCGCCTCTCGCCTGGCCCATTCCTTGGCCGGTTCCCACCTTTCCAATGGAGCTTGCAAGTGAGTCTCTCTGGGTCGACTCGACGGTCCTCTTTTTCCCACCCGTCTCGTCACTCAACCCATTCACCCTCGTCGAGCACGCACCAGCAGAAGAAACCAGCGGCAGAAGGGAGAGGCAGAGAAAAGCGGTTGATGCTCACGGCCCAGCCTGGCACCGCCGAATGACCCCCCAATCTGTGGCATCCATCCATCCTCGCTGCCCTGACCCTGCCCTGCCTTATTCTCATCATCCTTACCACCTGAGTCCGTCCGTACTGTACTGTCCAGCCCAGTCTCCAGTCTCCAGCCCCGTCCAAGCCCAGTCCTGTCCTCTTACCAGTACCCAGCAGTCCCAGCTCCATCCACGCCGGGACCAAGACAAGACAAGACAAGACCCAGGCCCAACCCGCTCTTACTAACTTCCTTTCTGCCTTTGTTAGATGGCTGCCGGCGTATCATCTCCTGCCCGCCCAAGCCCAGTCTATCTTCACGATCCATTGTCCCACACAAACAATAATTCCTCCAACTTCATCTCTGCTCCTCCTCACCATTCTGCTTCCACCACATCCTCTTCCGGCTTGAGCTCCCTCACCTGCCCACCTCCAGCAGCACCGCACCTGTCGTCGTCTTCTCCCAGCAGCCAAGACAATCCGCGTCGCCCTCGTCCTGTCATCGTCAGTCCTAACAGCACCACCAGCAGCACCAGCGCCAGCCCAAGCATCAGCACTCCCGCCAACGTTGCCATCTCTCCCCTTGCATCCTCGCCGCTCGAGTCTGTCGCAGACTCCGTGCTCACGCGACCTCGACCACAGCAATCGCCTGTCAATTCCGCCAGAGGGGACCCGAGGCTTCAAAAACCTGCCGGTTTTTTCGCATTCGCTGCCTCTGCCATTGACCGCACTCAGAGTGCCATTGCCACCATCTCTGACCAGACGGTTCGGCACCAGCGATCCCTGAGTCGGCTTTCAATTACCGGCGACTCTGCTGCCCACCACCTCAGCGCCGAGCCTTCGCCCGACAGGACTTCGAGATACCGCCCCGCCTCGACTCTGTCGTCGGCCTCGTCCTCGAACCTGCTGAGCCCTCAGCTAGGGTCAAAGTTTCCAAGCAGCCAGACTTCTCCGGCTCAGGATCCTCCCTACTCACGACCCTATTCTGAGACCGATCCCTCTCACCCTCCGCCAATTCTCTTGCCGAGAATCGACAACAAGATGCATCAAACATCGTCGAGGCTATTGCGCATGACGGATGACGACAGGCCGTTTACCAAAGTGAGTACCTTCAATCTGATTCGTTTTCGTCCGTCGGCAGCTGTGCCCGAAATAGGCCAGTCATACGGTGACGGCACTGCTGCTGTACCGCGCGGGGCAGCGGCAGGCCCCGAATTGCGCATTCGGCGACTGACAGTAGCCTGCAGGACTTCAAGGATCTCTTTGCAACACTGATCGTCAGTCTGCTTCCGCTTTCAGCCCATCGCGTTCGCTTGACCAAGGTCGAGCACACGTTCCTGTCAGAAGATGCCATCAACAATCTGGGTTCTCTCAAATTCTCCCAATCCAATCGCATGCCCGATCCCAAAGATCCTTCCCGAATCGTAACGACAACGACGACAACCACATTCTCCATGGCGAAAGACATGGCCCGGTCGATATGCCAGCGATTCTTGGAGGCACGTTTTATCGAGTCCGCCGACGGGAAGTACCAGCAGGTATACACCATGAAGGGCTCGGTCTGGCAATTGACACCAAAGGGTATCTCTATCTTGGATCGCTTCTGTTCGAGGAACGGTATCCAGCAGAAGCAGGTGGCAGAGCTGATTGGCAACTCATTACCTCAACTCGTCATCTTGGAAAGAGAAGGTCAGACGGACAAGCTGACTACGGACCGTGGCACCATCGAGGTCCTTTTCAGGAGGTTTGTCGGTATCGGAGGCTTCAACATCAAGAGCAACGTGAACTCTGCCGACTCGGATTCCCTCAGCGATTACAAAGATGGTCTGACAGGCGTCAAAATGGCCGCCGAGCGTAAAGTGGGAGGCAAGACTTTTAAGAACACTTTTACTGGCAAGGCGGCCACAGACTGGCTTATGGACTGTTCCACCACTGTTGACCGACGGGAGACAATTGAGGTTGCCGGCCTGTTTGTTGAGTACGAGCTTATGGAGGCTATCCAGCAAGATCGGGCGTACATGTCGCAATACCCTGGCAGCCATCTGTTCCAGCCCACAAAGCATGCCATCTACACACTCACGCCAAGAGCCCACGACCTGGTCAATGGCGCATTGACCCGAGGGAGGAGTTCAGAGGGCGAGGTATCCTCCGGGATTAGGCCTGGTGTCGCCCGCGACTCTAACACCCAGAGACTGGACAAGATCCTGGGCGATCCCGCGCTTCGACTGCTCTTCCGTGAAAACCTTCGCGAGACGCATTGTGAGGAGAATCTGTCGTTCTACATCGATGTGGACGAGTTCGTGCGTAGCTGCAAGCAGGCTATCCGACAAGCCCAGAAGAACCCGACGTCGACTTCTATGGATGGTATTAAGGAGATCATGGCTCAGGCATACGGCATCTACAACGCGTTCCTCGCCCCCGGCTCGCCTTGCGAGCTCAACATCGACCATCAACTGCGCAGCAACCTTGCCACCCGCATGACTAAGGCAGTGGGTCAAGACGTTGCCATGATTGATACTTTGCACGAGGTGACAGCGCTCTTTGAGGACGCGCAGAACGCTGTCTTTAAGCTCATGGCTAGTGTAAGTCAAATGCTTCTTCCCGCAAGTGCCATGCGAAACTAATTCTGACGTGCATGCAGGACTCGGTACCGAAGTTCTTGCGGAGCCCAAAATACGAGCAGGTCTTGAAGAACTACGACTTTGATACCATAACGCATCCCGTTGGCAAAGATGCAGGAGCGCCCGGCCGATTGCTCGAGCGAAGCCAAAGTCGATCGAACCGCAAGTGAGAAACGGCATATTCCGAGCACTCCTTTCTCTCCGAAATTCGCCCGACTCTTCCCAACCCGGCCACGCGGCACACGCAGCGACGTCTCATCCATGCCATCCATGCCTAGCCGCAATTTCCAAAAAACTTCAGCTTGTCCAAGGCATAGCCGCGACTATCCGGCCCTCAACTTGCTTCTGGCTCGCCAAACCTGACAACACGGAATGACCCGCCATTATTGAAATGATTGGCTATGGGCTACAGGTCAAAGGTGTCTGGGAACCAGAATTGCACATTTTTCATATGCCTCCCGTTCTGGTGTGGACTCTCGACGACGGGATTATCGACTTTGATTGCTCCACGATTGGGGCAGTCTCGGTAACAGCGAACGCACCCCTAGGTCATATCCGTCTAGGTGGTCTCTGCTTTTATTGCCTAACGCGTCGCACAAGGCGGATGTACCTCTACTCACTGGCCCGCCGCACGTTCAAGGAAGCGTTGGGTCAGCTTTTCATTTTGCTTTTACGTGATTCGGAAACCAAGGCGTTGGGCAAGTTCTCGGCATAGACGTTGCCCACGGGGCAGTCCATATGAAGAAAGGGGACGAGTGCTCGGTCGACATGACGGGTTCTTCCGTCCAGAGGCACCCAAGATGAGCGTTTGATGGGGCGCATTTTGGATGACGGACTCGCTGTCTCATCACTGCATTTTTCTTTTATTGGTGGAATGGGGGGAGGGGAAAGGATTTTTGCGAGCCCCTGGTCTGGAGTGGTCAAGGGCTCTAATTCTCTATGGGACGGAATCTATGATGCAAGAGGCATGGGCCGGTACGATGAAAGCACGTCGAACAGCTCGGTGTCTGGGGGACCGACCGTATACGAGGGGCTTACTATGTGATATGGCCCCGAGCTATTTCGGCACAAGAGTGTACATAACGACGGACCATTATACGATACCAGTCGATGAGATCGACCGCTTCTTAGATGACCATTAACAAACTACGAAAAGGATCGCCGCTTTGGCCTTGCCCACACATGAATCGGTGCCTTTTGAGATGATGAGCGATGGTGATGGAATGTGAGAAGTTTGTGTTGAGGTGTCGCGTGCATTGGAGCAGCCGGTCCGACTGACTGGAATGCGGCGCCACCGACGCATTTCTCGAGACCAACAACACGGCTTGTTTGTTGTCGCACCAGTAATGTGTCATTAGACAACTACTCTCGATGGGTTTAATTGCAGATTCTTGTGACATAGCAGTTCCTGTGGCCGGACTAGTCGTCCACGCCCATATAAGACTGCTTCGTCTCTTGAGACTTTGTTGATGTAGCCTTCCTCTGCATCGCAATTATTTGGTCTCGACCTTAGTCACTCATTCGACTTGCCGTTCTTCACATTCGTTATATATTGCCACTTATTTCGAGAAACCTCAGGCCCCGAACTTGCAACAGTCGACTTCATCTCTCTTTTCCGCAAACCGACATATAGTAAACAACACACAAGCAGACAAGATGCAGATGCAAAACCTCCTCACCTTCCTCGCGGCCTCCATGGCCGCCGCCCAGGTCACAGGCATCCCACCGCCTCCTCCTCTCGGTAACGGCACTTTCGTCACCACCATCGTGGTGAACTCGTTCGTGACCTACTGCCCTCAGCCCACCGTCATCACGTACAAGGACGTGTGCTACACGGCCAAGAGCGCAGGGCCCGTCACCATCACCAACTGCCCCTGCACAATCACCACCGTAAGTCACATTTTATGTATAATTCATACATATACAGACAGTGTATTGTGAACCCAACAACCACACCTCGCTAACACACCCAACCCAGACCGTCCCCAAGGTCACCACCGGCCAGCCCCCGGCCCAGACCAAGGGCGCCGTCCCGGCCCCTCCTGCTGCTCCCCCAGCGGCTCCCCCAGCGGCTCCCCCAGCTGCTCCTCCTGTCAACAACCAGTCTCCTGTTGCTCCTCCTGCTGCGGCTCCCCCAGCTGCGGCTCCCCCAGCGGCTGCTCCTCCGGCTGCTGCTCCCCCGGCTGCTGCGCCCAACGCCAACCCCGTCACCGGTACCTACGTGGCCCCAGCCAAGCCCACCTACGTCACGGCCGGCGCCTCAGGCCTCAGGGCCTCGGCGCTCGTGCTGGCGGGTGCACTTGCGGGTGTCGTTGCGCTGTAAGCGGGCATGGAGTACTAGAGAGATACCCTTGCAGCAGAGGTTGGGGGAAAGGAAGCTCGGCATGTTTGGTGTTTTTCACAAAGGCATCATCATCTTTTTTGGGTCTTGGGACATTTCTGTAAATCGCTTCCTTCAAGGGGTTGATTTTTCATTTTTAATTCAACATTTATCCATCTATGTGCAGGGCAGGGGAAGAACGGAGTGAGGGTGTTTCGAGGAGGCATCTTTTGCCTTGCTTCTTACGTTTTCCAGGTCTACTAATGAGTCGACGTTAATACGCTTTTGAGAAGAGAGAAAGAAAAAACCCAATACGAGGGGCCTACTAGGGATTCGGGGTGAAACATTGGCAACGAACGAGGGCATGAACACACAACTAGTTTTCTGCATTGTGCTTTACTCTTTTTGGTTCTACAAACAGACTTAACCCTGGCGCAGAGGACATTAGATCAATGACACTGCATCATCTACCAAATGCGTCTTTTTGCTTTTACATTGTGCAAAATCTGTGATCTCTCCCAACCTCCACGTTGCTGGTATTGACACCCGCAGAACTTTGGGATGAGGGGGAAATGAAGTGTCATTTGCGAAGTATCAGGCTGTGTGACAAGCGGCTCAGAGTGAAATCACACAAAGCATTTCGAAGCCCAGGATGAGAATAGGGAGTACCCGTTTCACTGCATAGTATACAGACTCGAAGTTCTCGAGTGTTTATGATTTCGGAATTGGTTCTTGTAGCAAGCCTTTCGATGCACATTCCTGAATTCCCTTGCGCCACAACAACGCCATTTTATGATAGCCTAGGTCGTTGGGGTGTGTCCCATCCATGAGGTCGTCAAGGCTTGGGCCAGCCGCAGTGTGCATATCGACAAGCACGATCCTCCTACCCTCGCCTGCCTTTCGCCTCGCCAACTCACGATACTGCGCGTTCGCTCGCAACACGTTGGCTTCAGTCAGCTTGTCCACATTTGCCAGCAGCGTCGACAGGACAATGGTAGAGCCCGGCGATGCGTCCCAGACCAACTTGAGCAGGCTGTCCATGCGTCCCCCGATGAACTCGATGTCGACTCCCTGAAGACAGTCATTCGACCCTGCATTGATCGCGACAACATTCGGCAGCAGCAGCGGGATGCTCCTCCGAGCTTTGTCGTGGATCTGGTCGATCCTGAATCCCCGCCAGCCCTCGGTGTGGTTGTTCGTCATGGTGCCCGCCCTCCGCGACCCGACCATTTCGACAGAATAGCCATCGTCGACCAGCAATCGGCGGAGCCCTTCTCGGTACCCATTCGCATTGGACGACCCTGACCCGAAAGTGACCGAGCCGCCGAGGGGCATGAGACGCAGTGATCTGATCATGTTGTGTTGTACTTGGTCATTGGGAACGAGACTAGCGCGGTCTAGCCGGAGCGTGTGCAACGGGCTCCTATATGGGTGCAGAACGCGAGATCACAGGCACAACAAAGATGTGAAGGTGTCGCAGCACCATCGTTGGCAATATTGAGTTGTTTGGAAATCTCACATCGTGGTCAAGTGTGCAGATTTCTGACTCTTGCGCCTTTGCTACACGTCACACCGGCCGATCTCGGGCACGGCCATGAAGACGACTAATTGGGTTTCCAAGCACAAAGTCGTCCACCTCTTCACTTGTCTATACAGATGACTCTTGAATGAAGGTAGCAATTGCTTGGTTATAATTGCTCAATTCCAATTAGCAATAATTCTTAAGCCCTACGGTTGCTCTATTCAAGCTTCGAATTCGCCCCCCCCCCCCCAAAAAAAAGTACTTACAACTATCATCTGAACAGAAAGCACTTCAGCAAAAGATATATCATGAGTTTTGTTGGTAAGACACCTCAAAAAGTGTTCGCCGCACATGATGCTTTCAGCGAATATTTAGCAGACTCGGAATCAAGACTTCGAGCACAATTTTTAACAGATACAACAATATTTGAGCATCGATTGTCTCACACTAACATGCTCTGAAATCAAGTTCTTTAAACTATTCGATGCTACCGTTGCATTATGATTGTTTCTTCTTGAAATGGCATCCTAAAGGACACTAGAAATAGAGTGATGTATAAATGTGAGGACTGTCTAAGCTACCGCTACAAAATCTGCCTACTGTTATCTGAATGGGAATTTTGCTAGAAGCGGTTAATATGTGTTCTGACGAGTTTGAAGAATCAAGGCTTTCTGAGAGCCTCACTTGTTCATTAGTTGTGAAAATTATGTCTATTTTCCTACGGTCTAATAATGCTTGCATAATTCATATCTTCGTCGCATTGTGTGTCTCAGCCCCCCCTTCTTGGTAGGTAAATGCTAAGCCAAGAGAGACATGCAAGCTGTGCCGCTTCCGCAAGGTCCGACGTGACGGGAAGCACGGAGAAAAAGGCAAGAGCTCAGGCTCGTTTACTCGTTTGTCAAAACTTTGCTCCCACAATTACCGAGGTTGATGACAGAGAAAAATCCCTCCGATCATCGCAATCAAATATCATATTCAAATATCATAGATGTTTTGGTATCCTCTCACCCTCTCAACTCCGATCCTCAACTCCTGCCCAAGAAATTGCCACATGCGGCATCAATATGACGGCAGAAAAACGGCCCTGCATACCAAAGCATGCCCAGTTACCGGAGCAACGTGGTATAAGCCCGAGACAAGCCCCAAAAAACCATGTTTACGCGCCCCAGCGTGCCAGCGTGGCGGCCTCGTGATTTCACATGCCTCCCGCCCGCCGATCTTCTCTGGCACGCAACGCCGCTGGCAACCTGACACCCCAAGATTAAAGACGCAACAAAACAAAAGAGCAGATCCTCATTCCAGCTCCGCGACAAAAGGAGAATCCAGGCGCGCGCCCATTCCAGCGCGGCCCCCGGGCCTCAGCACCACGGGGTGCTCAGGGCTCCACGCGCCGTCGGCGCCGGCCTTTTTGCCCAGATCGGGGCCCGACCCGGCCAGCTCGGCGAAGTACGGCGGCGTCCGCGGCGGCCGCGGCTCGTCCGGGGAGGAGCTGGCGCCGCTGCTGCCCGCGTCCGAGTACGGGTTCAGGGACGGGTACTCCGGGTGGTCGCTGCTGGTCCTTGGCTCCGAGGCGGAGGGCCGGCTGGTGGTCGCTGCGGAGGAGGAGGAGGTGGAGCCCGAGCTGCGGTGGCAGGCCGCCGGGCGGGCGGTGCCTGGTATGGGCTGCGTCACCTGGGCGGAGCCGACGGAGAGGTTGCGCACGCGGAGGGGCTGTGGGTATAGTGTGTGGTCGTGGTGCGCTGGCGGGGGAAGGGAGTAGTGCTGCGGTGGGTGGGGCCGCGTGGAAAGGTGTGCGAGTGTCGGTGGGTGCCGGGCTGCTGCTGGATAGTGTTGCTCGAGCCGGCTGGGAGGGTTTGTGAATTGTGAGTGCGGTCTGTGATGTGCAATGAGTGTTGCATTGCGACCCTTGTCGCCCTCGTTTGAGCTGGGATATCGCATAGAGGGTGGACGACCTGGTTGATATCCAGACACAAACGGGCTCCCGAGTTGCGGTGGCGGGCTTCTTCTCGTTTCTGAAGTGTTTTCCCGGACGTCGTAACGAGGCGGTTGATTTTGTGTTGCCTGCGAGGTTGGGAACAAGACCGGTTTCTCTTCCGCGGCGCTCGAGGGCGACTTGCCAGTGTAGATGCTATCCTTGTCCCCCGACATGACTTGTCGAGCCTTCTCGACAAGATGGTCCACCAGCGTAGCGTGGGATTTCTTCAGGTTCTTTTTGACAAAGCCGGTCATGAGAATGTTGCATCGGAGATCGACATCTTCCCGGATGTACAAGCCCGTGGCCGGCGCGCCGATGCCCAGCTCCACGGGCCCGGCAGGCTCACCGGGCAACGTCCCGCACAGTGTCCATTTATCCCGGATGTCGACATTCAGTGGTGCGCGACAATGCGTTTGGATCCCGTTTGGAAGATCGTGGAATGCGCATGTGTATGAGATGTCTCCGCTTGCCAGGCCCCCGGGCAGATATGTGATGCGGTCCGTTAGCGAATACCAGATGCACTTGATCTCATCCGCAGGGGCGTCTGCAGGCGGCTTGATGGGATGTCTCTCCTTCACCAGGGGATTCAAGTCGATCATCTCCAGGTGGTTGTGCAGGAAGTTGACGACAATCTCGCGCGGTATGCCCGTAGGCAGCGGACTGATTGTCGTGAATACTGTTCTCTTAGACATGGTCGCTGTGTGTCTGTCTGTTTTCAGGCGCCGTCGGAGTCTGCTGAGAATGACGTTCGAGCAAAAAAAGACAGCCACAGAAAATGATGCTTGGTTCTCCGGGTGATGGGAAGTGCCCCGGCGTACTCGAGAACCAACAGGATGACGGTACCGTTAGGTCAGTGGCGCAAGTCTCCCCTGACTGGACAGGTTCTTGTCTGCAGGGCACCAACAGCGTCAAATGATAGTTTGCTTGTAGAACGCTGTAGCGTAGGAAGACAGCACGGGAACAGAAGTGACTGTATGAATATGAGTGGCACTGACCACAGATGATCAAGAAGTTACTGAGACAGACGAAAAGGGTGTAAGTTCGACGTCGAGACACGTCGAGACAGCTTGAGAAGTGACAAAAAAGAGTCCCGGATGGCAGACGTTCCAAACCGAAAGTCAAGCTTGCAGAGCGAAGTGTGAGATCACCCAAAGCTTGTTGCTTTTTTAGACCGATGGCACCAATAACCTACCTTTTGGGTGCCATGAGGCAAACTCCCGCGCCGATCCTGAACTCGCTCCCGGATATTGGAGAAGCCAGGTGCCGCGCCACGATACTTAGAAGGGGTAGGCTGTGCAGGCCGAAAATAGTGCTAATGGGATGTACTAAGGCGGCCTTCCTGCACGCGGGCGGATGGGCTCGGCAGCAGGGCGAATGAGTGACCACCTCATTTAGTGTCAGCCGCAGCAGACGTGCCTTTTTTCTGATGATCTTAGACGCTACCCTTCTCGGGAGGGTGCGCTTCCGCGATAAGTGGCCTGGCTGGCCGGTCTTTCTGATTGCCTGAACACTCTTATATTGTCCACGGCAATCTTATTTCCACATCTCCTAGGCCGTGTCAAAACAAGGCCAACCAGCCGATTGGGGCGAGAATTGCTGTCCAACAAGTAATATAGGTCCCTGGACTGTGACCGGCAGGCCCAAACAGGGCTATTAGTTCATGTGAATGGTATCATTTCTTCTATGGAGAAACCTCCTGACCGATACCACCAGAATGCCGATTTTCGCAATCCCCTGGAACGCCGTTTCATGCCCGCTTTTCCCTGTCTCCATTCTGTCTGTCACTTTGACGGGCTCGCCTCTCGTGGCCTGCCTCCTTGAGTATGGCCATTAGCCAGCCTCGTGTGCGGTGTGGACTGATCATTCAGTTCGAGCCCGACAATCTTGATTGTCTTGAATCCGAGTCAACTTGTGAACTCTGAGCCCAACACCAATGTGGTCGGTGTTCTTCTTCTGAACGTTGCCCAGTGACATCTTGTTTTTTGTCGATTTGTCGACTCCCGACAACACATGCCTCGCCGCCAAATTGGGAAACACAATCAAATAGACGCGGGAGCCGCGTCTCGCCTCCAGCCCTTGGACCTCATGTTGATCTCGATCTGCTTCCAGATGCTCTCGACCACTTCTCTGTCACGGAACCGACTAGCCTCTGCACCAGGCAGGCCGGGGTCCCTCCACTTGTCGACGGTGAAGCACTGGACACGGTGGCCCCAGTTCCGGATGTTATCCGGGGTCTGGTCGCCGCGCCAGCCGACGTGGACGCCCAGGACGTGCTTGAACAGCTCGTTGGGGTTGCTCCACTTGTAGTTCTTAAACTGCCACGGCTGACCCGTCGTGAAGACGGCGACCACGCGGTTCCAGTACTCGGGCTTGAAGTTCTCGGGGCCCTCGACCAGGATGAAGCGCATCGCGCGGTTGGGGTCGATCTCGCGCATCACGCGCATGATGTTGAGCATCGTCGCCGTCGATCCGCTCTCCGGCAGCTCGTACCGCCCCGTCTCGAGGAAAGAGCGCACGTTGGAGATACGCAAGAGCGAAGAAGCCGATGGTGACAGCAGGATAATAGGGTCCGGCCGCTTGGCCGGCTTCTGGTTGATCGAGAGCGCCGTGCCCGCGGCGGCCACGGGCGCTGGCTGGCCCGCTTTCCTCGCCGTGAACAGCATCGTGTGCTTGCGGACGCCCGAGAAGTCGATGGGCTTCACGCCCCTCAGAACGGTGTTGCGGTCCCCCATCTTGCGTTCCCCAGCGTAGATCTGCTGCAGCCTCGGGTCCAGCGAACCCTTGCCCGCGCGCGCGGACGCGGTGGGCTGAGACGAGCTCTTAAGCGCCTCGGCCGCTGCGGGCGCTGCGTCGCCTGGCAGCTTCTTGATGTATTCGCTCTCGCCACCACCCTCGAGCCATGTGATGAGGTCGACGCGCTCGACGAAGGCGAGCTTGTGGACGGTGGCTCCCAGCCCCTTGGCGGCCAATTCCTCGTTCAGCGCGGTCGCCGCGGCATTGTAGTCGGGGATGGCGAGGTCTCGGTTGACCCAGGCGAAGTAGATGGAGCGCAAATCTATCGTAGTGGACTCATCAGGCTGGAATCGCGTCGGTGACTCGATCGGGAGAGCTGTAGAGTCTGCGAATCGGATTGCCGTAGCTTGTGACAGAGGCGCCTCGTCGGTCGAATCGCCAGCAACGGGGGTGACGGTTTGGCCTGATGCGATTGCCTGTCGAAACAGTAGAAGGGGGTCCTGTGCTGCTGCAGCCATGGTCGCGTGCGAAATGTCGCGAGGACGATCGCTCGAGCTTGTTCGACTGGGTCGCGAGACAGGTGCAAAGCTGAAGATGGATATTGTTAGTTGATACGACAGAGGTAAAGCTCCAAAGCGAGGCTGATGTCGAGGGTAGGCTGTAGCTAACCCAGGGCGCACCGGCCATCCCCTGAACCCGAGCGACAGGGGTTGGTCAACTTACAGGGCTTGCAAGTATATCAACCTTGGAGTCATCCGTAACATCTCAACTCTCAAGAACCATAAAAAGTTTCTTGACGAAAGCCTTCATCTTCGAATATTGTGTGTGCGAGTATTCTCACCCAGCAATCTATGGTATTCACTTCCATCACAAGCATATTCGACCTGACAATTGCAGTCAATTCTTTGTGCCCGTCCGTGGAGCTCAGAAAGAGAATGGGTTTGATTGTATGTGAGAAGCATATAACGAGAGAAAAGATGTAGAATACGCTGTGACAATAAGTAGGTAGGTCTCTGCAAGTCAGCCGACAGTTGACCCAAGCTGGTGCTTTAACGATATGAGATGATAAGATCTATAATCATGGACACCTTACTGGAGCGCAACCTAAACTTCCACTGTTAAAACCACAGCTGGCCAAGGTCTTGGTTGCCAGTTGGAGTGTATTCAGGTCAGGTAGAGGCATGGGGTTGTTCAAGCAACTGCCTAGGTGTCACGGTCCATGAATACTCTATCAGGGGCTCCCCGTCACTTCTTCTGCCGCAACAGCAGCCGCATCACCCACAGACGCCTGCTTTGATCTCCCGTGAACCTGCTTAATCAGAATAATTAGCCTGAGCCAGCTTCTCGGCGAGTGATTCTTCGGTAGAGCTCACCACGCAGACCCCCTTTCCTCTGAGCTTATGCCTTGGGTTTGCCGGGCACATAGGGCTAGAAGGAAGGTGTTCCGGCAGGTCGAATTCGAAGGAGATTTCTTTGACAGGGTCTCTCCTGACCAAAGCATTTGGTTCATCCCACCGTTCCCGCCTCTCAGCTTCGACTCCTTTTTGATATGAGAGTGCTTTTGTCCGGGCGGAGCTTGCGGAAGATGGCGTTGAGTCGTTCATGGACGAAGGGTGTTTGACATCTATGAAGAAGCTCCTCGGGTTGCCGCCTGCAGATTGTTTGGTTGCGGGCGGAGCTACAGACATGGCTTCCTGGCGGTTCTCAGTATGATTGATCTTCACTTATGGGATGGGTTCGAAGAACGTACACCGGTAGGATATGACATTGTGGCACCCAGCGCTTGTTCCTCACTCAGGTCACTTGCAGGAACAATATAGTTGCCATGGTGTTTAGTACAGCCAGCTGTGCCACCAGCTAGGCTATCCGGGATGTTTTGTTCCATCCACATATGATTGTTGGAGCTCGAGGCGCTCGTACGGCTTGTACGACTAGACGACTGCATGTGTTGGCGATTTTGGGGGGCCTTCCTGAGCCATCTACGCAGACTCTTGAGCGGTCCACTGTTGTGGTCATCATCTTCCTTCTCCTCCAGCGGTGTCAGAGGTTGAGAGGGATCGACTGGCTTTTGGGTGAAGTAACTAAGTGCCGCGTCAACATTTGGATCCTTGGTCAGGTCTTCGTGTACTTCCGCAGGTTCCTCGATCTACTGGTATTAGTTTTGCTCATCCGCTCCAGCTGTCGCTCGAGGATCAATCGGAGGACTTGTCACTTACCTTTGATCGTTCAAAAGGCTTCCAGGGAAGCCTTGACTTCGTTGCCTTCCTTCTTGCTTGAAAGGCCGAAGCGGTGCTCATTGCACCGCTCGATTTGCTGCGAGCAAGCGGAGATTGCTTGTTTAAAGTGATTATGCCGGCAAAATTTATTTGCTGGTCAGCAGGGCGCTGCAAAGCCTCCACCTGGGCAGCCTCCGAGAGCCATGGGCTATGAGGAAGAGCCCTGGGGGGGCTGAACGATTCAGTATTCTTTTCGGGCATACTGAGTTGCGGAACACCCAGCGGAGGGGTTGGTTGGACTGTCTTTGGCGAGGAATCTCTCTGCTCGTGCTCTTGAGATTGTAATGGGCTTCTCTCGTTCATCCTCGATGTCCACTTGAATATCTTGCCTGCTGAGCCCACCGAAATTGTACCCGGGCGTTTCGAGCTATCTCGACGTACGGTCGGCCTCTCTGCCCAGTATCCGTCCGGAAACCATACCCACTCGAACCCATCTTTTGCTGGCCGTGGGGGGTCATGGCCACCGATGTTCCTGGAATTTCGTGCATAGTCTCTAGCGGCTTCGCTCCAGAAACCCGGCGGCGATACCGAAGGAGAATGACGGCTCATTCAGCGTGTGGTCGACGGGGACAGACCTCTGGTCGAGGAAACAGGCGTGCCACGGGAGTGTCAATTGCTCCAAATGGTATCACTCCGATGAGTACTGCGCTGCACGAGTCGATGCCTAGTGTACGTAGCAGGATGCCACAAGAAAGACAGCTGAATCTATTCAGATGTTGTTGAGCTTTTAACACACAAGGACGAGACTCAAGTCATCCATTCGTCTTTCGCGTGCTGTGGTTGTTGTGCCCCTGATTTGAGGATTTGAGAGATATTTCAGGAAGGGGATACGGCAGAGAAAGATGCTATCAAGACACTGTAGGTGATCTAGGTAGCAAGGAGAAAGGTTTGGTATTGAGGATTAAGGTCCGAGTAAATGATGTTCCGCCAGTTTGTCGTGAGTGATCGCGCAGCAACATTTCCGGTGTTGAACCCCCGTTGTCTCGAGATTCTGCTATGTCGACATATTTGTGGATGGAAGGCACGATCAATTGTGACGGGGAGCGGCGTACGAGAAGAGCAAAACTATAGTCTTGAAATGTTTAGCTAGGAAAGAAAATATTCAGAGCAACAGCAGGCAGGTGCAGATGCTAAGTGCTCCGACAGCAGATGATAGACCTACCAAAGTGATCAGAGATCCAAGAGTGCGTAGAACAATTCTTATTTATTTTGGCATTCTTTGGTGTCAGAGCGGATCAGTCAGTCTCTTGCTCATTTCATGCCTACGACTATGTATATCCTCTCTATCCTGATGCTACACCTCCATTCCGGTATCAAATCATTGCTGTGCCGCCATCCAAAGTACGCCAGAGCGCCGCAATATTCCCAGAAGCCCCTTTCTAAATGCCGAACACCGACTTCAGCCGCTCGTATGTAAAGAAGCTGACTGCACTCATGGGCACAATCTTTACGTATCCGATCGTGAGACCGACGAAAAGCCCCCGTACGCCCCGTTCCTTCATGATCAGCGCCGCCGTTTCGGCAATGCGCAACCGGTGGCCGTCGCCCACGGCCCCCGCAACCTGCATCCGCCGCCGCACGACCTCGAGAGGGTACGAGCAGGTCTGCGACACCAGCCCAGCCACACCACCCGCCAGTAGCTCAGCCCAGGACTGCAGCAGCGGCGGTTTTCCTTCAGGCGCGTTCCTGCGCTGCGGCAGTGTCGTCCACTTCGCAACCAAGGGGTGCCGGAGCAGATCGCCCATTGTGTCGTGAGTTAGGAAGGACACGCCGGCGTAGGGCAGCATTCCAAGGATCGTTGGCGTGAAACCACGGTAGAAGTTGATGATCCCTATCTGTGGTGCGACGGCCTCCACCGTTGAGGCTGCGGCCGTCGCTGCTCTGACAGTCGCTGATCCCTGTGTTCCGGCAGCAGATGTAGCGCCAGGATGCTCATGGTAGATTTGCCTGCATATGGAAGAAAGTGACGAACGATTGTGCTGTTTCGTCTCGAAAGCTAATCGGACCCGTATCACTTCCAACGGGTATGTAAAGAACACCGAGGTTGCTCCGGCGAGAGAGCCGCTCAGAAGCCGCCGAAAGGGAGTCTCGTGCTCCTTATTTGGAATGATGGCCGACCGTATTTGCTCGTACGCCAGGAACTTGATTCCAGCGTACGGGAATACTCTTAACAAGGTGGCCGAGTGACCCCTGAACAGTCCTGCGGTGCCTTCCTCGTGATATATCACCTTCATAGCGGTGATAGTGCCAACCCAGGACCCGGAGTATTTAAGGAACTGTGGATTCCTTGCCTGGAAGAGAATTTTGACCCGGTCGAGCGGCGCAACGACAGTTTTTGCCTGTCGTGGAGACAGTCAGTCAGTACTGGTGCAAATTTTCCAAAGGGAAGCCAGATCTTGTGAATACTCACAGCACATCCTGCAACACCACCCGCCGTGCCCGATCGCCATAGATAGTCAAGGCTCTGCTTGTCGACCTTCCTCGGTACTACCGCCTCATCGTCTGTTGGGCACACCGCGACATTTCCCTTGCGCAGGCGACGGCCTGTCCCGTCGCTATCCTTTCGTGATTCGTGATGTGGAATCGCCGACATTGAGGCATCATCCCTCAGGGCCGATGGCATTCCCCTGCCACGGTCAGCGCCGTGTGAAATTTGTTGTTCGTAGAAGGAAATGTCAGAGCGAAGGCAGTATCATTTCGACAGATTCGGCAAACAGTCTGAGGTCCGAGGTGAGCCGAGGGACACAGGGCGGTGGAGGAGGCGGGCGAATTCTTTATGTAGCGTGCCTAGGTAGGTAAGATGCGGCGGATCGTGAACAAGGCACGGGTCCAGGTCGCGGCTATGTTCGCACGCCCAGGGGACGTCATTTACCCCAAGGTCCGGAAACGCCTGTAGCCAGGGGCCGTTTTGTCAGCGGTCCACCTTCTAAAGCCGCCCGCCTGGGCGACGGTCTTCCGGGCGGCCTAGGCTTTTCGCTAACCGAGAATAGCCGACTCGGAATCGATATCTGCATCCTTCCTCGACCCAGACAGCCGGAACACCGATACTTTGGCTATGTAAGGAATGGACCCTCGCTATTCTGTCTCATATACTGTATACTCATAATGCGGAAAATAGACTTTACTGTGGCTTTCAAATGCCGACTTACTGACCTTGTCGTACTCCAGTCCAATGGCCACCCAGGAAACCCCATTCCCTGCCAGAGGCAAAGTAGCGGCCACGAGCGTAGTTGAATCAGATGAAGGGACCGCCAGCCTCAAGACAGCGGCAATGTCGCATTCCATTCTGTTCCGTGATGAAGATCGGGGAGTCATTTTAATCGACGGACCCAAGTCCATTGAGGAGGCTCAACTCTTGAGTCCTGTGAGGTCTCCCGGGATACGGAGGCTTGTCTCATCAAAACCGCCTGAGGAGCCCTTCAAGACTCCAGAACCTAAGCAACCCCAACTCAACCCGAGTTTGGGAGCTGCCTTGGCGGATCTGACAGCGGCAGCCGCCGTCGAAGATGCTCAGAAACTGCTGCACGAGTTGTACTCGGGGCCATGGTGCTTACCCCGGATTCATGCTATCCAGGACAAAGAGCCGGAGGGAGATGGGCGAGACAAGAAAAGGAAAGCAGTGGAAATTGATACTTCAGAGGAAGTCCTCAGTGACGCAGTGATCCCTGGAGGGTCAGTGTACCTCCAAGGGACCATATCGTCGGAACGATCTCGCTTCATGAAAGAAGCTCCCTTGTTCGATCTCATAGTCATGGACCCTCCATGGCCGAATCGTTCAGCGCGTCGAAAGAAGGAAAGCTACCACACAGCCAACGATCTCGACGACATCCGCGAGACTTTGTCACTCATCCCCGTCACGTCTCACTTAGCACCCGAGGGCCTGGTCGCTGTCTGGATCACCAACAAAGCAAGCGTGTTGGAGTTGCTAACATCACCAAGAGGTCTATTTGCCGAATGGGGCCTGGAAATTGTAGGCGAGTGGACATGGCTCAAGGTCACAACGGCTGGCGAGCCGATGGTGGATGTCGAGTCTGCGTGGAGAAAGCCATGGGAGCGGCTCTTGATTGCTAAGAAGCGAGGGACCAAGAGGTCGAAACTGCCTAGCCAAGGGCGAGTGATCGTCTCCGTGCCTGATCTTCACTCGCGCAAGCCTAATCTGCGACCTCTATTTGAGGATATCTTGCCTCTGGGGTATCAGGGTCTCGAAATATTCGCCAGAAATCTCACAGCAGGGTGGTGGGGCTGGGGAGATGAGGTCCTCAAATTCCAGCAGCCAGAACATTGGGTAGAACCGTAGCCTTTGAAAATACTGCCTTCAACCGTATGCGCCACCGTATGATGCGTTCTTCTTTCGAACAGTGATCCCCAATATCATACAACTTTATACACGCCGCTCTCGCCCTTGTCACATACATCATCAAGGCTAAGCACCTCCTTCCACCGCAGGCACCGTCTCGCCCTCCTCGACCTCGACCCACGCCGGCCCCAGCGGCTGGCCCGGCTTCCAGGCCCTCTTCCCAGCCAGCAGCTTGGCGGCCTCCTTCCGCAGCATCCTCCTGTCGGCGCCGACCTCGAGCTGGTCCCTGAGCGCGGGCGTGCCCCTCGCGCGTGCGAACTGCGCCTCGATGCTCTTCTGGTGCTCCCCCTCGACCGCGTCGAACATGAGCTTGTCCCACGGCGACAGGTCCTCGGGCGCCTCGGGCCACACGAAGGGCCGCGCCAGGTCCGCGATCATCATCTTCTGGCTGCGCGGCCGGTACCACTTGCCGCCCCCGCTGTTGCCGTACTGCCGCTGCCGCGGCCGCATCTGGTTGACGAAGGACCGCACCGATTTCACCTCCACGTTGTACACGTTCCACAGATAGTCCCGGAGGTCGAGCTTGTTGAACGTCAGGGGCACGTTGAACGTCGCCGTCGTCGGCGGTTGGCCGTCCTTGGGGCGCACGAATGCCACGACATGGTTTGGTCTAAGAGGGTGTTGGGATCCAGTCAGCTGGGAGCGCGAATGATCCGGGGGGGGGGGATAGCCGGTGTGATCTAGAGAATGTCGTGATAGCGTCGCGGGAGTGGCCTGGAGGTGCAGATAGGTTTACTCACAGGAAGACTGCTTTTTGGCCGAGACGGAAGGGCGCTGCCCGCGCGAGGCCTTCCGCTGCCCCCACAGCTGCTGTCGTAGTCATTCTGGAGTGATCGAGCTGACGGTTGAAAGGTCACTGGTCAACCGCAAGTTGCGACGGAGGGCTCGCTAAATCGCATGTCAAGCCGAGAGGTCAACTCTCCAGACTTTTTGGCCGGTGCACGGACCACCCGGAGGCTTTCGATGGAGCCGCAGTCGGCCCCGAAGTGGGAGAAGTGGGACTGGCGGCTGTAGCCGGTCACTTATACAGGATCATCAATCCACAATCAAAATCCAATTTGGAACAGGGCGGCTCTTGTCATGAACATTTTACTTTTTTTGGTTTCAGTGCTGATCGAAGGAGACACCACAGCTGGTCCTATCCTAGCTACAGAGCAGTATGCACGGCCAAAAGAGCCGGCTCCCTACTATAGAGCCTAAGGTTCGGCTCCAGTTTGTCTAATTGCTTCAACATCGCCACGACTTCCATGACGACAAGCCCCTCGGGTTCGCATTTAGACATCAAGCCCGTCAACGACGATGCCCTTGGTCCAGGTCCAGCAGATCTTACGAGCAACCTCGTTGGCAGACTCCTCCGAGACCATAACGCTGACAAGATACAGGGCTGCATCTATGCCAGCGCTGACTCCCCCAGACGTGATCACACGGAGACCACCGAGGCGCATTGCGGCGCGACGGGTGATGGACTCGCGACGGGAGTTGGAGCTCTTAAAGGACATACTTCCCTTTCTGCAAGGGTGTGTTAGCTCTCGGAATTGAAACAAAAGGCGCCATTCGTTACTTACCGAGCGTTGGAGGGTCGCCGGCCGTCGGGTCTAGTGCTTCGGACGTAGGGATTCTCGTCCTCGTCACCGAGCTCGAAGCGCAGGTTGTTGACGACGTATCGTGTGTCCTCCACAACATCGGTGCGCTCGCCCAGGTCTCTCTGGACAGCGATGCTGCAAATGTTTTCGAATGTGACAATGTAATCGGGGTGGGTGGTGGCCGAGAGCCCAGCTAGGATCCCCTGCTGCGCGAGCAAGAGAGATCCGGTGCAGACGGAGAAGAGGGTGCGCCTGGAGATTGGGAGAGGAGGAAAAGATCAGCTAATGTATTTCTTCGGGTGAAACAGTAAGTTTGTAGGATATGCTTACTCTCGCTCGGGGCTCTTCTTCTGAATCTCGCTGTAGGCTGAGATGAGGCCGAGAGGCTCGGCCTTGGCTTTGATGATGGGCTCTGCGTTTCCGCCGAGGATGACAATAATGTCGAAGTCCTCGATGCGCTCATGAGCCTCCTTGAAGGAGATCTGAGAACCGACAATGACACCGGCAGCAGAGAGCGCCTTGGGCTCATCTGAAGCGATGGTGACCTCGAAGGCTCTGGTGGCTGAAGTAGGAGCAGCAGTTCAGCGGACTGTCCGGAGAGCAGACACATGAGGGCGGTGGAGATTCAGGATGGGTGCTTACAAGGGTCGTTAATATCGTGGAGGGCAGTGGTCAGGACCTCGAGGGGGCCAGCAAAGTCCATGAAGTCGAACTTGTCGTGCAGGGCGAAGAGCACATCAACTGGCTCGTTGTCGGCCACTGCACTCGTCTTGGAGGCCATCTTGGGCAACTTAGGGGTTGGTATGGGCTGAAGAGACTGATCACGTTGGTGTTGTCAAAGAAGTGCAAGTCAATTGAGCAGCAGGAGACAATCTAGTGATGATCTCGATGTGGTCAATTGGAATGTTGATTGTTGATTGTTGATTGTCCCTTGGGCAAGCAGGAGACAGAAGTAGGTCGGAGAGGGGATAGCTGGAAGAAACAAGATGAAATCGTGCGTGAGCTGGATGAGGTGTCCGTTTTCCCCTTCAACCCCTCCTTGAACGTGACCAGCTCTCCCTCTTAAAGGACTGCAACCTAGGCCAAAACCTGCAGCTGGACCAAGCATGAGGCATGGCCTGACTGGTGGAGGGGCTCGCAGCAGGCCATCTTAGTGGTACGATGCTCCCGGGACCCCTACCTAGGGTACCTGGACTCTCCCGTGGGGCAGCCTCAAGCTGCAAATGCGGGAGTGGGACCTGTAGATTGTGGGGTAAGCTGGGCTTGCAGGGATCACAGATCAATGCTCGTGTGCGCTGAAAGTCTGTCAAGTCAGTCTGCCGTCTGCCGTCTGTGGTGGGCTGGGTGGGTCGGTCGGCCATTCCCTGGGTTGCCTGTCCCGACGTCGTCTGACTTCTCAGATCGAGACTATCGCACCACCCATCCGCCACCGTCATTGCGCAGCCCACAACCCATTCTGCGCGCTTAAACCACCTCTCGCCGACATATAATCGCGGGTGGATATTGCCGCAAAGCTCGACGGACCCTGAGTGAGCAAAGTCTCGTGGGGAGCCTCGCGCTTAGATCCACTTCTCAACTCACTCACCCGTCCGAACACCCGACTCTGCGTCACTTGATGAGGCTCGCTCTGTCTCGTCGTCGCCCGTCTGCACGAGCATGATCGTGTCACCCTGACGGCCCTGCAAATATGTCTTCCGCGTAGGCAACCCCTGCTTCATATTTTGACTTTCCAGTCCAAGTCACCACTTCCCACCACGCACTTAGACATCGCCGTCTTTGTCTTGATTGTCAACCTAGAAGACGATCTCTCATCGCAAATGCCAAGTGGATTTTGCAGGGTCACTTTCTCGACGGCCACAAACCATCAATCCGGCGGTGTTCTCTGCAAAAATGTCTGTCCCCGACATGGCGCCGTAGAGACATCACATTCTGGTTAAAGCTCCCAGGACATATTTGGGATACGCTTTTGCAAGATGTGAACTACCAGGGCCACCCTCCTCCTTTGGGCACGAGCAAAGCATCCGCCCTCTGGAATAGCTTCGCGTCGCACGCATCAGTTCAGGCCAATCAACCCAGCCTGGATGTCACGACCGTTCTCACACCTGCAGTAGCGATATGAACCCCTTCACAGTGCTCTAAACTTTCTACACCGGCCCATCGTTGTCACGGTCCAGCTTCTGACCATCTTGCAGCTCCACCAAAGATCTCACCAAGGCCATCAATTCATTCCTGCCCAACTCTGGCCTGCCACTTCCAGACGAGCTAACCCAAGTCATTGATGCCTACCTCGAGAAGCACAATGAGGATGGAGCCTCAGAGCGCCTCCAGGAGGACCTCCTATCTATATGGGAGAAGTCGGTCAGGGAGAACGTAGGCTCCTACGCTCCTTGGCTTGCCATCCTGCGCAGACTTTTACCAGCGCTCAGGGATCCAACATATCTTGTTCAATGGTGGGACCAAATGACAGAGCCGGTCCTCGACCATATGGCACAAGACAAAAATCTGGCCAAAGAAGCTTGGGCAAACACTCTAGCTGTCCTTACCTACGACAATGGCGTTGAGGCAGCAGAGGGTCAAGGGGCGAACCTGATTGCTATAAAGCTATTGAAGACCTGGATGCAGAGCTTTCAGTTGGCTAGCAATGATGGTAATTCTTCAATGGCTCTCAAAGCCACCCTGATACGTAATGGCTTGCTCAGCTACGGCAAGAAAAGGCCAAAGGTTCGTTCATGTCAATTTCAACCACCTTCAACCCAACTCAGGCGTCCCTTCCGGTGACCAGCACAACACTGTGGTCAGGCCCAGGTCCTCCGTGTTGTCCCAATGACACCAATACCGCAGGCTGAAACTTGTTGGAGTGACATGAGTCTCGCTCGCTGCTTGTGTATATGGTCGCTAACGGGGACTGCTGTTGCTCTGAATCCATAAATTGTTTCGCATCGTTCGCTAACACACTGCAGGGTCTTTTGAGTGCGTTGAACTCTTTCATTGTTCAAAAGGAATTTCGAGCCCAGGCTCTGACCCTCCTTTGCGAATTCGTCCAGAGTGAGCCGCCACATCTTCACGTTGTCCTGGAGACTCCACTCTTCGACAACCTCCTTCGGAGTCTGCAAATTGATACATCGACAACGGTGGTTACGCTAGCCATCACTGCGTTGACGATGTTGCTACCGAATGTGCCCAGCTCTTTGGTACCATACCTCCCAAAGCTGTTCAATATATACGCTCGTTTATTGTTCTGGGACAGAGAGAGGTCTTTGGCAGCCGACAATCCAGAGATTGATGACGATGACGAGAAGAACTCAATCGCTGACTGGGAAGTCTGCGTATTCGCACCAGATGCTGACAACATGTCAATCCCAAATCTCCTGAGCTTCTTCACAATTCTTTATGGGTTGTATCCGCTCAACTTTGTGGACTATATCAGGAAGCCGCAACGGTATCTGCGTCATGCGAACATGCCAAATGCCGACGATATCGAAGTCCAGCCTTCAGAAATCCGCCAGAAGTCGGAAAGATTCAGGCAGTACCACATGCTTCATCCAAACTTCTATAACTTGACATTAGAGTCGGAGAAGACAGATTTCAGCAGATGGATCAAAAGCGAGTCGTCCGAAGTGGTCACAGAGTGCACTTCACTGTGCCTAGCCACCGAGCTCGGGGTAGGCGCCGAACTTGGACCTGCGCAAGAGTTCGGCCTGTCCGAGGTCGATGAAAACACCAGGGCCGGAGCAGATCAGCCATTCCTTACCGGTCAAGCCATTCTAGCAAGGACCTCATCCCGGGATCTGGCGAGCGCCTGGAGAAATTCAGGTGCAGGGTCAGTATCAGAAGAAGTACGAACAGCTGTGGGCGTGATGCGGCGTGCATCTCAATCGAGTCACGCTCCTTCTCTCCGTGAGGCTTTCCAGACTCGCACCCGCGAGGGACCGGGAGACAGCCCTACTTTGCCGCCATCGCTGGGTCTATCAGCCTCACACACCAATTTGCAGGATATGATCACTTCTAATAAAGTCATCAAGACCGGTCTACACCAGTCGCTGGCCAACGATAGTGTGCCATCTCTCGCCTTGAGTCACCAGGAATCCATGCCTGATAAGACTTCGAGCAAACTGTCTGCGCCAATGGCCCCTGTTGCTGCTCCCCCATCGACCGAGAGTGACGGAGAAATCCAGCGACTGTACAAGAAGATCCTCCTCTTAAGCAACGATTTGAGTTTTGAACGTTACATGAAACAACAACACATGATTCATATCGGTGAACTCAAGAGGCGGCAACTGAAGGAGGCTGCAACAGAAGCGGAAACGCAGAACCTCATCATGATCAATCGAAACCTGCGGAACCGATTAGAAGAGGCAAAACGGTCGGAGCTGCGGGCGAAGAAGGAGTCTGAGAACCGGCGCAACATAGCCAAGAAATGGGAGACTGACTTGTCCGCGAAGCTCAAGCTTCTAAGGGAGGAGCAAAAGAAGTGGAGCAGTGAAGGAGCCGGCCTCAAGCGGGAGCTCGAGGCCAAGACGGAGGAGTGCGAGAAATTGACGAAAATGGTCTGTGGGTACGAGACCACGGAATTGAACTCCAAACAGAATCTTCAGGCAATCAACGACCACGTTGAGGAGATTGTGCGGCTCAAGGCGGAAGTGAACCGGCTCATCGAAGTGGAACAGACATACCAGGCTAAAGAGCGAGAGACAGCAGAGCGCCTAACTGAAGCCGCTGAATCAATTGGCCGAGCTGAGGTTTTGAGTATGAAACTGGAAGCGCGCGACGCTGAGGTAGTGGAGGCGAGGAAGCTGTATGAATCACAGATTTCCGACCTCAACACCAAACTTCAGGACGCGCTGCAGCACGGAGCCAGTCGGCCCAAACGAGAGAACGACTCCAACAAGGCCATCGAGAGTGCACTAGCAGCAAGCCGGGCGAAGATGGCTGATTTGCAGAGGAGACACAACCTCCTGGTGAACAAGTGCACCGTTTTGCAGTCGTCGCTGCTCGAAAAGACATCCAACAGCTCAAGGTCACCGGCTTTCTCCAGCACATCAAGGATGGGCGTCACTTCAGACTCATCAGACGCAGAGCTCTCAGCAATCGTGCAGAGTGGGGATCCGCCGAGCCCGGTGCGAAGGAGGTCACGTCGTGGGCGAGGATTCTCAGACCCTGAGCTCTTTGTCGAGGGAACAAAGTACAATGTGACGCCACCACTTGACACGATAACGGGATCGTCGGTTGGCACAGTATTACATCGGCCTTCAACGCCGACCGGGAGCGCGGATATGCCTGCGGGAGGGGATAGAAGCCCTACTGATAGAGTTCACGGGAGAGGCAAGTGACTCCAGTCTCCAGGGAATGGCGGGTAGTCCATTTTACTGACTTTCTGCTTTCACTTTAGGTGGTTTCCAGAATTCTGGTCGAAAGGACAAGCGCGACAAGAAGTCCTCGGGGATCAGAGGGATCCGAGGTTTTGTATAATCCGCGAGATTGAAAAAAGAAAGATGGGCTATATAGTCTTTTCTTCTTCTTGTGAGGGTATTCGCGGCCATACGCGAAGTCGGGAAAACCATCTTCACCTGTGATGGACGATTGCTGCAAGGCTGGCAGTTGACCTGACCCAGATGTAGCGACGCGGCACTTTTTGGCCCAGCTGATGAGTTCGGACGAAATGAAAGAAGAAGAAAAAGAAATGCCACGCTGAGACTCTCTTAGTCAAACACAACTTCTGACACTAGTGAGAAGGTCTACGCGCACCTGGGCGGTGTTTGGTGGTGTTTGATGGAGCCAAAGGAAGAAAGTACTCAACTGCCGTGAGACAACCCTGGAAGACTAAAAAAGTGGTAAAGTAGACACAGCAGAAGAGCGATGCCGGGCGAGCCGATGAAGGCGACGAGACCGAATGGGCCGGCGTGGCAAGCGAGCAGTGGCTGCACGTCGCGTGCTAAGGGAAGTGCTTAATATTAGTAAAAGCGGTGGTTGGTGAAGGATGTTGATTCCTTGGAAGGAGCGGGTTGGAGGAGCAACTCCTCCTTGCGCGTCCCAGGGTTAAAGGTGCAGGTGCAAGGTGCTTCACAACCAACCCAGACCAACCCAGCCCAACCCCAACCCCACCACCGCCTAGCCCCAGTCCCTGGCTGGGGAAGAGGCTACTTCTGTGTGTTATGACATTGCTACCCACCACCAAGTAGATGATCAGACAGGGTCAGCGGATGCGCTCTGCTCTGCTCTGCTCTGCCTTGCCTCTCCCCCCCCCTGCCCGCTGCACCCGTCTCATTCGCAATATTCGAACCGGCGAGCTGGGCAGCGCAAGCATTCTGATTCCTCGACGCTCCCCTCCTTCTATTCTCGTCTGAGTGGATTGGCCCTGGCCGAAAACTGCGCACCACCTCTTCGTCTTTGCGTCTGCGCCTGCGTCTCCCTCAGCCTCTCCAGTCCACCTCGCATTTACAACTCGAGTCGCCTCCCTCCGCCTCGAGTCAACAACCCCCCAATCTCGAGCAAACATTCTCCAAACTGTTTATTGCCGCGCTCCACGGCAAATGCGCCATACGAACAAGGACCAACCCCTGCGCTCGCGAACCATCTTATCAATCTGATCACAACAAACTTCTTGGGCAGCTGCCACCGTGCTTCTGATCCTGTGACGACAGTCCTGCCCTGGCTGTCAATGCTGCCAACGTCTTGGTGGTGTCACAGCCTCTAGGAGCAACAGCAGCTACCCGGACCCAGCGGCTTGCTGCGCCAATCCACGAGTGCAAACAATCGCCTATGTTCTGCGCGAAGGATACTAGAAAGCAATGCGAAACACCCGAGCAAACAACTCATCCTGATCAGGCCAAAAAGTGTATAGCCTCAACCGTTGCGGCTGCATCGCGCAGGATCCTTGATCCAACCTTTCCTCACCTGTGATATACTAGAGTTGTATTCACGTCAGCGATGGCTCCCGTCTCAATTTCGGCGCGCCGCCCGGCCGCTCTTATTGACTACCTTGCGCCGCGCGAAACGCGGCCTCAGCTGCGAGAACCACCATCCCAAGAAGGCCCGGTCATTTCAGGGCGCTTTCACTCCCTCCCCAGCTTTCCCTCTCGAACGGTCAAGACCGCCCTCGACGCGCCGAGCCGCGTGCTACTTGCCGAACGAGATACTACGACGTCCACGATACCCGGGGCATACCCTGGCATAAACGATGGTCCCGACGCAGGCGAGGTCGTCGGCATCACACTCGGCTCAGTGGGCGGCTTCCTGCTGCTCTTGTGGCTTGTATATACCTGTCTGTCGATAGGCAACCGCCCAGACACAATCAGTTCCTACGGCACCGCGAGTGTTGTCACTCGCAAGTCGCGCCGGCGGCACTCGAAACACCATCACCGGTCGCCATCACGTCGTCGCGAGACAGTCGAGGTCCGCACCAGCCGTGTACCCGTTGCCGAACCGCCACCCGAGAGGATTGTGATGGAGGAGACCATGCGCAGGACTAGCGGCCCCATGCCCGGGCCTCCACCAGCCCCCATGGCCGCGCCCCCGCCGCCGAGGTTCGTGCCTCATGATGACACCGAGGACGAGGTTGTTGTGATCGAGGAGCATAGCCCGCCACCGAGGAGACACAAGTCCAAGAGCCATCGAAGGCGGAGCTCGAGCGCGAGGAGGGAGAGCGGGTTTCGGGAGGTCGACCCGGATCGATTTGCTGGCGGCGACGCGCCGTTGAGAGACGTGAGGAGATCGAGCAGGCACGGGAGGTAATTAAGGTCGGACACAGCACGACTGGAATGTAAATGGGTGGGAGTAATAATAATCTAGGGATGGGACCTGGGATGGGAACGAAGTGATGGAATGGCATTGTTTACGAGATTCTGGGTTGGGATGGGTTACGAAACAATCACGAAATGAACCGATGATACCAGACAGAAAGGCGGTGAGCACGGAAGACGCTTGTACGATTGACAGAGGCAAGGAAGCCGAGCCTAGAATTGAGAGCATGAAGGGGGGATCGCGTTGCTTGTGGATTCGGGGGAATACGGAGGGAGGCTCGCGGACAAGGAAAGCTCACGATGACACTTCCTATGGCGGCTTACCACTGACCTTGATCCTTGCCCTCTGCATACGGAGCGATTGAGTTTCTGATTTGAGTGGTGCCAGACACCGTTACTTATACTCGTGTCTCTGCGCTTTGGAATACCACCTCATGTTTTCTCTGTAGACAGAATTATATATACATATGTCGACGCGAAGGTGTCTCAGATTCCACGCTAGACCTGGGCCTCCTCCGGGTAGCTTGCTTCCATTGAGTCCGTCACAAACAGTTCCCCGTGACAGGTCGTCCGAGGTCCATGAATATGAAATGTGCAAGTTCCCAATCACATCGAATACGAAGTTCAAGCCATCGCCAGCATTGAGCAGGGAAACCTTGTGTGCGTGTAAGACCTTTGCTGGGAAATGAGCTCAATGCTTGGACTCTTTCCCACAGTTATATGCACATGACAAGCTCCCGGTATGTACGTGTAGCATGCCAGTTGAGATCGCGCACAACCAAGGAAAATACGTCGACGTTCGCAAAGAATGTCCTATTCGAACCAGCACACCTGCAAGCACTGTAGCTAGCTAGCTCGAACCCACCCACAGGACAGGGAGGGAGCTTCCGCGGCCTGGTGCAGATCCCGCTGAGATGGCCCGAGAGGCGCTGCATGTCCCACCAGCACGCCCCCTGGCTTTCACATGCTTCGAGCAGAGCTGCAGTGGGCCATGACATCACGCTGGTCAGAGCCCAGCGTGTCCCAGTCCCTCTGAAGCTGCTGCTGCTGGCTGCGGCGGCGATGCGCTCTGCGCTTTGAGGCGTTCCCATGTGACGAAGAAATCGGAAGCAGGTCTCAAGCTCTACCTCCTCCACGATTTGTCGGCATAATTCAATTGCAATTGGCATCTATTCTGCCATTCTACCCAACCTGTTACATTGACCACCAAAACGGTCTTCCACAGCCCCACCACGTTCCTACTCACATCCGAGGCCACTCAGTTCACTGTGTTGCGAGATCATGGAGAATCCGGGTGAGGTCCCATTTCCTCCTGCAGCCACTCTACTCTTGTTTTGTCTGACCCGGAATCATGCGTGCCAGAGCAGGAAATAAGGCATGTGGTGCGCTCCCTATGCCAGGGCACGCCCGACGAGCAGCGGCGGACCATCGACCGGTACTTCACGCCCGACGCCGAGTTCGTGCACCCCTTCTGCATCGCCCCTCGCTTCAACGAGGGTGACCTCGCCCTGCCCGGCCTGCGCCGCCTCAGCTCCCGCGACGCGCTGCGGGGCATATTTCAATGGTATAGGATGTTGTCGCCCAAGATAATCATCGACATTGATACGGCTTGTACGTGGACTCACCCATCCACCCACCCCCTTTACGAATAGCGCTATGCCCACACTGCTAACTGGTGGGTGTACATAGTACATGACAAGGAGAGGGACAAGATGTACCTCGACATGCGCCAGATCTTCTCAATATGGTTCGCGCCCGCCTACCACGCGCGCGTGCGGCTCGTCACAGTCCTCGACCTCGTGCCCTGCGACCTGGGCGCGCACCGCAACGGCGAGCCGCAGGTCATCGCCCGACAGGGGGCTGGCGGCGGCGGCGGCGGCGAGAAGGCATCCCAGTCGGGCTCCGACACAGCCGGGGCCCGCCGCCAGCAGGTCTGGAGGATATCGCGCCAGGAGGACCTGTACCAGGTCAACGAGTTCCTCAAGTTCACGGGGCCGTATTGGTGGTGCGCGTGGCGGCCTTTCTGGTTCTTGTTCCAGCTCGCCGCGACGGCCGTCTCCATGTTCCTCAGCCTGTTCGTCCCGCTATCGCCCTGGGCCTTCCAGCGCGATCCCGCGCCGGGCGGCGTGGAGGGCAGGGTCGAGCAGGTGGAGACGTACCACGACGACGTGAAACCGGACAAGTCGCACTCCAAGGCTGCCTCGCGTGGTGAGCCGGCATCTGAGGAGGAAGTGGGCGGGGGCGGGGGCGCGTCGGCCGGTAGCACGAACGGGAACAGTCAGGCGGCCAACAGTAGTAGTAAGGCACCGTCCACCCCTCCGCGGAAGCCCTGGAAAGGAGGCAAGAAAGACGGCCGTTAGAAGACGCCCTCGCCCAGCCGCGAGCAGCTGCGCCGCTCGCGGTCCGGTCTGGGGCTCACGCCCCCGCGTTGCGGGGCTTGCGTTGTCGACGAGGGCTGACGTGCGTCGTTCGTGACAGGCCGTCCGCTGCCCCCTCTGCCCCTGTACGCTATGGTCTGGAATTGACACTGGAGAAGGGCTTGTTGGGCGATTGGAGAGCGGAACTCATCACTGAGCACATGGATCGCGGAGTTAATGCTTTCTTGTTCTTGTCTATGCCTTGCTTCTTGTACCTAATTCAGCCAAAAATCAGTGCGTCCAACCTCACAGTAGTGCGAATGCCGTGGGCTAGCTTTCTTACCGGGTATCAATATGAACCATCATAAACACATTCCATCAAGTTTCTTGTACATGCTATAATCCCAGCAGAGACTCCCCCTCCCCCTCCCCCAATGGCTATCTTCTTATAAGTGAATTCGCATCCCAAAGCAGAACCCTCTCGTCCCACCCAGCAGAAGCCACCCAGCCGCCCGCCCCAAACAGGCACCAGTCGACGCCCGTCGCAAACTCGGTATGCCGGTTCATCAGCCCCAGCTGAACGCCCAGCCGCACGGGGGCGTTCATGTCCCCCGCGGGGGCTATGGGCCCCATGGTCGACCCGTCGGTCCACACGCGGACCGACATGTCGTAGCTGGCGCTGACGAGGACGTCGGCGGCGTGCGGGCTCCACGCGAGCCGGCGCACCGCGTAGCCGTGGCCCTCGAGCACGGCGACGGGCCCGTTGTACGGCGCCCGCAGGTCGAAGGTCCGGATCGCCCTGTCCACGCCCGCCGTGGCGATCACCCCCGTCGCGCTGTACTTGTTCCAGTCGTGCGTCAGCACCTCGGCCGGCTGGCCTGGCCCCGGGGCCGGCGCCCCTGGCCCTGCGCTGCTGCTGATGCGGGCCGCCGGCGTCTGGTGCACCGGCACGTCGTGCACCAGGTGGTACTTTGCCGAGGGCGGGGTGCGCAGGTCGAAGACGCGGAGGCGCGAGTCCGAGGACACGGCGGAGATGAGGGCGGGGTTGTGCGGTGAGAAGGCCACGCTGTAGGTGCAGCTGCCGATAGGGAGGGTCTTGAGGGACTGCGGGCGGGTTGGGGACCACTGGGGAGGGTTGAAATGTGAGCAAGGCTGACTTGGGAGGGAAGAGTTAAGAGTGAGGGGAGGGAAGGACTAACTATCTTGACGGTGCCGTCCCATGAGCTTGAGACAAATGTGTCTTTTGTCGTCTGATTCCAGAACACTGAGAATGTCTCCCTCTTGTGTTCGTGGTAGTTCATGACCGGGTAGGTGTCGACGCCGAGGTCGAACAGCTTGATGGAGCCATCACCGCAGGCCGCGAGCAGTTGGTTCTCGTTGATCTCGGACCATGCCAGATCGTACAATGCGTCGTTTGTGTCAAAGCTGAGGGCAATTGTCAGCGACTGTGGTCACGATATACAGCATGAAGAAGCAAATGCTTCACTCGAAGAGCCGAGGGGACGCACGTCTTCTCTACCTGTATGCCAGCAGCAGTGAGACCGAGGGCAAACAGTCGGCCATTGCCCACGATGCCAAAGTTGGCGGCTGAGGCTACAGCCACTCGATTGTCGTAGTAGGGAGAGTATTTGACGGCATATGGATTGAAGCCCCTTGTGCGGAACTCAAGCATAGCAGCCATGTTGAGTGAGATGGGTTGTGCCTGCCATGCGACGGGCTCATTGACATCTGACGGAACAACTACTTTGGTGGATGATCAGTTCGGCCGAAAAGCAGGGTGATGTCAACCGAGCCTCGGCTGTTCCGCGCTGTCTCGCGCTGCCTGCCGATCTCGCCCCGACGCTTTGGTTGTGGGGTTTAATGGGACAGGGGACTGATCGCCTGTGATCACGAGCCTCGCAGCGTTGCTAAATAATTGCTAGGTGTGTATAAAAAGTAGTAGGAAAGATCAAACATATCTGGATATAAGAACATATTATACAAGGTCTCAAGCTTTTTTTTTATTTACAATATATGAGACAGGATATTACAAGAGCTTAGTTTAGAGAATAGTGAATTTGTTAATTTGTAAACTTATACCAGATCCCTGCAAAACAGTTTAGCATCAAGACCATGTGCCGTCGTGGTGACTTCGTGAGCTCATCTAATTAAGACTGACATATTACAGGAATGGGACCAATCCAATTCTTACTCGGTCAGTTTCAAAGCTCTGTCATGTCTTGCCGACACTGCTGCCTCCTCTGTTACGCTCTCACAAAAAGTACTCAGGAACGTCAAGTGCAAAGACTACGAGCCAGTGTCCAGGTCAAGATCCAACATCAAGGGATATGGCCCGAAAGAGACGCCAGTTGCTTTTGGAGTTTACTGTCTTGCAAGCTTTGATAGAAGATAGTGCGTCGCCAGATATACAGGGTTCGAGGAACTTGATGATTGCAGGCAGTAAAGACTTATACCGGTGCATCAAAAGTCCAAGTCTGGAAACGGGAAGCTCCTCGCCCCTAAAGTTTCTTGAGCTCTATTGTTGGCGTCATGACAGTTTGCGATTTGTGGTTCCGAGTTGGCTAGCTTAGTGAGGACTGATGTTTTCAGAAAACATGCCAGGAGAAAGTGAACAATCATATGTTGACAGAATCTGTCAACATACGTGCAGAAACTACATGATCGGCCAATTTTCTAATCTTTGAGGCAAACGCTGGTGTTTGGGTGGCTTCAATAGCGTTTTCTAATCAATGCATGCACTGCAGCCCAAGCTGAGCCGCTTGAAATTTCATACGGGCTCTCCTTCTTACAATACATGTTCATTGAGTTCAGCAAAAAGATGCGGGAAGCCGTGACATTGCGAAGTATGAGTCAAAACTAGCGACGTTCGACGCATGTATCTAGCAGTTCGTAGTACAACAGAAACACCCAGCCGGGCCTCCACCCGCAGCCTGCTTCCAGTAACATCCCTTGGCTGAACAAATCACCTCGCCATCATTCGTCGGCGCGGCCGCGCAACCCACCGGACCGTACTGGTATGAACCTCCATTCTGCTGGCAATCGGCATACGCCCCCTGCTCGATTGGGTCCGTGAAGATGCCATGGTAGCCGCCGGCGCACTGGAAGTCGTTCATTAGCAAGAAGATAGGGGGTTGGTTGGAGGTCGAGGACGTACAGAGCAGGTGCAAGAAGCGTCGTTGCCGTTCTGGTCGATGCATCCGGGGAATCGTTTGGCCAGGTCTGGGCCAGAGGAGGTAACAACGCTGGTGGTGAAGCGCTTTGAGGTGTCGGGAACACCGTTGGGGTTGGCGAGGGTGAGGCCAGCGGCCGTGAGGATGGCGAGGGAAAATAGCTGCATTTTGTTCGTGGGAGGATAGTCACAAAAGATTTCAAGATTGAGTCTCTGATTTTTTTCTGGCTCACTGTTTGACTGGGTCCGTTACAGCAGCTCGTTGATGCTTTATATACTCTCGAAATACTCCCTATCGATGCAGAACTACAGGCCGGTGCGATACGCATGAATCCGCGACTTCGCAAATAACTGCCTCTGCTGCCTTCAGGATCCATAGGGTAACATAGCTTCGTGATAGGATTCTTTTGGTCAACTAGCTGGAGCATGGCCCGTGACAGGATCTGCCTGGCAACACGAGATTGTGGAAGCGATCATGCTTGAGGTCTCTGGACATAATTTTGAGATATTTGGGACCAACCCGAGCCAGACATACAAGCGGAGTGATTGATTGCACCGGCCGGAAAGGTTGTATTTGTTACGCAAAACTAGTGTCTAGACCTGAACAAAAGGGCAAAATTCTGAATGATCCATCCTGCGGGATGAAACTCTGGTAGTGATTAATGCCATAAGTTAGCGGTTCACATCGTCACACTTCGTGCTCGCTTGTTTCTCAGCGACATCCGGGCGTGATACAGCGAGGCGTCAGCTCCGGAGACAAAAAAGGTAAGATTTGATCCGGGGCACGGAGTAAGCCTTCTAAGCCTCTAGAACAAACAGCCAAGCTCGTATAAGCTTTATGCGTGATCCTTGTCGCTTGAGATGTGTTTTGCGATCTTGTTGCCTAAATTGTGATTCCTCATGAACATCTGACTCAATATCCGCCGGTATGGCTCAATGTCAAGACTCGTTTCTGCCGGTGACGAATAGACTTGCTCAGGAGGCCTGAGTTACTACGTTCTGGACATAAGGTCTCTGGCTTTTCTATGGATTCCTGAATGAGATTGTCAATTTTCTTCTTCACCTATCTGTAAAAATGGATGAAATAAAATCGTAATAGAAGCTTCTATCTTCTTTGTTTCCTTTACCTTCCCAAATACAGAGTCTCTAAACTATCCCGGCGTCAACACATCCCTCTTTCATGCTCCCTCGTTATGCCGGAAAACATGTCCATTTGAAAGACGCAATTTACCGCCTCTAGTTGAACGGCAACACCACTCCTCCAGTCTCCTCATCAAAAGCCTGCTCTCTGTGTTTCCAAACTAGCAAGACAGTACTTGCAGGGCAGTGGAAGACCGCTGATGTCCGCCGATTACCGTTGATATAATAATGCAAGCAATAATCATATATGTGTAAAGAGCATGTTTAAATATGATTCTGTGTAATTAAAAATCTCAATGTAGCGTGCTAGACTGATCAAGTCAACAAATTGGGGAGGGGGTTCACTTTGCTTGCAAGGGATAGCAGGCCATTTTGCTCCGACGATTGAGTATGCGGTTTGGAAAAGGGGGGGGGGCGCCGCCACTGGGGGCAACGGGAATTAATCGTCGATAGATCTATTTTCACCGAGAAAGTTGCAGTGACGCCAAACACTTATCAGGTAATCTTGGAAAGCGACCAAATAGAATCATATATGCTTGAGAATGGATTGTGCTCGATCCAATGCCTGCAAAATATAGGATATCTTTGCCAGAGGTTAGCGGGCCTAAATAAAGGTTCATTGGTCGACTTACACACCAACGCCGCATCCCTGCGAAACGTTCACTTAGCATCCAGACCACGTGCCGTCGTGGCGACTTCGCGAACCGATTTGACAAAACCACTCACGTCTCATTCAGCACGTACGCCCTTCGTGCGACAATCAAGTCAACGCCCGGCGTATTCTGATGCTTGACGTGCCAATAATCGCCATGCCAGATCTCACCCAGCTCACTCTCCCAAAGTTTTCCTTTCGTCTCAATTCGGATAAAGCACGTCATTATCTGCAGGCCCCGAAACCATCTCGTCGCTCCACAATGAGCCATGGAGTCATTCGTCAAGAGAAAGCGGAAGGCAACCCCTGTGGATGACCAGAAGACAATCTCAGATGCCGACATAGAAGTCGCAGATGACGAGCCCACAGAGGTGAAGCTTGCCATTCTCTCATCTCTTCACCCTGGTTTCTCTCAAGAGGCTCTCCTCGACGTCTTGCTTGAGCATGATGGCTCCGTCGCCTCGGCTTCTTCGTCCCTTTCTGCACCGAGCACCTCCGAATCCTCTATATCCCCGTCGAAGAAGGCTGCAAATTCAGTCGTCTCGCAGACATCTTTGAGACACTTCGCCGCGCCTCGCCCCTCAGATGGAGTCCCCGCGGCCAAGAAGACGAAGCTCTTGTCCCGGAAAGGCGCCACACTTCATCTCTTTGACCCTGGTGATATAGCAGACCACACGCCTTGCTCTATCATTCACAATTTCTTGCCTTCTGATCTCGCAAACGGTCTTCTGACGGAGATGCTCGACGAGTCAAAATCGTTCGAGAAGATCACCTTCAAGCTTTTTGCCAACGTGGTCTCAAGCCCGCACACCTCTTCCTTCTACGTGGATAGCCATGACGAGATGCAGAAGCAGAAGATCGAGGTGGGCTCACCCGTCGCAAGTCCCCTGCATTGTCCCGCTGACCTCAGTCCGCCATAGTATCTCTACAACGGCGCACGCCTCACCGACGTCCGCAAAATCACGCCGTATCTAGACAAAGTCAAGCCTCTAGTCCAGCAAGCCGTGAACAGCGAGATCCAGGAACGGATCAGGACCCGCTGCCCAGACGGCCGCAAACTCAAGTACCAGTCCCCGCACCCGTGGACCCCGAACGCAGCATTTGTCAACTGCTACAACGGGCCCGGCGAATCAGTAGGCTGGCACTCGGACCAGCTGACCTACCTCGGGCCCCGCGCCGTCATCGGGTCGCTCTCGCTCGGCGTGGCGCGTGAGTTCCGTGTGCGGCGGGTGGTGCCCAAGAATGAGGACAGCGACGCGAGGGCGGACGGCGACGCCGAGGGCCAGATCGCGATCCACCTGCCGCACAACTCGCTGCTCGTCATGCACGCCGAGATGCAGGAGGAGTGGAAGCACAGCATCGCGCCCGCGCAGGCCATCGATCCGCACCCGCTGGCCGGCAACAAGCGCATCAACGTCACCTATCGCGACTACAAGGCCAGCCTGCATCCCAGCCGCACGCCCAAGTGCAAGTGCGGCGTCCCAACAGTTCTGCGGGTCGTGCAGAAGAAGAAGGAAAACTGGGGCAGGTACTTCTGGATGTGCCATGCTGGAAACGTGCCCGGCAAGGAGGGCTGTACGTTCTTCCAATGGGCTGAGTTCGACGACGATGGGAATCCCGTTTGGCATGTCAAAGGGGCTGCTGTCTCTCAGGGCCGAGATGATCAAGCGGACGGTTGAAATATGCGGCCTTTTGCGGATGTACCCAGACGCTTGCTCGTTGTCACCGGTAATGTTCACTTGGCTCACACGACAAGGCTGGCAACACGCGTCTGGTCCGCGTCACTCTGGGCTCGATGGATTGCCACGGATATGTGACGCCGTCATTTGATAGCCTCAGGGGCGCTTATATGGACCATATATAGTCGAGAAATGTGAAGCCTCCCCACAAAATGTGAGTTGACGAAACACGAGGCTCATGATGTTGGAAGCTTCCCGTACAATACCATGTCACAAACTCGGTCAAATGCAGCATGCTGCCGGCGACGCAACATGCATCTCATTCATCCACAATTTCTACGTTATCAAGGCATACAAGTTCCCGATACCCAACTCCGACACACATAAAGATGCTCAACCAGTTGCCATCCTCCATGTTCCCAGTCAAGCCCACCAGTTCCCAAATCCCCAGCGGCCGGACCCTTTCCTCCCCTTGACACCCGCCTTGGGAATCCCCCGCTTCGCAGCAAGGCCCTGCTCCTCGACCATACTCATATTCGTCCTGTCCGTGAGGCTGAGCCCGGAGGACCGCCGGATTTTGGCCCAGATCCTCGAGGCCTGGTCAGTGTCTTCGTCATCATGCCGGCCCCGCTCATTCTCATCGGCGCAAGGGGGCAGCGGCGCAGGCCGCGTCGGCATCGGAATCGGCGACACCATCCCGCCATGGCCGCGACCGCGCCGCGATGGGACGCTCGGGTGCGGCCGGCCGAGGTACGTCGTCTTGCGCGGCGTGGGCTTCTTGGTCAGCTTCGTCTGCAGGAGCTCATCGGCGGCGTCCATGCCCTAGTGGGCCGCAATGATGCCCAAGAGGCGATTCGGCGCCGGCGCCGGCGGTGGAGACCAGGGTGATGCGGCGTTGTGCCGGTTTACTGCTGCCGTGTACGTGGTGCGCATCTTGGTCTGGGCCCTGATGACGCCAGTGTTGGCGCTGACGGCGGGTGCGAAGGCTGAATGCTGGTAGGTGAGGCTGACTGTCAGGTACTCGCACTGCGCACTGCCCAGTTGGTCCTCGAGGTCCTCCATCAGGTCGTCCGAGTGCGACCTGATATGGCGTCTGATTCTGGAATGATTGGTTATGCCCAGCTCAACGTTTACGAGAACAAGAATCTTGGACCCGGCTGAGAGACTGGTGGGAGCAGAAAAGTTCTCAACTACCTCCAACACGACACTGTTGGCTGCAGGCTCAATATCGACCTTGATGTCACAAAGACACCCCTGGCCGCTTGTTGCCGTGACCTCGACGGCTACCCAGAAATTATGGTGGCCGTGGTCCACGACTCGAGTGTCAGGAGTGACAGTCACTTCAGGCGCGATGATAGAAGAAGGAATATCCGGCTCCCCATCAGAGAGTTGTTGAAATGGATCGTCTGAGTTACTGCACGGCAGTATGTGCGAAGTTTTCGATCTCTGAATGATGTCACATAAGAGGCCCGGGAACGGACGGTATGGTGGCGAAACACCATTATGAGGACTCAGAAACGCGAATTGGTCTCTGAAGCCAACGGCAGATTTGGCGTGGCCCTTGCCCCTGAGCTTGGGTAATCTGCGAGAAGAGCAGGAGCCCGATGATTGCAAGTGGCCGGAATCGACATTGTAGTATTGATTTGATGGCAATCTTTGCCCTGTGCGGATGATCTGGAGATCAGATGCTGCATAGTCTGCACATTTTGTCAACAGTGCACGTCAGGAAATTACAGAAAAAACGGACCATTTCGTAAATATGCCTCTCGACCTAGCGGCACAGGAGTCTCATCGACGTCGCCCAGGCTGTCGAATACCTGGCTGGTCCTGCTGCCCCTGACTTTGGGCACCGTCAGCTGCCGTTCTCCCTCAGCGGAATCAGTGGCGCTCCCGCGGCTCCCATTTGTCGCCTGGCTGCATTTTCTGCAAACTCGATCATCAGGATCATCCCCGCAAGTGCTGTCCGAGCGCTTGACTATACGCAATGGCAGGATCCGCTTCAGTTGTGGCGGTGTGACGGACTGTTGCGCATCGTGAAGCCCCAGTTGAGTCGAGTCTGGCGCGTGGGGTTCCATACTGGTGATGGAGCCTCGATGTCCAACTTGTCGGTATCGGCCCCACGTGGCACTTGGGCGAGAGGTCGAGCTCTGTGTAGAGTGAGAGACTCGAGGTCTGGCCAAGAGTCTATATGCGTGAAGACAGGCGCCGTTCTGCGATCTTGTCGCGCGGATGACCGTCCTCGACGTGGCACCGGCTGAAGAGGTGGCAGCAGCTTGAGGAGGAGGAGAGCGACAAAAGCCACAAGAGCAAGTGGAACAGTAATGAAAAGCACAATTATACCAATGTGATCACTCATAGTCGAAAGGGATGCAGCTGTCTGGGTAAATTGGCACGGTAATCCGATGCGTGGGTAAAAGCGATCATTGGGTATCAATTCTAAGCATCGCTGATCGTTTATCAAGGACAGGGAACCTCCGGAGTGTTTTGTTGACCCCTCTACATTTTGTGATGCGCACTTTCCTCGTGGTCGTCAACTCTCTCGCTCAAAGATTGACGGAAGGAACAGCTAGGGGGTCAGCCCTGGCTGATTCGCCCAAGGTTTTGTAGAGGTTATCCTTCACCGTCTCGACTTCGGTTTCTTCCATGCTGAGGAATCGAATCTGCTGAGGTGTTAGTCGGAGGAGTAACGGTGTCAATTCGAAAGGATGGTGTCTCACAGTGTCATCACCGCCGACGTCTCCGTACAGCACAGGCTCCGACAACGAGGCCTGAATGTTCCTTTGCACCCTCTCCTCCCACACACCCTCCCAGTTCCACTCGCCCGGCTTCCTGACCGCCGGATCGCCTTCCGGGGCGGTGGTGTGGCCGCGGTATGCGCCCCAAGCATGCCAAGCACCAGGGTTTCCGGCTGCTTCGAGCGGAACCGAGTCCAGCACTGCCTCATCGTCAAAGGTGCTGCGGATATAGCTCAAGACTTCCGAGGTTGAAATGTCCCGCTTGTGCACATCCATGAACGACTGCTTGCTGCCGGTGCTGCCGCCAGTCCCAGCATTGCCTCCAGCGCCCCCGCCTGCGCTCGGCGGCGTCGCGGCAATCTTGGAATTGGGCGTGCTCGAGTTGCTGTCACCACCGCCAGCAAGAGCCCTTGAGGACCTAGGGGTTTGTGGAGGATATTGTCCCGGTGCTGGCCGGCCCCTGCTGCCGCGGCCGAACCAGTCTGGGAACCCGTGGCGCAGGCTGAATCCGCCGGGCGGAAGACGCTCCTCGTCTGTTGCACTCACAGTGCCGCCCTCTTGGATGTCGGTCGTGTACATGTAGGTCGTGAGGGGTGTGATCAAAGGGTGGAACATGTCTGTCGAAAAGGTCACGAGCGGCGGTAGTGCAGGATATGTATCCGGGAAGGAGATGTAGAAGCGGAGGATGGCAGTGGCATAGGGTCCTAGGTAGCTGTCAGCAGGGCTTTGGTCCATTCGAGTTGGTCCGTAGATTGTCTGCGTTACCTTTGCGCACAAATATGACGCCTGACCACAGGGAAGGATCACCTGGCGTCAAACTGACGAACACACCCTGGGGGCATGACTGCTTGAGTCCGGCACTGGAGGTAGAGAGCCAGGTCAGCTATCACATGTCGAGGCTCGAAGATGGGACGGAAAGTTTCACGCACAACTCTGCAAGAAGATTCTGCCGCCGTAAAGACGGCAACGTTGCCATCTTCAACGACGCCATTTTGGTGGTCTGTCATATCATGAGCATAAAGATGATGTGTGCTGAAACGGGTGTTCTGTACGGCACGCGGTCAACAGGCGTTATGTAAGGCGTACCCAACTTATTTGCTGAGAGGGTTATTCTAGGGTTATGATCCACTCCCACCCCCGGAATGCTGTTCAAGCAAGGCCTCTCTATACCAACAAGTGAACTACGACCTTCAACCGCAACATTGGTGTTCCAACTTCATCATGATCAATATAAAAAATTCTTAGATGAATGGCAACGACTCTGGCTCATTCAGATGCCAGTTCTCAAATCATCTTCCATATTCTTCAATGATATCTAATCGTCTCTTCTTCACCCTGCGGGTTTCCTTCCTTTGACACTCATTACACACCCGCCATTAAACAATTGTGATATGCCAAATATCTGCATCTTCAGGAAACCACAAATGATCGCTCTCATCGCCCCATTCAGCCCAGTCGTCAGGTTTAGTCATGGATAGATATTGGAGTGGATCGCCCTGTTCAGATCTGAAGATACCGACTCGCCTCATCGTGACTTGTCCGGCACATTTGCTGCAAGAAGGCATCTTTTCCTTGTCATCCTCCAGGCTTGGAGTCAGTACCAACCCCTTTAGAAACGGCTTGTCACCAACAACATCTTCTCGCAACGGAAGACAAAAGAACTTTTCACCTTCAAAGTCTTCCACATCGGGAGTGAATCTGCCGAAGTATCGATAACCGTCGTGGCGCACAGGTTTTCGCCGCAATTTGATGAGATGCCCATTGAGATGCAGGCAAGCATGTCTCAGCTCCCCTGTTGTGTCGTCGCTCGCAGGCTCAATGCCAACATCCAGAACCTCGGTATACTCGCCGTACATACTATATCCACCTTGCGTTTTGGTGGAGGGGGCGTCTAGGGAAGCCCAGCTCCACGAAGGTGCTCGATATACTTCTGGCCGGATGGCGGGTAAACGCTCGTCCATGTACTCGGATGTGGCCGTCCAGAGAAGATCATTGATGAGATTTCGCCTCCACAAGCCAGCAAGGTACTCATCGTCAATGGCCTTCGCGAAGTCCTTGGCCACTCCGGATATGGCAACAAGCTTGTCGCTTGGGTTAGTGAGCGCGCATCTGGCGTACGACTCCAATATATCATTCCACACCTGATATGCGTCTTCATACTGTCGGTTGACCCAGGGCTCATCGTCGTTAGCCATGCGGTTTGCCCACGAGTCAAGGGCATTGGCCTGCTTTACAGCCCTTTCGAATGCTTTGATAGGGACAACATCGGCGGCCGTGACTTCCTTGATGTCACTTATGAACTCCAGTGGCACTCCTTTGGGAAATGACTCGCAAGCATGCTGTTCTCGGCATTCCCAGAAGAGCTGACCTTCGCAGAAATACAGGCTTCTAGGGGCCAAGATTCGTTCTTGGACAACCCACGCTCGTTGGCTCAGTGGCGCTTGTTTGACGTGGCTCTCCCATATATCAGACTTTATCAATAAACACTCCATGAGTCCGTCTGTCTCTGTGTTGATCTTGATCGGGCATGGCCCCATCATGTCCGGGTCCCGGTTCCTGAAGAGGCCCCCATGAGCATCTGGGGATGCCATGGCGCCAATAGTGAGGAACGCGTTCCGGTACACCTGGTTCATCGTCGGAGCTTCATTGCGCCAATCTTCGATGGAGCCCTGAGTGATACACAAGGAGTCAATCCAAATGTAACGGAAACCTAATCGATGGGCCACAGATATTGCGTCCTGGAAGTTCGGCGCCAAATATGAGACGGGCACGCCTTTCTCAAACTCCCCTTTGTTCTCCTCTCTCATCACCAAAAAGGGCTTCCGACCCCAGCAATGGCTGAGGGCCAGGTAAGAGTGTTCGAGCCCTCGAGGCAGGGAGGATGATTTTACAATTCGCACGCGTCCAATTTCGTATTCTATAACATCGACTAGCCTTGTTGGCAGCCATAGCGGTTGCTGCAATTCCCTGCAGCTGTCATGCTTGGAGCAGTTGTCAATCCACATTGACACCGTCTCCCAGCAAGACGGATGGTTGGTACGATCCGCCAGCCTTGGAGCATCTTGCGCTGGAAATACTGTCTGAAGCTGTCAGTCACAGTAAAGTATCTGGTATTCTAGAGTTTTTTCTGCAACTTTACCTACAGAAGGGATTCAGTATAGCAAATTTCCCAGCGTAGTCCATGAACGCTCCACCAACATCATTGTACTCCTCACAATTCCACAAGTCTTCCCCGTGCTTGAAAGAGAAAGTCGCCAGGATCGGCTCCTGCCTGCCGTCTTCCCCGTAACTGACTTTCCCCAACGAGACCTCGTAGTCGATTCCCTCAAAGTCAGGACGACTAGCTACTCCCTTCTGCTCTTCATTGAGGCTGTCCCACACCTGGTAGCAGAGATAACATCTGCTGTCAAAGACAGCTTTCCCAAAGGTCTCGTGATTGTGGTGGAAGACTGTGTTTTTGCCGAGGACTAGGACTTTCGATGACATGGACTGGCACTGCTCGCAGAGGCCCATCGCTTTCCAAATTCGTGTTGGCAATATGCGGCATGGTGACGCGAACAATCTACAGGACAACACGCAGGTGAGGAGATACGCAGGAAGGTGAAGCTATCCTCATCCTTGACCTGTTTCGCGCTGTGCCACAGGGTTACATCCGCCCAACCGCTGAGCAGATCCACCTGGGCGCCTACGTGCGGGACGCCCAAACAGGCCGCAAGTCCGGCCTCCATGAGGAAATCATGAACTCGCGAGCTCGACATGATCAGCTGAGTCAATGTTGTAAACCAGAACTCTGATGTCTCGACAGCTTTGTTCCGCTTCGCTCCGAAATTGCGGGTGCGAATTTCGACTGAGGCATGGGATGACACTGTTCGAAGCCAGGCGTGATTCCCCGGCTCATTCGGTGAGGACATCATAAGTTTAGACGCGATTGCTACGAGGTAGTCCACTTTTCAGGGAATCTTCTTCAGTGCGACTCTGGTGTAAAATGGAGCTGACTGGCGCAATACGTTTGTGGAAGAAGTAAGTCCCATGCCCGTGACCTTCTTCAACAGCGCTTCTCGGGAACATTCACTGTGTGTAAGTGTGTTTCTGAATGTTTTGATATAATATCACAGCCTGAGGGCTTCTCAGATTCAATCGCTGTGAGTCCCCGTCACACGGTCTGCCAAACACCCTTGCCATCGCGGATATCAATATCAGAAGAGCCCTTCTTAAAGCACCCGTGAATCTATATATCGCGTCATTCTATATTGACTCTCGTTTCAACAAGACTCAACCTGAGTGCAGTATCCAAGACTCGATAACCCTCGTTCTTACTATACACATCGTGGCCGGTAAGAAGCCGCACACTGGGGAGAGAACGAGCGCCCGGAAATGACCCTGTTGAGACTGGGATCGGCGCATGAAAACCCACTCATTTCTCACCGAGTCTGTTCTCAACCTTATCCTTCTCCTGAGCCCGAATTTCAGCCATTTCTTCCTGCGTCGCATTATAATTAGCGCTGACTTGGTTCATGGGGTTTTCAGGCGCATTCTTCCACAACTTGATCAACTCCTTTTGGTAAGCGCCCCGATACTTCTTCTTCTCCTTCAAGACTCCTTCAGCTTCCCAGTCTTTCTCGAGGGCCTCCAACCAAGCTGCTCTGGCTGCTGCGACTCGTCTTTCAGGATGACGATCGATCTTGGCCTTATTATCATCGGTCGTGATATCAAGCGCGTCCAGGGCATTGTCAATGCCAGTTGCGTTCAAGGCACTCAGCGGGGCATCAGAGTCAAGCTGTGACAGGTCAAGCCCCCTGTTGGTCTTCTTCTGAGCAGATTTGGCATTCTTGGGCGCCGATCTGCCAGGAAGGCTCTTCTCCTCCTCAGCGAGCAGCGCATCTCTCTCGGCCTTCTTTCGCGCGGCCTCCGCCTTCTTGGCCTCCGCCTCCTCCCTGATCACATTGGCGGCACGTCAGCAACCCGTTGCAACATCGGTGACTGTGGGCTGTGATGGCGGCATGACATGATATGAAAACGGGTGGAGGTGGGAGGGGGCCCGGTTGTGTCCCCTTCGTGGTCAGGTGGAGGTGGAAAGAGCCGGACCCGAAAGGGCAGTCGGATGTGACACGTCTCATCGCAGAACGAGAGCAACTAACAGCTTACTGTTGCGCAGAATCGAATCCACGAGGAATGATTCGGGTGGATGGAACGGGCCGGGCACCGTATTGGGTGGTGCAATAGAAAGGGCAGTGTGTTGGCAACTCACTTTTTGGCGCTGGCCTTCTTCGAGCCCTTGGACCATTCCGCGTCCTCTACTGCAGCTTTCTTAGAATCCTCGGCCGCCTTCTTGTTGGCCGCAGCGTCAGCTTTTCGGGCCTGCCCGGCAGCCTTCTTGCTGTTCTCCCCAGCGCCGCCGCCCTTCTTAGCCATATTGTCGTGTGTGGTGGTTGGTTTGTTGCGGGTCTCGGTGATGGGTTGGGTCGGTATGCTTATACAGCCCCGTCCGGATGAGTGGGATCTGCGGCCTTTCGTCTGAATAGGACTCGTGCGTCTCTGCCGTGCCACCGGCTGGCGTCGGCAATGTTGCTCAGAATAGGTGGGTTGCAGTGCGCAGACACATATGGCGTTGGGTTGGAAGAGTTTAGATGAGTGAGGCTTCAAACCATGCACGAGCAGTGCCTTGTCGACGTCAGCGGGGTCATTTTCTCACGCGTCGCTCCGATATCCGGGGAGAGCTGTTTGGGGGCTCCCGACTCTGCGGCTCCATCAAGGAGGAGGGGGGTCACGACTGGCCACCATTGGAGGGTTAGGGCTCATTTGCGGTGAGCGCTTTCACGCAGATATATCGCGGTCTGCTAGAGTTGCATCTGCATATGTGCTACGACAGCGCTATGTTCCGGGCATGCTTGTTGGTTTGTATGAAGCTTGCCTCGTCCTTCACCTCCCCAGACTTGGTCGATTAGCGTAACACATGTGGCCATCTGATACCACTTCGCCATCGCTGCACACAACTCAACACGGCGGTGAGGCTGCTAGCTCCTGATGAGTTGGTCCTTGAGAACAATAAACTTTCCAGGAGAGCCGAAACGAAGCGTTGGACTCGGCATGATGTTGGAGGGCGAACACCTAATTCGTCGACACCTCGCAGCCGCTCTGATGTACTGTACTCGTACCGCTAGGTACAACATGTCGGCTACGTGAGCTGCATCCTGCCGGCTGTCAGTAGTATGGAAATCCTGTGGTATACGCAGAGTCTCGACCTTGGTCGGTCAGGGTTGCGATCTCTTCAAAGTGCACGATTCTGTGAACGGCCTGGGTACTTTGATATCGAGATTTGCCCCAATGCAGGATGTTGTGGTAAGCAGCGTATCCATATCTGATGCGATGGCTTGGTCGATGGGTTGGGTGACATGGGATGCTGAGGGGCAATCCCGGTGGTGTCGTCTGGAAATGAGACCTCGTTGAAGTCGCTCCGTAACAGGGCTGAAAGGTAGATAGATTGATTCAAGCCGTTCGGAAACGGCTGGCGAGATGGGGACACGATCTGGGCCCACAAGTGCTGATGCGACCTGGCGCGATGGCCCGCTCCCATCGTCACCCGTAGTAGCAGGGGTTCCTGATCCCGGCAAGTAGACAACACTTCCTTCGATGTCAACCTAGGTAGTCGGTGTGTTTTACTATTGCATGGGAAAACATGATGGTAGCATCTGATCAGGATTGCCCCAGGTGTTTCCGGGGATCATTGTCCGAAAGGGCATCACAGCATATGGCAAATGGTGGCGCTCCATGGATGGGTTACCAAAATAGCCCAGCCAGTACCATGTTGCCCCGTATAGGAATCCTCCATGGCCTCGTTGTGGTACCTCGAAGCCGGTGAGTGATACTTTCGGCCTTGTGACAGCGGGAGGTAGCCCTCTTACACGTGTAGACCAGCTGAGATGCGGTCGACGAATGAGCACGGATATTTCAACTCAAGACCCGTACTTAGCAGCCAGGTTGAGAATCCTGGCACTTCCCTGGTCCAGTCCATTAACACTAGGTCTATGGCAATTTATGGGCAGCGGCGCAACAGGCTTCAAACCCTATTCGACGTCGATATGCGGCGCTTGTCAACCAAGGTGGATTTCTCGTGCGTACCTGACTCCGTGAATGCCTAACGTAGCAATTGAGTGAGGCTTAGAATCGACCGCATTTTCCTTTTCAACAATGAAGACACTGTGTGCATATCAACTCAGGATACGAAACGGCGACTCGCGGGGCCAATTATGTGACGTCGCGGCGGTGTGTAAGACTACATTGTGCCACGAGGTCGATGCTAGGGCGGCGGACACTCTCATGGCCAACCTGTTCCAGTGTCAGGCTCACAAGCACCAGCTTTTGCAGTGTGATGACGGAAGCTGGCCTGTCGGTAGCCTCCTTGTGAAGTCGAGTCCTCGTTGATGCTCGAGCATCCCGAGCTTTGTGAATGCGATTCCGTGACATATTGAAGCCCATGGACTACGTATAGCCATCGGATAATTGGCGTAGATCAGTGACGGGGAAAATGCAGAAAACTCATTTGCACGAGTCTTGGTCTTTTGATGATCATCCGAGGGCCAAGATGTAAGTGATGCGACTTCTAACTGGATCTATTCACTCCAACGTATGGGCGTCTGATGAATGCTCAGGCTGTAAGCTGTAGCCTTGCATCTCAAGACCGGTCAGGATCGTCGAATGGTCTACCTGTTGTTCAGCAGAGAGCGCAGCAATCTCGCCACGCAGGGTAAGCAGGTGATCGCAATAAATGATCGAAGCAGCATTTCTGACCGGTGAGCCAGCATTCGCCCAACTATCATGATCAGCAAGACGGTAATGGAATGACGTGGAATCTTTCCACGCAGGCTGGCTTGCCTTGTTTTTGTGCTCCCCTGCTCCGGGCCACTTGGAAGATGACAGGCCGAGAACTTTCTCGACAAGAAGTTGGATATCACGAACACTCCAGGCTTTGTGCATGGCTGGCCGGTCAGCGTGCTTCCCACACTCATGAGGTTTGAGGACTTAATCGATCCATGGGTCAAAGATGCGCACTTGATGGCAGTGGATAGACCCCTTTCTTCTTTGTCGCCATGCCTGGCATTACGAGGATGAGATCAATGTCTTATCGAGGTCGCTGTTGGCCCCCGACTCGAATTTCCTCGAGCTTAGCCGGCCACCCCGATTATAGACCATTAAGAGCTCGCCAAATTGGCCTGACGGTATTCTTCGGAGAAGCCGCTGGCAGTTCCAAACCCACTGACCATGGTCACAAGCGTCCTAGCCAATAAAAGCTGGCCTATTAAGATGCAGTGCAGTATTAAGTCGCACAGGTTGTGGATTTCGAGGAGCCGGGCTTCAGCTTCCTAGAATTTGGTAACGACAGTCGGTGTCTGATTGTAGCACAAGCGTAAAGGAGGTCCTGTACAACCCGCAATTTATTACCCGGGTCTGACCAGACCTCAAGAACCCGGTGAGACAGACAAATCGGACTGGGTCAAATCGCGGGCGGGACGGCCGTGGGCAGAGACACATAGAACCTCGTGACCCAATTCCGGTGACCCACGCCAAGACGATGACAGCAGAGCGAATATGCGAGCTCCTTCGTCGAGGTGACGTTGCCATAGACTTGTTGTTCTCGGCTCATAGCAGGAGAGCCCCATAGGTCGTTCCAGCAGCAGCAGCGCGACACATTTCCGCGATCTGCGGGTTTTTGATCAAATCTTTCGACGCTCTCACAGGCTATGGCTTGAAGGACCAAAGAAAAATTGTCAACGGCTGGTTACGATAGGTCGACGGTGTTCTCCGGATGAGCGCCGTGGATCATATGCATATGGGCAAGGCAAAGTGCATTCCGAGACGGGAAGCTTTTTGAGAATCGTTATAATGCAGGCGGCTGGGATAGGGTACAGCAATGTGCGATAGAGAATGACAATGGCTTGTACACCTGTAGTTCGCATGAGAATGGCCCAACTGACACGTCGTTTTCGGAAGAGAGCTGCGGCGATCCGGGATTGCCATTTCCAAACCACCGGGCGACATGAACAATGAGATATTCAGATAGCCGCGAGATGCGTGGTGTGGCACGACATTAAGGTCCGACCTGGGGGCCCTCGTAGGACAAGATTCGCCATGACATGTAGTTATTGGCAAGATTTGCGGTTCGATTGAGTGGCAGATCCTCAAGACGGCCCATGGCTTGATGCAGTTCGGTCCAATCCTTTCATTTGGGTACAGTACCCGCGATGGCCTCAAGTTTGGCCGCCTGGCCGACTGGCCGACTAGAAGGATGGATGCACGACCCTGACACTGAATGGTCTGGTGAAGATGCGCCCTCGTATGACATTGAGTGTGTCTTGGTAGGCTGGCGACATGCGAGACCGCGACCGAGCCGAACGGAGGATGGCAAGCTCCGCAGGACCGCAGGAATCCGCAGGAGGCCGCCTGTGAAGAAGCAAACTGGTACGTGCCGTCCTGTTGTTTGGCGATGGGGCGGGTTGCTTTTGTTGACGGTGGTGGTGTGAAGGTTGATGGGCAGGTGAGTGTGGTGAGGTGGGGTGCGAGGAGGGGGCAGACGCACGGAGTTGTGATGATTGGCAATATGTGCCTGGACCCCTGAGACCGGTCAAGTTGATTTTCTGGTTCTTGGAAGACGGTGAGCGAGCCGTGCATGGAGTCTACGGGAAAGCACGAAGGGTACCTGATGAGGACATGTGCAGCAGTTGCATGTGCGAGTAATTCTGTCAATCTGCACGCGCCGGAGAAGATGCAGCCACTGCTGCTGCTGCTGATGATGATGAGGAGGCACAAAGACAAGCCCCATCTTTTCTAGATGCAGGAGAAGGTTGTGCCTGCCTGCCTGCCTGCCTGCCTGCCTGCCTGGAGGTCCTTTCATCATCACTCGATGACGATTGTGGGTTTGCTCTTTCCTGCAAACTGCAGATTGTATGTATACTGTCGACCTGTAAGTACAGTCGTGGACGCGCCACGCGTGCCGGATCTGATCGTATGAGTATGAACACACACAGTAAGACAAGGCTGGCAGCTGGCACGGCACGTACGGATTGGGATGCCACGTTTCTGGAGTCGCATTCGGCTCTGCTCTTGCCACTTCGGCCCCTCCATGGCAGTTCGGCTTGGGGGCCCCCAAGATCGAATTGGAACATGGCTAACTGTGTGGTGAAACGCGATCCTGGGCCTCGGAACGGCTCCCCGATACCGGCAGTCCTGAACGGACGGTCCATCCCAGTGCAGCACATTATTTTTGGTGTTCGTGTCGTGCCACCTGGTCGCCGCAATGCGTAGTAGTACTATGACAAGCTCAGCCGGCAGCCATCCCCGGCGGCGCAGAGGTAATTACTCCGTGTGTACAGAGATGCGGTTATCTGTACAGTAGTGGTAGTGTACAGTAAGTAGAT